CCCCCCCGATAGTGAATATCTTATCTTTAGTATAATTTATCCATAAACATAACACCGAAACCTATGGTTAATTGTTGAATGGACATTGGTGTTGAATTGACTTACTCATAAATAAATATCTCGTTCTGAATGAATGTTTGAGCAAAGTCTATAGCTGTGTTCCCCAGTCCAGTGCTTTATAGAAGCTTGCATATTAAACTTAATCAGCTCATAAACATTTGTATCGTACAAAGTTACCGGTAACTTCAACCAGAAAGCAGAGCTTTACTGGTAATGAATTGTGTCAGCAGATATAAACTGGAGAAGGAGATTTCAAAAGTTGTCCAGCAATTCTCGGATTCTTATATACTTATTTTTTTTCTAAGATGTTTTGTTAAAGGCTTTGTGTGTTAAGTTTGTTTCTTCCATCAAACTAAGTTGCACGAGATAAGTAAGACACATACATCTTAGTAGTACAAAGTAAAATGGGTTCGTGAGTGAATATTGTTTATTTTGTAAAATCTGTATTTATGATGTTTGTTATTATTACGTTGCAGGAGACAGCAGTATGTCGGACATATTGACCATCTGTTTTGGGACCAGTCCGTTACTTTGGGTAAAAGGATTCTAGTGGCAACGGACCAACATTTAGTTGCAGCTATCCATAGCCATAACGGAAGCATTGGTAAAAAAGATTATATGTATATGAAAAGTTATAAAAAAATCAGAAACATGTAGATCTTTAACGAATTAGCAAGTTCATTATCAATCTACTGACGCTTTACACATAGGTACACATAGATACAAGTTATGTTGTCATTAATAAAAGGGTAATTAATGTATAATTTGACATCATTCATAAAGAAAGCGTCTGAAGATTGTTAATGAAAGCACTAATGCTTTACTGATCTGTGTTTCTGTTGTTGTTTTTTTTAAATTAATATGATAACAATACATTTTAGTATAAACATATATATATATGTGTGTATAGGTCTCATAAATAATAACGACAGTATAATCCAATATTGGCACTGGATCCGAACAAACAAATGTTAGTTGGATATATATGTATGGGCAAAGAAGTAATAACATCAGTGCAGGCAAAGATATTTGTCAAATTTTCAGGGTCCTGCCCCTTTATCAAGACAGGAACGTGAAGATTTACATATCACAACATAAAACAGTCACCATGAAACAATAATACAATACTGTACAGAAGTTACTTAGATAAAAATATGCTTATTATAGTAAATAACTCATCTTGAATATGTGAGATCAAGTGAATTTAAACAAAAAATCTGCATATGGTATGTAAAATCATCTTGATAAAGGGACAGATTGCCCTGAAAATTTGACAAATTTCTTTGTCTGCACTGTCGTTATTACTTTGCCCATATATCTATTCAAGTAATACGCATCCAACCAACATTTGTTTGTTCAGATCCAGTGCTAGTATTGGATCATACTGTTGTTATAACTTATGAGATCTATATAGATATGTATGTAGTTTTTAATGTCCATGTGACAGTAAAAATATATAAAAGACAAAACACGAAGACGATATTTGGCTAAGCTAGCGCTTTCGTCCATCTTGGGGCTCTTAAGGCGATTTTAATTTATTTGTTACGTCATAAATGATGGAATATATGGAAAAAGAAACTGAGCATATTACAACTGCTCAAATGATTACATTGTTCAATAGTAAAAGTTAAAAACATCTGATAGTAAAAATGAATCTCAAAGAAGTACAATACTTAGTTCATCAGAAAATAATCAACATACAGAATTTGTAAATTTAAACTTATAAGAGGTGCTCGAAATTTCCCGCGTTCAGGCCCGGTTTTAGAATTTCAATAATAATCTTTAACTGATGAAGGCAAGGGTCACACACTTACTCTGGTGTTATGTGGGACACTGTAAGACAAAGCTTGGGACCGAAGTTTTAAAAGGCTTGTGCTGCTTCAAGAAAGAGGAATTAGAAAATATGTTTCTTTGCATTTTTAGTTCATCATTTTATAATTCTGTTTCAGAGTTAAGCTTACCATTAACAATATTGAATATCTGATTTTTTTAACAACAAACCAAAGAGGGGTATAATAGGACTCCTTGGAAAATGTTCAGATTTATCTATTTACCACAATGAACGTGTTAGAGATATATCTGAAGTTTATGATGTTAATTTCAGCATGGAGAAAAATACAGGAAGATGATAACAGAGGAGTAATAGATGCAATTGACCATCAAAATAACGGTAAGAAATTGTCAAAACATCTAAATGTACAGGTATGTTAGTAATAAAGTGCATATCCAATTCACTGATATAAAAATAACAAGAAGGTAAGTGATGGAGCATCGACACCAGGGATTCCGTGAATTAGGAGTTTTTATTTGTTGACATGTTTCGGTAGGCTAGGCCTGCCGTCATCAGAACAATTTTACAGTGGCATTGTAGAGCTAAGGTGCAAATTACAGTTCACAATATAATGACATCATTATATTGTTATTTAGATCACATGATATAAACCAGTTTTGGCAGGAAATTGTGACTGCAAATTGGCGACGTTGTTATCAGCTACAATATAAACAGTGGTAAAAAGCAAGACTGGCTTTGTTTTATTCTTAAATGACAATAAAATACAATGTATACCCAAAGGACATTAGATATTTCTACTAAAATTACACATGAACCATGTATCAATAAAGTCAATTAAAGTGTCCTCATACTTTTACTTCCTGGTAGACATGTTCAGTCAGTGTTCTTTAAGTTCCATGTGGGCATTGCCATACATACAGTATGGGGCAGGTCGGTCGGCTGGGGATGGTAAAATATATATACTTGGACAGGAATGTTTGGTAGTGCCATTGTAGTTTGTGGGAGGAGTTTATTCTGGCTCTTTTCTTAGGGTTGGAATCTTACATAAACTATATAAAAATAGTAAAGTAAAGTTTGTGTAAAATCTTGTGTCAATAATGTTATGTTCTTGTGAATTGTGTAATTATTGATCAATTATGATGTGTTACACTTGAATAGCAAGGGTAACCTGTATAATAGAAACACATAAATTACACACCTGTATAATAGAAACACATAAATTACACACCTGTATAATTATAACACTTATTTTGTTATACACGTATACCATTAACAACCCCTTTGTTACACTATACACACATATTACAGCTTTAGTAACAGTCAACGGAGGGGGAAGATTTGTCAGGAGCTGGCAACCAAGCAGTGGCTCCCTCTACTGGGAAGTTGAACTTTTCAAATCTAGTGACTCGAGCACAAGGTAGGTAACCTATTTTGTTTTGTTAGTACATGTATTACAAGCAGGATCCAATTGCATGTTGATGACCCTCTAGCTATATCTTTTAGTAATGGATCAAAACATTTCTAAAAATATGTTCAGAAAAAAACCTACAAAAACAAATGCACTTTTCACTTTCCTGGTGACATTATAATATCAACAATATTTATGAGAGGGTGGATAATATTAATCTACATTATGTTTTATTTCACTTATGTGAAAAAGTGTTCTACTTAAGTTAAAAACATTTCCTAATAAGGTCAATAAAACTCATTTCACTGAAGTTAAATTCTTTTTTCACTAAAGTGAAATAGTTCATAATATGAAAAAAACGTTTATTTACGTAAGGTAAAAAGAATTTTGCTTAATTAAAATAAATATGAAGTATTTTTTACCTTAAGATGAATTAATATTAAATGTTAAAACGGCTTGCCATAGGACTGATTATTTAACAAGATAGATTGAGGTCATTGGTGACTTATTGAAATTTAATTTAGTAATAATTGTTCTTTTACAGAGGAGACATAAGGATCTACAGTAAAGGTAAGGCAACAGTATCTGTTCAGCTTGAAGAATTATCAGTGTCTAGAAATATAGGATAAGATTCAAAGATACAGAGTTATCATTTATAGATGCAATTTATAATCCTTTTAAATGCTTTAATAAGTTAAAGCCACTAGTCAGCTGATGAAGTAAATGCTATAAAGTTTGTTTTGAGTGGTAATTTCCTCTGACCCTGATATCTATTATTTAACATGATAAGTGATACCAAACTTTGACTGGTCAATCATGCTAGTAGTGTTAAGTACGATTTGTCCAGGATTTCACTAGCCTCAGATTAGTGGACTATCCTTACTGTCCAGCCCTGCATAATATAACTTGTTCTTGTTCTTCATTATAAGCTATAGATAAGGATTCAAATTCCTAGATAATGGATTTGAATGGAAAAGTACTATAATGAAATAAAACAATTTGTTACGTTTTTTCACTACCATTCAGATGAGGTGTTGGCACTGTCACCAACAGCAGTGCACAAACTTAACCTACACAACGGCAAGGAGAAGTGGGCACTGCAGCTACCAGCAAAGTAAGTCATAGTACCATAGTGCTTTTTTATACGTACAGACAATGGGAGAGGAGGTATATGAAAGGAAAAAAATGTTACAGTGTCCTAATTGTTTTTAACGTGAGATTCAGTATCTACTGAAATACTTGAAAACAGAAAAAATATAGACACATTAGTTTTTAAATGAAAGAAAAAAATATATAAAATGAAGAATTACAAAAAAAGCAAGCTTGTGTGTTTTTTTTATATCATGACTCATGTATTATTTCTTTGTGTCAGATAATTTGAATTTCTGTAAGTATGGATTACAGCCAAGGTTAGTTTGCTCAATTATGTCCCTTAGTTGAAAGCATGCATTTATCCAGTCTGTTCAGCACAGTCTACACGACTGTTTTATTTTCTTCCAGGGACAATGTGGTATTTGGAAGACTGGTTTTACATGGGAGCAACCTATATGTAGTCGGACGATCGGCTGGGGCTCACGTTATGGTGATTTCTTCAGACAGTGAGGGGACCCTAAAGCAACAGCGATCTGTACCCGCCGCCTGGATAAAGGAAGAGACAGAGTAAGTCACCTGGTGATCAGAGTCGATTCCCCTTTTGTCTTGTTATCTTACCTTATAACTACAAATGACGGGTGCCTTCTGGTGGCTGTTACTGATAACTTCTATTTTCATTTTGAACAAATATACCTTGCATTTTTGAACTTTCAAGTCAAGGGTACCAACAAGTTACACTATTTTATTACCATTGTCACAACTGAAATAGTGCATAAGTCCTATTCAAAAAATATTCCATGAAAATCACATGTTATGCATTTTACAGAATTGTAGTTGTTTGAAATTTTACTGTTTGAAAATAGTACTACTTACAATAATAAAGAAAAAAAGGACAAGAAAAGTGAGACTCAAACTGGGAACCTTTACATTGCAAAGCCACACTTAACTAGTGTTGCCAAACAGGTTTGATAAAAGCACAATATCAAAATAAGTCACAGTGCAATTTATGGGCCGCGACGCGTATGAGAAACTATTAAGGTGAAGTTACTTTGGGCTAGAAAAACTCCTTCTGGTTTCTTCATCTTCTGTATAGAAGGGAGAATACTCCACGTCAATAAACTCTGGGTGGAACTCTTCTGTATAGAAGGGAGAATACTCCACGTCAATAAACTCTGGGTGGAACTCTTCTGTATAGAAGGGAGAATACTCCACGTCAATAAACTCTGGGTGGAACTCTTCTGTATAGAAGGGAGAATACTCCACGTCAATAAACTCTGGGTGGAACTCTTCTGTATAGAAGGGAGAATACTCCACGTCAATAAACTCTGGGTGGAACTCTTCTGTATAGAAGGGAGAATACTCCACGTCAATAAACTCTGGGTGGAACTCTTCTGTATAGAAGGGAGAATACTCCACGTCAATAAACTCTGGGTGGAACTCTTCTGTATAGAAGGGAGAATACTCCACGTCAATAAACTCTGGGTGGAACTCTTCTATGTGAATTTAACTGATACAGTGGTACCCATTGCCTTAATTATGACTCTGTTAGATTTAAATGATGGCATTGTATATATACGTAAGAATTGATAGTCTGATATGTATCTATCTGTTACAGTTGTGAAACTCTAGATGAGGGAGTCCTGCTGTGTTACGATGACGTTTCATCCAACTTACAACTACTAAACTTGGAATCTGGCCAGCTGTTTGTAGAGGTTCAGTTACAGGTACGTACATGGTCAGGTGTTTCTACAGGTGTGTTATAGGTAGACACAACATCTCAATGATGCTATGGCTGTGAAATCATAACTAACTATGAGATAAGTGATAGTGTTTTTAACATATTGTCAACCTAGTATTTTCATTATTTTGGCTTCAGCGATTGGTCTTAAGTATCAGTAAAAAATACTTTATTGAATATGTCTGTATTTTGAGGGGAAAAGTGAATAAATTTTAAATTTGGTACAATTTATACCTTGTTAAAATTTAAGAATTAATCATTATTTTGATATTTTGCTTTGTATTTAACAAAACAAACAACAATTAATTTTATTAAAAAATGACTAGGTACTAGTATTTTGCTTTTATGAAAATAAAAAGCCTCCTATTTGGCCTCTTATATAAATTTATTTCTGAATAATTCTTTCAAGATAAGGGTTAACTATATTTCAATGACATTGACTTGTTTCAACTGCATCTCAGCATACAGAAAGTATTTCATTCTTCACCAGCAAAATGATTTTTTCTTTGTACTGTCACTCTTAAAATTCTATAAAGGTGAATCCTTACACATACAAACTCATAAAATAATAAATTTGATATTCTTCAGTAAATCATTGGTTTCTTTTTCTTTAAAAGGAGCTTGGATTATCAGCTGAAGGAAAAGCTATGTCGTTGGAGAAGCTCCGCCTCCATACTTCTGATCATGCCAAATCTCATCTGCTTCTCCGTATCGGAGGTAACCACATGGCTATCCTCAAAGTCAGCAAAGATCGCGTTCAGGTGGTGAAGGATCTGCCCAAGGTAGGAACTGCCATCAATTGATGGAAAGTCTTGCTTCAGAATGTACAACAGAGTCCACCTGATCAGTCTTATATTGTTTCCTAGGATATATAGTTATTAAGTACAAATTTAAAATAAACTACATAGATGAGAAAAAGACCAGAACTGGGTCACATTATTAAATACAAAATTTGAAATAAACTACATCACATTGAGGTAAGGGTAGACAAAAATAACAGTGTTGATGCAATCTGCATTATTTCCTAAAATGGTGAAGTGATTGTACAATATGTGAAGTTTTGTGATGAGTAGGTTTGTTCACTGTCAACCTGTTTGTTACTTGTGATTGTAGGTATCAGCTGCCTATGTGACTAAAGTTGAGGACCTGGACATTCTGTTGACACTCCAGAGAGTATCCAAACAGGTAAACAATCCAGAGAGATTCCAAACAGATAAACAATCCAGAGACATTCCAAACAGGTAAACGATCCAGATAGTATTCAAGTGGGTATAAAATCCAGAGAGCATCCAAACAGATGAACAATCCAGAGAGCATCCAAACAGGTAAACAATCCAGAGAGCATCCAAACAGGTAAACACTCCAAAAAGCATCTGAACAGATAAACACTCTAGAAAGCATCCAATCAGATAAATAATCTAGAGGGCATCAAAACAGGTAAACAATCTCGAGAGCTTCCAAACAGTTGAACAATCCAGAAGCATCCAAACAGGGAAACTATCTAGAGAGCATCTGAACAGATAAACACTCTAGAAAGCATCCAATCAGATAAACAATCTAGAGGGCATCCAAACAGGTAAACAATCTCGAGAGCTTCCAAATAGTTGAACAATCCAGAGAGCATCCAAACAGTTGAACAATCCAGAGGGCATCCAAACAGGTAAACAATCCAGAGAGCATCCTAACCGGTGAACAATCCAGAGAGCATCCAAACAGGTGAACAATCCAGAGAGACCCTAAACAGGTGAACAATCCAGAGAGCCCCCAAACAGGTGAACAATCTAGAGAGCATCCAAACAGGTAAACAATCCAGAGAGCATCCAAACAGGTAAACACTCTATAAAGGATCCAAACAGATAAACAATCCAGAAAGCATCCAAACAGATGAACAATCCAGAGAGCATCCAAACAGGTAAACAATCTAGAGAGCATCCGAACAGGTAAAACATTCAGAAATAAGTTGAGGAAGCAGGACTTAGGTGTAAATTCAGGCGGCAGCAACGTTAAGCTTTTGCATTTAGCTCTGTTTCTCAAAAAGTATAAGTGCTAGACAAACCAAACTTGTACCATACATGTCAGATGTGTCTTATTTACATCAACTCAATCCATGCATCAGTTGCTGAATGTGCCCTACATTTCATGGTCAAGTGACATTGGCAGCATCTTTATCAATGTTAAGTTTTTTAAGTGTTTTATGCTGTATCTCAAAAAGTTAAAGTGTTAGACTAAATAAACTTGGACTGTAGTTGTTTCAGACATAGTGCATCTCAAACCATACATCAGTTGCTGAATGTGCACTATATTTCGTGGTCAAGTGACTTTCACAGCATCTTCATCAAAGTTCTGTTTTTGCGTTTAGCTGTGTGTTTTTGCTTTCATAGGAAATGATTTTATTTTGGTAGTGTCCATATAGTGACAACACAGAGCAACTGTAAATATATATATATATATATATATATATATATATATATCGGGGCATGAATTGGGAAAAGGCTGTCAATGTCAATTGGGTAAAATCACCGAAAAACTGCTTTTCTTTTGAGATTAAGAATTTTTCAAGAGAGTTTAGGAATTATTATATCATATTTTATTGTGGACACAACATCCATGTGTTCACAAATACACTTGCACAAATTGAGATTCCCAAAATTGTAACCCGCTAATATTTTCTTGACACAAAGGAACAAAAATAAATACTTATAAGAATCAAATTTTATGGGACATATTAAGGTGATGCATTGTCCATTCGTCCGTCCATGCATCCGTCAATTAACAATTCTTGTCATGAAACTCAACATTGACATGAAAATTCCGAACTTCGGGTCAAACTAACAATGCTTCACACATTTAATCTTGTGATTAAGCGGGGACAGGCGAGACATCTAATTAGGTGTAATTCTTGTTGGTTTCTATATCTTCACAGAATTTTAAATCTTTTTGTTTTAATGCTTAAACTAAAGGATGATAATTTCCACAATAGTTATTTTGTCGTTTTCTGTTTACAGAGTGTACTACTTGTTGGATATGATCTGGCCTCAGGAGGAGAGATAACAGAATTATCCCAAAGTATCACCCTTCCTGCCAGCCATGGTCTACCTACAAAGGTGAGATAGAACTTAACCCCTTTGAACTAGGATCTGTCCATATAGGTGAAATCATAGAACACCCTCACTCCCAACACTGGTCTGCATATTCCGTCTTTTTGTATTGCAGAGTTATCTGCTCTTGTGAGCAGGTATGGATTGTAACCTCATTGTTTGTGAGAGTAACGTCATCAATTTTTGAGAAAACCAAAATCAATACCTGCTCACAAGAGAAGATAACTCTGCAATATGCAAATACGGAATAATGGTTAGATGACATAACTGTGCCAGAAGATCACCTTTCTCCAAATCATGGTCTGCCCCACATAGTTCACATAGCCGAAAATTCTCCAGATGGACATACAGTGGTGGTTACCTCTACATCAAAAGAAATCTTTCCAAATTATCAAGGTCTTTGATGAAGGTCCTATGCAAATACATACATGATGTAACATTAATGAGGTCACAGGAAGCCAACCATAGTCTTCTATTACAACAAACTTGATGAAACAAAGCCTTCCAGTCCCGACAATTAGTGTTAATGAAAATCCACAGCGGAAGTAAGGACAACACATTTCCTCTGGAAACCAAACACTCTGATGGCAGACTTCAAATTTTATGGTGACGGTTAGGTTGATCAGACTTGGTACATAAGGGGAGACTTATCCGATCAGTGGCAATGTCATGTGAAAGGATACAACAATTATGGAACTTTTAAGCCAAAAACATAAAGATTATGGGAAGGTTGCCTGATACATTACATGTCTGTTGTTTTGTAGCTGGACGCTGTGGTGGTGAAGAAGAATGGTCGCTTGGCATACAAGGCTTTGGTGCGATCTGAGGATCAGTCCCTTCAGCTGGTCCAAAAGTCAGGTAGGGCTTGTACTTATCATTAGTCGGCATTAGTTTCATCATTGTAAAGTGTAAAAAACAGGTTTTCATAACATGTTATAATGATATCACCACTAGACAAAAAGCCAATTAACTCATTTGCCCTATAGATACATCTGCATGAAACATTTACTTATTGATGTCTACCGACAGTCACATGCAAGCAACATGGTTTGCCATATTGGAAATCTAATACCATATTTATCCTCAAATAATCCCCCTTCTCTTGTGGGAAATTTTGGCACTTAAGTTTGGAAAGATTTTATATGTGAACAAAATTTTATATAAATTCAATAGTCCGTAAACAGAGGAGTACCCACCCTATATTTGTGGGCAGGGATTTAATTTGCTAAATATTTTTTCTTGTTCACCACTGTAGGACGAGTTTCCTGGAAGAGAGAGGAAGCTCTGGCATCTGTACTATCTGTAGAGATGGTGGATTTCCCAGTGTCTGAAAACCAGGCTAAGTACGAGGACGAGTTTGGTGCTCAGAAAGGTGAGGCAATCGACTGAAAGGCTGTCGGTGTGTAAATGGCAAACAAACAGCGAATCGTACGAGTTTGGCTGCTTATTCTGTTTCTGTTTTGTATTTAATTCTAAGCATAAACAAGGGAAAAGATATTGTCTACGATTGATAACTGAAATAGAATATGAGCAGAAGGCTATGATATATATCTACCATATTATAATATTGACCATTAAATAATCATTTCTTTTGTAATAGACTGGTTTACTTTTAGCTCATGTTTGTTGATTAGAATTTAGAAGACAGAACCAGATTTATGAAGATAACGTATATACTGAGTTTATTGATGGTGGCCGCGTAATGGTAGAAGTACTGTCAGTAGGCTCGTTTTAGTTATTTGGGCTGTCAAGGCACACTTGGCTTTGTTGTTACAAATATTACATTTAATATTCAACGGTATATTTGGTCACATTTCAGAGGATGTTGTCAGCATGTTTGTCAAGAGATTTGCTACACAGTTTCAACAGTTAAAGGTAAGTACACTAAATCCTGCATTTTGTGACAGTCAAATGAGAGATGATACCATTGAGTAAAACCTATTGATCTGGCTCCAACTAGTCAAAATATTTCTGAAAAATACCCTTGTCCAGAAATGCTTGATATAAGGGCTGTTTCCGAATAACATTGGAACCCGCTTATTATGATATTCTATTTGCCGGAAAAAATATCATAATAACCGATATATCATGATAACCGAACAAGCTGTTTTCGATTGTTTTTATGTTGTCTGAACCAGAAGTCAGGTGCCCTTTGTTAATCAGACATAGATTGATGTAGAATTGTATTGGAGCGGTGTTAAGTGGTTTTTTAAAAGGACGCACCACCCATCAAATATTGATTTGATTAAAGGAATGATAGGCAGATAGGTATTTAACTGTCATACTACAAAACAATTATCATAACAGGTGTATAACAACTCATTGTAGAATAGCCCTTACAAAAACTGGCCATCTTTGCAGCACTGAACAATTCTTGTACTTCATTTTGATATCAGGACAGCATCAATAGAAACATTAGGTTTCAACTCCTGTGCCTCTACTGCAGACTTAAACTTGAATTATATCATACTTCCCTGTCTGTTTCAGAACCTGGTCATCCATCAGCTACAAAAGCTGCAGGGCCATCGCCATCACAGTGTCCTGGAGGCTGACGCTTTGGAAGAGGACGAGGAGGAGGAGGAACTGACACGTGACGAGTTCAACATCAATAAAATGATCGTAGTGGTCACCGGAGCTGGCAAGGTAAGTCTATGTACCATATTTCAACGCAAATAACACCCCACTTGCCTATAAAGCCCCAACTCTTCTTTGGCAAATGTCCTGGGGACAGGGCGGTTCCAGTATTTGAAATCTTTTGACCATAGGAAAACAAAAATGTGTGTGATAAAAAAATCCAGGCAAAATATACATGATTTCTTGACAATAGAATATTAAACCCATAGGAGAACTCAATGAATGTCTATGGGGAATCAGCTTCCAATGGAAGTTTTGATCATGGCTTTACACTTCAGAATTCAACATATTGTAATCTCTTTAAACAAATTGATGTATGAACTGTTTAGCAGATAAAGCTCTATATAAAGAGAAAATTAGCTAGTTTCAGTGTCTTTCTCTCCTTATCCTATTGGAAGATAATATGCCCTGGAACCTCGTTAATCCCTCAACCTCTGTTTCCAGCTTAATGTGACTAGATAGAGAACCAGCTTACTTGGACAGTTTAGAAAAGAGTCAACACTTCCTGAAATATACTGGCTAAATAGTGACTGAATCAGTGATGGAGCTCAGTATTAAGTACTTCAGACCTACAGAATGAGGAAATCTAGCTGTAATTAATTGTTATCTTGTTTCAGATCTTCGGTTTGAGAAGTACTAACGGCCATGTCCAGTGGTCTGTGTACCTGCCTGAATTGGTCGCCTTCAGAACCAATGACAAGGACAATATAATGTTGTTTGTACAGAGGACCACCGCCCATTTCCCCAACCCTCCCCAGTGTGTCATCATAGGCAAGAACAAGGTCAGTGAGGTCCTAGACACTAGACATTTCTAAATTTCAGCATGTACACACTTTGGCATCCTAGAAGCTGCTTTCAGTTAGATAGAATACAGGGTTGGTATTTAATAGACACAAAACCTGTATATATTGACTTTATATTTACCCATACACAGGCAATCTTCTGTTACCTGGAAACCTTTTGAAAAAATAATGTTACACTATCTATGTTAAATTAAGATCATTACGATTTCTAAGATATGATCTGAAAGTTTTGTTTTGCAGTTTGTAGATATAAAAATATCTTCATTGATGTATTGACCTATCCTGTAAAAAATGTTTAGTGAATTTATTGACTTATCTCCCTTTGTTTCCAGCTTACTGGTCAGGGTCTGCTTTATGCATTTAACCCTATCAGTGGTCAGCCTGTTGGAGATGTCCCGTACGGGGGACTGAGCCTCGGCTACAATGTCAAACAGGCCTACATGATTGGTGAAGTGGACGACCACTTCCTTCGTGGCATTATCTTCCTGGATGATAATCACCAGGTATAGCTTCTCTCATTCATCTCAAGAGTTGTTTTTTATTTCACTTTAAAAGTTTTACCATTTGAGTGATTGAAATATGCATTTAAAATAAAGAAATTTACCTGTAAAAATATTATTGAATTAATAGTATTAAAGAATGTAGAGTTCAGCACTGGAAGTCCAGGCACCACTGCGCCAGTTAACCAGTCAATGATTTTTGATAATTTCTCTTGAACTATGTATATCAAGCAATCATACAGAGGATACACATTACACACAAGTGTACAATCTACAAATAAATCAAGGTTTTGTAAATTATTTGTGACCATGCCTTTAACAACTAAATGTTTACAGACCCTACCTATACCGTGATACTATTTTGTCTGTAGCCATATTTCGTCTTTGCGTATTGCAGAGTTATCTTCTCTTGGGAGCAGGTATTGATTGTTACGTCATTGGTCTGTGTGAGAAAATTACGTCGTTTTCTCAAAAATTGATGACGTTACTCTCACAAACAAGTGACGTAACAATCAATACCTGCTCCCAAGAGAAGATAACTCTGCAATACGCAAAGACGGAATACATGTTGGTAGTCCTATGTTGTATGGTTACAGTAAGTTTCTGTTGTTCCATTTCAGATCCATACCTACCCAGAGACCTTCATGTCTGTAGCCATGGACGTCCTACCCAGTCTCTTTATGTATGTAGCTGACACCCAGACAGGCTTTCTGAAGGGCTTTAAGGCCAAGCTACATGATAAGGTAGACAATTCCCTACAGTTAACAAGCAGCTACCCTTGTATAACTTGTTAATGTCAATTGTATCAGTCAATTATCATCCCATCAAATGATGCTTTATATGTTATGTCAATGTTTGTCTATCTACTGTATACTTTATTTTCTTCATTTTAAAATGATCAAAGAGTTCCTCTGTCCAAGCAACAAGTACGTTACACATTCAGCTTTTTTATTTTATTTACTTTTTGTCTCGCCTGCCACTGAGTCGCGAAGCGAGACGCGTCCCTTTCCTGGCGATGGCAACATTTCTGTTAAACTCTAAATTTCTCTCTAAGAACATAAGCTATCATAATGGAACCTGGAATATACTTATATCTATATAAAACCATCCAAACACACATTTTAGATTCAGAATTTTAACAAAAATTTACTGTGAACTGGACAATATTTTCATATTTTTGGGGCCAAAAACAGCTTTATTGGATTTGATTAATGTTTTTGGGTTAGCTTAAGGTTGAAGTTTTTGGGCAAGTCTTTTTGGTTAGTGTTGGACCACCACCATCAAAAGTCTGTTGTCTATTATAAGGTTGAAGTATTTGACTTTTTACGGATTGATTGCTCAAAAATATAACGTTATTTCACTAACACAGACTGTAATTTTCCTTTAACCCAGATTTTGTAGGTGTGTGGTTCATCAACATGATCTACAACAAACCTGTTTTCTCAAACTAACAATACCAGATTAGCAACCTACAAATGTAAAACATATACAAAAGACGTGGAGATCCAAGTCTGCTCTTGGTTTGTTCAGTGAAGTTCAGCATACCCGATTTGATGGATTTCTATGGAATTTAGTAATCTGGCATAACAGTAAAACATTTAAAAGAACAGGTGACCAGACAACAAAAAATGGGGAGACTCGGCAACATGTAAATTGATTTAAAATACTGAGTCTACCCATTTCACGTTCTCTGGTCATCTGTTCTTTTTGAATGTACAACATGTTAAGGTACACTGCATGACTGCAAGACATGTTGCCATTATAAAAGGGTTTAACAATAAATTGAGGGAAACATATAAAGGAATTCTTCAGAAAAACACAATTAATGGTCCTTGAAATATGCTGGTGGTAATACAGAATATCATATAACACCAATAGCCCATGTTAAAAGGTTATCATAGTTAACACCAAAAACCTATCTTACAGAATATCATATAACACCAAAAACCCATGTTAAAAGGTTATCATAGATAACACTTATAACCGATCTTACAGAATATCATATAACACCAATAACCCATGTTAAAAGGTTATCATAGTTAACACCAAAAACCTATCTTACAGAATATCATATAACACCAAAAACCCATGTTAAAAGGTTATCATAGATAACACTTATAATCGATCTTACAGAATATCATATAACACCAATAACCCATGTTACAGGATATCATAGCTGACAATGTGTGGACTATCAACCTCCAGAAAAAACAACAGATCATCACCAATGTAGTGGGCAAGAGAGTTTTAGGTAAGTCCACCACTGTATTGCCCAAAATTGATTTAAGATTGATGATGCTGTAACAGCTAACACTGAATGTTTTGGCACCTTTGGTAAATGTTAGGTCTGAGGCTGGGAATACGGCAGTGATTGTTTGGATGAATTTCTCAACAATATAATTAGACTAGAAAACAATGGCAAAGTATTTTGTGAACTTCTATGTTCTTCAAGAAGCAGGTTGCAATGTCTTTATTTTAACATAAACATATGTGTTGTTAATTAAGAACTAATTTTGCATTGTCTTTTACAGAACAAGTACACTCTCAGGGTCGTGTATTGGGAGACAGGAGTGTATTGTATAAGTACATGAATCCCAACCTGGTTGTCGTAACGACGGAAGGAGAGGAAGCTTCCAGTCTGACTAAGGGTAGGTTTGGGATGTCACACATTGTGTCATGTGTTCAGAGATAGATATGGATGTCTCCAGGTACTCTCCCACATTAAGACATTCTGTATGCTTCCATTTGTGCTAACAAGAGTGATAAGTACAAGCTGATTGTTGTAAACTAAGTAAAGTTGATAATTTTTATAGATACCTGTTGATGATTTTTCTCCAGTGAAGTTGATATTTATATACCAGATTTAGTGCATCACTGTTTAGAAATTAATTGATATGATTGATAGAGAATTTTCTTTTTCAGTACAGTTGTTGAATATATATTAACTACATAGTGATAATATTCCTATATTAACATATGGCTTTTCTCGAAAGGTTCCAACAATTTTGTGAATATCTACCTGATTGACAGTATCACTGGTCACATTGTGTTCCACGCCAGTCACAGGAAAACAAAAGGACCAGTCAACGTGGTACATGTGGAGAACTGGGTGGTGGTGAGTATCCTCGGTGGAAACATGATCAACAATAGTAAAGTAACATGAACATTTGATTGGAAAGTTAATTAGCTGTCATTTATAAATGTCAAGAATTTTAATTTCCTATAGATTAATATGACTGTTACAGGTGTCAGGCTCTGTGCTTCCATGTCCAGAAAGTGGTCATATTTTCTTTTTGATGTCAGCATCATTTTGCCCTTGATTGTCCCCCTTGCCAGTGGACACTGTCATCAAGTAACCATATTACATGGCTACAAATTAATTTTTAATAAAACCACTAGTGATCAGTCGGGCTAGTAGTTTCTAAATTTACTAGTCCACTTACCTGAATTTTTTTACATGACAAGTAATACCAAATTTTGACTAGTCAATCCAACTACCACTAATCAAGCTGGAGATTTCACTAGTCTCAGGCTATCGGGCTATCCCCTTATTGTCTAGCCTGTGAACCTCAAATTAAACAGTTCTTCATGATCATATCATGAATGATACTTCCTTTTCCCCCATGCAAATGTACTTTAACTTACCTTCTTTTACTTTTAGTATGATTACTTCAACCAGAAGGCCCGTCGTCATGAGATTGCAGTAATTGAGTTATTCGAGGGAAAAGAGCAAGGCAACTCCTCGGCTTTCTCCTCCTTCACGGCCCCTAGGGAGCCCCTTGTTCTACGTCAGTCCTACATTATGCCAGTCCACATCACAACTATGGACGTCACTGTCACAGAGAAAGGCATCACCAGTCGCAGTCTTCTGTGTAAGTGTATGGTAAATCTGGGTGCTGCTGGATTTGTAGGCTGGTGACACCACTGGGTGCTGCTGGATTTGTAGGCTGTAACACCACTGGGTGCTGCTTGATTTGTACGCTGGTGACACCACTGGGTGCTGTTCGATTTGTAGGCTGGTGACACCACTGGGTGCTGCTGGATTTGTAGGCTGGTGACACCACTGGGTGCTGCTGGATTTGTAGGCTGGTGAAGTTGTGGCAGGCACTGGATTAGCATTATTTTCTCACCATTGTACTAGGCTGATGAGTTTTATCAGGACTGGCAAAGTCTTCATTATGTGACTAGTATATAAAAATAATTCAAGCAGACACACTGTCCATTTTCAAACAAACTCAATATGATACACAAATGTTTAGCAGAGGAGTCATGTGACCAAACAAAAACACAATACTCTTCCCAATAACACGGCAATGTCATTGAGAAGCTATTCTTTTCTAGATATTTGTCTGCTGTGAATGCAAAAATAACTACTGAATACAGTACAAGTGTGAAGCATAGTCAGATGTGAGAGTCTCAACTTAGAGATCTTTAATAAAGTGAAGACAAAAAGCTATAGTCACCATTTACCTGCCAGCAAACAAAGACCACAGTAGATATTTGATACTTCCACTATCATAAAAACGGCAAAACACATGACATGTTGTTGAATCAATTGTAGACCATTACAAACAATTCATCAGGAGGAATAACAGAGTCTAATGAAGATCTCTATGAACTACATTTGTCTATAGGTTCATACAACAGTGAACTACATTTGTCTACAGGTTCATACAACAGTGTAATACATTTGTCTATAGGTTCATACAACAGTGAACTACATTTGTCTATAGGTTCATACAACAGTGTACTACATTTGTCAATAAGTTCATACAACAGTGTACATTTCTATTGATGGTGAAATATAAACCAAATTAAGAAATTCTTGATCTATAAACACTGCAGGGAAACAATATTAATTAACTTCTCCACATAACAAAATTGTCAAAAAATTCATTATGTCATCCAGATATTCACTGTTTTTAATTCTGCTGTAAACATAGTTATTGTAAGATTTGTAATTATTTGTAAATTTTAGTTGCAATGACAGCAGGAAAGATTTTGTCCCTACCCAAAGCACTTCTGGATCCTCGACGACCAGTTATTCCATCTCAGGAAACCATGTGAGTAATACCCCAGCATTTGCCAAGGAAAAAACGAATCATTGGTAATATTGAAAGTATTTTTTTACATGACTATCAGAGATGATTTCTGTTGAAGGTTTCTGATATGTACCATCATATTTATGTGACTAAAGCTCATACCGTATTTCCCTTTCTCCAATGCATGGGATAATATTTCTAATGTCAAGAATTTATTTCTATAATGTCAAGAATGTTTTAACCCAAAATCTGACAGAAGAAATAACTGTAATGACACACTTTGGGTACACACAGCCTTGGCTAGGAATAAGGAATTGTCACACAAACAGTATCTGCTGTAGTGTTCTTTATTAAGTTCATAACATATAGATTGATTGTCTGACAGGGAGGAAGGTACCATACCCTACATCCCCGAGATCCCCATCTCTACAGAGATGATGGTGAACTATTACAACAGTGTGGACAAGATCAAGGGAATACACAGCTCTCCTGCTGGACTGGAGTCGACCTCTCTCGTATTTGTGTATGGACTAGGTGAGTGTTCTAAATGCTATATGTAGTGGCTTAAGTGCAGACCTGGTGCTCATTGAATTCCCTTGAGTGGGGAACGTGTTTTCAATGTACTTCAAATCAGGTTGTTGAAGTATTGCAACATTTGTCATGTGAGAAAATTATGCACTGCTTTAAAAATATCAGTTTAGAGTATTCATTTACCATTTTTTGTTGAAAGTATTTCAAAACAAATATTAAAGGACTTGTAACAAAAACTTATTTTGATAAAACTTTTTCTTTTAATTAAGGCATACCCGGTAGATGCATACACTGAAGAGTTGTTACTGGAGATGAATGTCTAGTTAGGTTCCATAATTGTTTCTTATAAGGGTAATCCCTTGGACAGATTTTACTGTCAGCATCAATCTAATCTTCTGTTGTTGTTTTTTCACAGATCTGTTTTACACCCGAGTGACTCCCTCCAGGATGTTTGATGTTCTCAAAGAAGATTTTGACTTTTATTTTATATCCCTTGTCCTTCTAGGGATGTTTCTAGTCACATTTTTCACACAAAAATTAGCCTCCAGAAAAGCTCTAAGTCGTGCCTGGAAATAATGATCTCATAGATAGATAAGGCTTGTAAAATCAAATTTAATTAAGAACAGAAGGAACAAAAAAAATCTCTCTTTTTTTCCTTTATCATTCACTCTCCAAGGATTATTCTTACATATTAAGATATCATGCTTTGTCATCTTTCAGAATAGAATCTTTAAATTTTATTCTCATACTATTTTTGGCCTGTATGTTTTAGACTCAATTCCTGTCTCAAGGATGTAATTAAATGTTTTAACAGGCCTGAGAGTGACCTGAATAGTTGAACATAGAACTTTTATCACAGATAAACTAAGGTTATATGGGTGACCTGACTTAACATCTGGCAGAAGTCATAGTAAAAATTAAGCTCTAAAGGATGACAAATATGTGAATACTGTATACAGAGAAATATTCGCTCAGTCAAACTTTCCCCTTCTGCTGGTAAAATCCATAATCGCCCCCTGTTATTTCACCCTTCACATTTAATAAGTATGCATGTTATCGGTATGTTTTTTATTATGTCTCCCTCGATGATAAATTTGCCCTCATTAACCCTTTCTCCCCTATGTAACTTTAGTTGACTCTACCATGCATTGATATGGAGGGGTCCATTATGGTCTACAGTGGTGAAAGGGTTAAGGAAGGCGAAAATTAAACTGCAGCAAAGATGTCCTACAGTGTGTTTTTGAGTGGGAGACTGAAAAATATAAATTTATAACAAGTCACTTGGTCATGCATCTCTCACCAAGCAAACTATAGTATATGTCCTAGGAAATGTGCTCCACAGCTTCACTTTCACCATTTTCTTTCTCTTTATTGAAGGGAAATTTATCATGTTGATGCATGATTGTAAGCATACCATGCAAAGTAATTCCACTGTGAAGGGCAAAGCTAACACGAGTCTTGTATGAATTTTACTGGTAAAGGTGAAATATTTGACTTCACAGAAATATCCCAGTATACTGTAGGAAATTGATAGGCAAACTTTACTGCCCTAAATATAATAATTATAAAATGCAAGCAGGCTAAAAGTATCTCAAAAAGTGTCGTTCTCATGTCTCACTGATTTCTATCTAAATATACCTCGGTTCAATGTGTTCCAAAAAGACGAAAGTGCTATTTTGAAAATATCTTTTTGTTATACAGCATTCTCAAAACTTAACATTGGACTTTAAATTTTACTTGGTGTATATCTGACAGAGTAATGATCAAATCCTAGGCCCATTTGTTCAAGTGCCCACAGAATACAGGTATATCTGTAAAGGAGAAGTTATCTGGCAAAATGGAAGTGTTTCCCATTGTTTTTTGAGTTTTTTCACCTTGAATTTTTCCAGAGCACCCACTGCCGCTTTGTCAGTAGATGGGTGTTCGGTACATACTCTGTCATACATCAGTCATGTACAAATGTAGTGATATCAGGTGAAGAACAAGTTGTACTACAAATATACTGTAAAGATTAAACTGTGCGTGTGGAAGTTATTACTGAGAATGGTTGATACAGTATAATGCAAGTATGACACACAATCAGTTGTAATTATTCATAGACTATACATGATTAACTATTAATACATTATTTACAAGGCAGTTTTTATTTAAATACCTTTTTGAAGTAATAGGTCTTTGGGCATTTTAATATTATACAACAATTACACTGCCTTTTTTTGAAAAGATGTACATATATTCTGTGTAAATTAATTTCTATTGTAATTTTTTGTAAGAGTGAAGTATAGGTGTAAAAGTGAAAATTAGGTTAAGTATGAACACAGTAAGAAAATTTCTTAATTTAGTTGTTAAAGCTAGGTTTGGATAAATTTGAGATAAACCCTTTTACTTCAACTGCAGGGAAATCTTTAACTGTAAACTCGTTATTTTTACACAATTGGCTTACATTTTGAAATGGTGTAACAGTAATTTAATTCTAATGATGGCATTGACGTTGACATGTTCATTTGGGATTTATTAACCAACATTAGAAGTAAGAGAGTATGTTGTTGTTGCCACAGTAAAAGTAAAAGGGTAATGTTTTGTTATTTACAGTTTTCTCTACATTTATTGTGATGGTTATGAGAGAGTGCACTGTTGATGTATAAATGAGATAAATGTGCAATGATAAAAGTGTAGTAAGTGTTATTTATGTATCCAAACATTGATGGGTTATATACAGTCAACTCATTCACCCTTGAAGACACATTTGAGCTCCTCCAATTCAAAGGTTGAAATAGTTCATTATGAAATTTCAGGGGTGAATGAGTTAACATTTTTTTATGTACATAGATAATCTAAATATTCCAGAAATGCCTGTATGGTAAGACAAACTTGGTGAAATAATTATCAGGAAAGAAAACCAACAAATTAGCGGCCATTTTTTATTTGAAATTCAACATGGCCGCTTTGGCAGCCATCTTGAAACATTGTGCATTAATTTGTTTTGTATCAAAATCAACATTTTGAAGTTTTCGGAATCTTCCCCATGGATTTATTGGAGACCTACCAGGCAGAGTTACTGGGTGATCAGAGTCACTGGGTGATGCTAAGTATTTTTATTTTTTTAATTGGTCTGAAATCCAAGATGGCCAACTTGGCAGAATGTCCATTGATTTATTTGAAACTTGCCAGGAATCATGCTAAATCCAAGATGGCCAACCTGGTGTCATTTTCTGTTCTTTAAAGTTCTCCTAAACCCATTAAACATTGCACCTATGAAACATGTTTAAATTTCTTGTTGCCAGGCGACTGTTAAGGCCCATTGGCATCATATTAGAAATCTAATGTTATTTTGAACAAACCAAAACGTTTAGAAAATATTGTGTGTGCTTCAGCATTTTTTGCATTTGGTAGTTTACCACCTCCTCAGAATTCAAGGATTCTATTCCCAATATTCCATGTAGCGTATCTAAACTGCACCCTTAGAGTTTTTCCTGACAGAATCAAAGTCCCTGTATGACAACTTGAAGATGATATGGATTGATTAGTCTGAAAACTGTTACAGAATTCTAAACACCTGTAATCTCGGAGTAACGCTTTGATTAAAGATCAAAAGTGAACCATGAGGCAAGGTTATTATATAAAAATTCTCCAGCTTTGACCTCAGAATAGGTCTTTGATAGGAATCAAATTACGAGTACTGTTGTCCATCAGTTTTACGTTTAGTTAGATTAGATGTCTGTAACCTGTCAAATAGCTAAAACATGAACCTCCTATCTGTCAGGTAAAAATGCAAGGGTGCAGAAAAGTTACATTGCGAGTGTAATCCTTGGATTTCAAAGGATTCACCACTGATAATCATGTGTGAAATTGTACATCAGATATGTCAACTTATTACAAGGTGTTGTAATGATGGTGTGTTCATTTTTACTTTGTGATATGAGTGTAAGTCTTGAGTCAGTTGTAGATGTAGTTGTACTAAGATCCTTTACATCCTCGATATCCAGGGGTTATGCTTACGTACACTCTCTGCACCCCTGGAATATGTCATAGCAAAATTGAAGGCACGAAGATAACTATTTGATTGGTCTCAGGTACAAAAAAAACTGACCAATCGTTAGGCTGTTACCTGTCCTTTGACGATTATAGGGGAGCGACACTCGACTTCATAGCCAGTATATTATACCATTGTGCATTCGCAAGATTCTTTTGATGTACATCAAAGGATCAAACTAATCTTCTTGTTTCATCCACAAGGTAGTGCACACCAAGGTGGCGAGTTCAGAGCCTTCAGTTTCGTCATGACATATTCCAGGGGTGCAGAAAGAGTAAGTGAGCGAGTATCGAGGATGGCTCCTTTACTTGAATAGTGTTCAGATGTAAGCTTGATATTAGTACTTTTATGAACTGTGGATTATTTTCAGCTTTTTGAACTTTTAAGGACAGTGCTAACATGTACGTATAATAGAAATCTTCCAAAAAAGTTCGAAAGTGTGAAAGTTATTACTCATCTACAAGTGATTAATTGGACTTCATTATTTAATTGATGGACAAGTAATACAAGAATGCATGCACTGATAATGCTTGTTTAAATAATGAATTAAGATATTGATTAATTTTTTTTTTTTTTTAAATCAATCACTAGAATAATGTGTAAGGTAGCATATATCTACCAATTAAATCCCTTTTGATTGATAAAACATAATATTGCTTCTTACTTCAAGACGAGGGATTATGAATAAATTTTGATTTACCACATTTTTGTTTGTTTCAAATTTGGACATTTGTCCAAGACAAATCTGCGTTAACACAGAAGGCTGGATGAGACAAACCAGAAAAAATTCTAATATTATATCCTAAAAAAACCTACGTAACATATATAGCAGAATTGGAGCTAATTTTAATTTGGTTGATAAAAAAAAATATGAATATTTTCTTTTCAAGTAGAATATTAGATAACATTGTAATAAAAAAAAAAAAATGTTGTGTGTAGTTCAATTTTGAATCTTGTGCAGTGAAAACACCCAGCCAAAACCTTGTTTACCTTTCTTTTAACAAATAAAGAAATCAACCTCATTGAAATTTAATCATCAATGCTGTTCTCTTTCCTATTGTAAACGGATCATAGAGGAATGATAGTTACGATCGGATTGTAATTAGGTAGGTAAGAAATAATTAGAAATTTAGCAGTTTTCATTCTATTTGTACAGATGTTACTTCTTATATATACAGAATTCTAAGCCCTCTGGTTTTTGATGAGTTTTTTCATTGATATACATACTGTGTCCACAAAGAGGAAGGAGAATGAGTGGAAGGTATACTTGATGTTGTGTAAGGAAAGGTGTATATACATGTATGTGGAGTACCTGATTTGCATTGTGTTCATGAAGTTATCCCAGAACCCATTCCATATTTACCATCAGGTTTATATATGGTTAATAAAATGAGCACTTGCTATTAAGAATCAATATGACTTCGTTGTTTTTATTTAAATGATTTTTTAGTTTCCTACTAGTGACGATAGGGGACTATCTAACTGCTCTATCCATCCATCCTCCAATCCAGGCAAGAACTTCTTAATGACTTGAAACTTGTATGCCCTGCAGTTTATGTAGGGCATAAAACATAGCATTATACCTGTCTAATTAAATCCTGTCGCAATTCTTTGTCACGACTCTACCACCTACATTTCTCAACAGATTTTCTTTTCAAGATTGAGGACAAAGCCTTAGTATTTGTTTACACGGGCAGAACATACATTTGCTACAGGCTCCAAAGCTGCATACATACGATGGATGGTTTACAATTGTCACCCAGACCAAACACGACCTGAATCGAACCTTGATCAAACTTGACCTGCAGATGATGAACATGAACAAAAAACATCAAATCTGTCACAAATATTTCATTTTTGTTTTTAATAGGTCTAAAATGAAAAAGTTTTTGAAAAGTAATAACAATGTATATATATTTTAAATACATATATTAACTATAATTAGACATCAAAACGTCATCCTACAAAATGAAATTACATGTATAAATGTCCAACAATTAATATTGCCACACAAAAATGCATTTGAATTAAATACATATGACACTTTTAAACACATTTTTTTGTGTGTGTATGTATACTATATTCATTGTGAAGTTTAAATTTTTCTTTTACATCCATTTCATACATAATTAGGTAACCATTCACCAACTCTTCAAATTTTGATTTCTTTATATTTGTAAACATGTAGTTTATTCATCATTTACTAACTTCAATTTTTCTTTAAAATTTAGTCCCATACAATTAATGTAATCTTGACGCAACCCCTCAATTTTCAATTTCAGATTTGCAATTTTTACAGAGTGTTCTACAGCTTGTTTAAAGCTTGTCTGACTATGCCTTAAGCTCTGTGGCACAAGTACACCAAACCAGTTCAGTGGATTAGGAAACAGTTTTTTATTTACACTGACTGTCTCTTCCTTTGGACTTAATTCCTTCTGATCATGACTGACAGGTTCTTCCTCATCTTGTTCCGATTTTTGTACATTACGTTTTCTCAGTCCAACAGTATCCACCGGAATGTCTTTAGCAGAAGTTTCAGTTTTTACTGATGACACATTATTAATGATTAGTACATTGCTTCCTTTGTTGTCATCCCCAACGGTTATTTTAACAGATGCTGCCATTTTGTTCTCATCATATTGTGAGGGACCTATTGCTTTAGCACCCATGTTGTAACGAGCTCGAGACATCTGTAGGAATCCGTTTTTCATATCTTCATTAAGGCATGACTGTGTCTTGTACAGGTCATCCAGTGTGCTGAAGAACTCTAGTAGGATTGAGTCTAGCTTTTCCTCAGTCTCACCTGTTGAATCCATCACTACACCTGGAAAAGAACAAATTTGTGCAAGATTACAGATCCCTGTATACGTACCACTACCCAAAACTGTAACTTAATACTTATAAGTTTTGGAAACTGTTTTTCCAAAATGACCATAGCTTTGCTGAACCATTTCTGATAAGAAAAGCCTACCTTGTGGCTTTTGGGCCGACTTATATGAGAAATATAGATATGAAATAATCAACAAATTATAAGTCAACAACAGTGTTCCAAGTGTAAAAGTTCAACGGGGCTCAACTTGGAATTGTACCCTGGACTTCAGATAATTATACCATCGCTCTAACAGATTGAGCTACCTGGTCAACAGAAGTGTGTGTTTGGGGGGTGGGGATTGGGGGTGTTGGCCTGAATAAAGTGGTTAAGGCGACAGACATTCTGCAACCAATAGCCTTTCACCACCACCACCACTGGGTCGCGGCTTTGAAATCTATGTGGGGCAGTCGCCAGGTACTGGCCGAAGGTCCATGGTTTTAATCCGGGAACTCCAGCTTTCCTCCACAACCAAAACCTAGTTGCATGTCCTTTAAATGACCATAGCTGTTAATAGGATGTAAAACACAACAACAAAAAATCAACGTTAGTTACTTTGCCGAACTGTGCTTCAGTTACATGTATATCCAAACGTAAGTTAAGGGGAGGCTATACAGGGACAGGGATCCTATACTAATTGATGTGGTAACAAAGAATCATGTTTGCCCACAAAATGTCAAACTCTGAGGTTCCTCTTGTATGAAATATCACTGGGGAAATTTGAGTAATTGACAGGGAAACACAACAACTATTTGCCAGGTGATCCACTCAATCTAATCAGAAACTTTTACATAGATGAATTAAACCCACTTACAAATATATTTTATTCACAAGCAATATTTTTGCACCTTTATTCTGGAAATTTTATTAAGCATTTCATTTTCAGCTCACCTGGCACGAAGTAGGTCAATGTCATTTTCCTTCTCAAATTGGTAAGCTCTATTCCAAAAGCTACCAGCCAAATCTTATGAATCCATTCCTTTTAGTTCTTAAGAACAAATCCATTAAAATGTTGTTGACCTCTGTGACCTTGAAAGTAGGTCAAGGTCACTTTCATTCTCAAACTTTGTTGGGCTCTTTCCTAGGAAGCTACAAGCCAAATATAAAGATTCTATACCTTTCAGTTGTTCAGAAGAAGTCGTTTGAAGTGTCTGACACATTTGACCCCTGTGACCTTGAAAGAAGGTCAAGGTCATTTTCTTCCTCAAACTCTGCCGGGCTCTATCCCAGAAAGCCATCAATCAAATATAAAGATTCTATACCTCTCAGTTCTTCAGAAGAATTAATTTGAAATTTTGACACATTTGACCCCTGTGACCTTGAAAGTAGAGCAAGGCAATTTTCATTCTAAAACTTTGTTGGGCTCCATCCCAGGAACCAATCAGCCAAATATGAAGATTCTATACCTTTTAGTTCTTCAGAAGAAGTCGTTTGAAGTTTTTGACATATTTGACCCCTGTGACCTTGAAAGTAGGTCAAACTAATTTTCTTCCTCAAACTTTGTTGGGCTCTATCCCAGGCGGCCACCAGCCAAATATAAAGATTCTATATCCTTCAGTTCTTCAGAAGAAGTCATTAGAAGCTTTTTGACATATTTGACCCCTGTGACCTTGAGAATAGGTCAAGGTAATTTTCTTTCTCAAACTTTGTTGGGCTCCATCCCAGGAACCAATCAGCCAAATATGAAGATTCAATACCTTTTAGTTCTTCAGAAGAAGTCGTTTGAAGTTTTTGACATATTTGACCCCTGTGACCTTGAAAGTAGGTCAAACTAATTTTCATTCGCAAACTTTGTTGGGCTCTATCCCAGGAAGCCACCAGCCAAATATAAAGATTCTATACCTTTCAGTTCTTCAGAAGAAGTTGTTTGAAGTGTTTGACACATTTGACCCCTGTGACCTTGAAAGTAGGTCAAAGTCATTTTCATTCTCAAACTTTGTTAAGCTCCATCCCAGGAAGCCATCAGCCAAATATGAAGATTCTATACCTTTTAGTTCTTCAGAAGAAGTCGTTTGAAGTTTTTGACATATTTGACCCCTGTGACCTTTAAAGTAGGTCAAGGTCATTTTCGTTCTCAAACTTTGTAGGGCTCCTACCAACAAAGCTTTCAGCCAAATATCATGACTCTAGGCCTATCCGTTCTTCAGAAGAAGTTGTTTAAAGGAAAAGTTGACCGACGAGGACGGACGGACGGACGGACGACGGACGACGTCTCAGCATGCTACTGGCATCTCAGCATGCTACTGGCCAAATATCATCACCCTGGGCCTTTCGGTTATTAAGAAGAAGTCGTTTAAAGTAAAATATTGACGCCGTACGCCGGACGGACGACGACGGGCGACGGACGCCGCCCCACGGCATAAGCTCACTTAGCACTTCGTGCCAGGGGAGCTAATAACCAAAAGGCTCAGGATGTTGATATTTATCATTTATCATGCTGAGATGAAGGGCTACACAGTTTGTTCAAATGAATGACCTTCAATTATATTCAAGGTCACAGGGGTCAAATTTGTTTAAAATCTTTAAACGACCTCTTCTGAATAACCATGGGTCCCATGATGTTGCAAGTTGCATACTGAGATGAAAGGCTATATAATTTGTTCGACTTTCAATCACAGGGGTGAAATGTTTAAAAAAAAAATAACAGGGTCTTTTGAATGAATTTAATCATAAATACTGATATTTTGCCTGTAGCTTTATTTATGATCACTTTTAAGGTTACAAGTGTGAGATTTATACCAGGTGAGCGATGCAGGCCCATTGGGCCTCTTGGTTTTTTTTGCATTGGATTGAATCTTGGAATTTGGTAGGTAGTTGCACGGAATTAGAAGTCCGTGGTAGTAGCTATATACCAGCAGGCCACCAAAAACATTTTTAAATATTCTTGTGGTGGTTTTTTTTGGTGTCTTTGTATTTTCTCAAATTTGATATGTGGGTTTTACATCAAACAAAGACATGAAAACTGAACTTGATATAGATAAAACCACCAAATTAGTAGAATATATAAAACCTCGTATATAATTTAATGGGGGGGGGGGGGGGGGGGGGGGATGTACTAGCATAAATGACTTTGGGTATGTCCCCACCGGGTCCATTCCTGAAAATCTAAGGCACATATCAGCTGCAAATGGTTGAAATTGGGTGTTTTTGGGGTGTTTTTTTATTCCAAATACAAATTGACAATAAAGTACATGGAACACTTACACTTTGTTGTATTCAAATAAGCTAACTCCAGTTCTTCAGATAGATAAAATTCTCAATGCTGACATGTGACGTTTCATCAGCTGATTATGGTGCCTTTTCTCAATTTTTCCGGTCTTCGTTTTATAAATTAGATTTGCTGCCAAAAAGTATGTGTCGTTATTGTGATACCTATGTCTATGATAAATATACATATTAGACCTTATGAAGAGTTGAAATTTAATAAAGATATTTATGATATGTAAACAATGAAAAAATTCGTTTGATTCTAGATTTTTATCTATACTTTTCGACATATCAGCATATTCACTTCCGGTGTTTAAACATTATGGCGGCTGTCATTTGATTAAGAGGCAACAGCATGGACATTTCGCCGACTCAAGCGATCATGGAACGACAAAACATGGACATGGATTCAAATTCACAATTTGTTAATATCAGAGACCTTCCAGAGGAGATTTTAGAATACATGCTACGATATTTATCTCCGTATAAGGATTTAAAATCAGCAATGCTGGTTTGTCACCAGTGGCATCGACTAGTTCAAGGTACATTGTGACTCATTTCTCGGCTTTTAATTTAGAACTTGCAGAAGAAAAACGATGCATGACATGGAGCATTTTATTTTGTATCACGCTTTCATACTTAATTAACGTTTGTATTTCTCATTTGCTACTATAATATACGTGCAACGTATAAATAAACACGTGCATGAAGTGACATGGGGGATCCTCCCTTACAATCTGGAATGAAAACACATAAACTGCATTGTAGCAACTGTCAATAAATTACCTCCTTGAAACACATTCACATATTTAATACAACACTACACATTAGTGTACAAATATGTGAATTCTTACATCTAGTTTCATTTAAATTTGACAAAACATGCAACTGTTTTACTCCCATAAGTATATAGATAACGATGATACAACGGTACCAATGTCATTGAATATGTAATAGGAGCAGAAAAATGCACGGCCATATCAGGATTCGAACCCGGGACCCTCTGAACTCATAAATGGACGTCACTCTAACCAATTGAGCTACCAGGGCACCGTCGATTGACCAAGTCCAGTCCCTTTACATTCCTCCCTCCTTTAAACATAGTTTTCAACCCGGAAGACACACAAGACTAAACAGGGACCTGGAAAGAATGAGGAACTGGGTAGACAAATGGAAAGTGACATCAAAATGCAAAGCCCTGATCATGACCATCTCAAGAAAGAGGAATCCAACCAGGTCTGACATTTTCTTTGGAACCATCAAATTGGCAGAGATCTTGGGTGTCACTGTAGTTTGGAAGCTCACCTGGAATAAGCACATTTCCAACATTACAGACAGAAGCTTGGAGCCCTTAGGAAAGTTGCAAACAAACTGAATGTCAAAGGGAGAACTGCTGTTTACAAGGCCCAGGTTCGTAGTGTCATGGAGTATGCCTCACTGTGTTGGATGAATGCCTCAGCCATCAATCTTAAGCTTCTCGAATCCATCCAGGTTAAAGCCTTCAGGATTATTGGTGTGAATGAACAGCAGGAAAGACTAGCTCTAAACATCCCATCATTACATCACAGTCGTCGGTGAAGCTGCTGTAGCAGTGCTCTACAAGAAGACATGACTTAAAGACTAATAGAATCTTTCACCCCCTTGGGGGTGAGATAGGAGAATCTCAACCCGAGGGGGCAGATTCTTAAGTTGTTTGGCAACTTAAGAATCTTTCCCCGAGGGTTGAGATTCCCCTATCTCACCCACAAGGGGTTGAATGATTCTTTTTCTCTTTCCCTGTTCTCCCATTGTGTATCATATACACAATGTAATGATAACGTTACATGCTAAATTCAGGGTTGATGTGACGTTGATGGATTGTTGACGTGACATCATTGTATTGTTGAAGTGACGTCATGCCATTGTTATGAAAAGGGGAATCCCCCGTCTCAACCCTAGGGTGAGACAAGGAAATCTCACACCGGTAAAAGTGCAGATACACCTATCCAGGTTAAGAGAAAAGACTTTCTGATACTTTGACAGATGGTTGTGAATGTCAGATGTGGACGAACACCTAGTCCTATCTTTCAAAATGTCCGAGTCTGGTGTCTGCAGGGTAAAGAGGATACTCTGGCTACCCAAATGGATAGATCTTGTAAAATAGTTTTAAAATAACTGTATTATGATAAATGTTAATTATGGGAATTTAAAAAAAAAAGCAGCAACATTGTGGTGCAAAAAGAAAATCTGACTTAAGTGACAAATAGCAGGGATTGGTTTTGTTTGGTTTAGTATTGTTTAACGTCCAATCAATAGCTATAGGAAGGCCATGTAAAGCTCAGCAGCTGCACATGAAAGTGCTTTGCTTGATTAGATAATTATATGTTACACTGGCATGGGCAGTGGCTTGCTACCTGAATCAAGCAGTCATATTAAATAAGCCTTGTTTTTGAAAATATTTCTGTTTTAATTCTATGTACATTGTATGTATGAAATATTTAGTCATTGACTTTCCTCATAAATACTTAAGTAAAATCCAATTAATCTGAATCTGAAACAGATTTATACTTGAAATTAAGAACTGAGTCAAGGCAAGTCAACCATGCCTTGATTGGAACTTCTATATAAACAATTTCCTACATGTAACTAGTTTGAATGTAAGTGGTGGCCGAGTGGTTTAGGTGTCTTGACATCTATTATCACAAAAATTAAGCCCTCCATCACTGGGTCGCAGGTTCAAGGCCTAGGTTGGGCAGTCGCTAGGTACTGGCCTCAGGTCAGTGGTTTTTCTCTCTTTACTCCAGTTTTCCTCCACCACAAAAACCTGACACGTCCTTAAATCACCATAATGTCATAGCTACATGCCGGTAATAGAAATAGGATACATGTAAATAACAAACCAAGTTTGAATGTATAGATTGTATTTGATGGATGGGTTTACGTTGAATATTGTTCTATTCTTGTGATAGTTTTGTAATATCAATATCTCTTTCACTTTCATCAAAATATAGCATGTTTTTCTTCTTGCTTGCATGCCATGGAAATAATCATGACCAATTAAACAAAAAATGGAAGGCCTGAATGGATTCCCTTTGTTTGTCATCGGGTGTTCATAGTCTTTATATATATGTAAATAATCTGATCTACATGTAATATATCCCCAACGTGTTGTTCATCATTACACAGGCCGAAGGCTGACTTTGATATCTGTCTGTAAACTGTAGGTGTGCTGCACCAGATGTACCAGGACTTCCTACACAGTCTGTGGGACTGTAAGGTCAGCTGGACGGAGATCCTCCCCGAGGTCGGCTCCAACATCACAGAGCGCTACTCACACTGTGCTTGCTACTACGACAAATCAGCCTACATCTTTGGTGGCTGTACTTCTACAAATACTACCTTCAATGACCTTTGGAGGTTTGACCTTTCAACCAGACAATGGGTTCGGCCACTAGCCATAGGTTTGTGTTATATGATTATCTTATCATGCGAGATAGAGCCAACGTCAATGTTGAGTAGGTTGGGTGAGTAGGCGGGGTACTTCGCTGTGAGTGTGGATACCGAAAGGTATGCAGGGCGATTGAATAAAAAGTTGCATATAAATCCAGGTAGGTTTCAATCACAACACGCTCAAGCGTTACCAATGCGTGGGTTTTTATTACGGTCAACTAGTTTCGACTCTATGTGCGAGTCTTCATCAGGACATTTTTTCAAGATATTTCAGCCCCTGAAGTACTAAAAATGGGGTGCAGTTTTACATTGTTAGTTATTACATGACGTCATCAACATAGAGTCGAAACTAGTTGACCGTAATAAAAACCCACGCATTGGTAACGCTTGAGCGTGTTGTGATTGAAACCTACCTGGATTTATATGATTATCTTATGTTGCATCTCACAAAATGTTGGTACAATGTACGTATATCAGTAAAATAAAATATATTATTGAATGAATGCAAAGTTTGAAAGATTTGATCTTTATTTATGTAAATTTAAGTAAAATTAGAGGGCAATACATATATTCCCAAAACCTATCAGCATTACTTAATAAGTTAATTAGTGCAATGACCAACTTTGCTGAAATATGTATATATATATATCAAGGGACTCACTTTATTGAACTGGCTGGATTATTACCAACTTACAACTGTACTGTGTTATTCATTTGTATATAGTTCATTTAGTGGTGAACTGCAGAGAAAAGTGAAAAAGATATCTTCAAATATGAATTTCACCAAATAGTAGATAATATGGTCAATGTGTTTGATGAATATTTTAATAGTTACTGGTATGTACATTGATTTATGTAAATCAAGGAAGGTACCCGGTGTTATATAGGTTTACAGCCAAAATGTTACTTAATGTTTCAGGCACATATCCGTCACCAAAGGCATGTTCCAGCATGACAGTCTACAAAGACAGCCTAGTTCTCTTTGGTGGCTGGAGCCATCCTACTCCTTATCCTTTGCATCAGGTCTGTAATTTCCCAGTCTTTTCTGTGTTTCATAGCTGCTGCCCCCACCCCTCCCAACTCCTATCCCCTACATTAAAAATCCTATCTGTAGCCGTCCCAACTTCCTCTGTTTAAGCCACTTAGCCGCTTTTCTCCTTATCCCCTTAATAAAGTCTGTACCTTAATCCTCCAATATTCTCTGTCTTAGTAACTGGTGTGACCCCACTCCTTAGTCCCTGCATCTGGTGAGTAGCCCTGTGTTTTAGAGACTTGAGCCAACCCTCTTCTTATCCCCTGCATCAGGTTCATATTCGTCTTCTCAAGCCGAGGGTTACGAAGAGCATGTAGACCAGTTCGTAACCCTTGGCTAACGAAGATGGTCCATTACCTAGTACTGAGGCCATCCCACTTAAATTCTTTAAACCATTACACAGAAGTGAAGAGCATGTTAGTGTGAAAAAGTTCCAATGTTAAACCTTAGGCTTTTTTTGGTCGCTTGCAAAGCAAATTAAAAGTGACATGTTGGGATCATTCTGTGGCGGCATCTGCACAAACGATTTCCGTGCTATAGACCTTGAAATTTCTACAAATACCTGCAGTATCAATTACCCACTCAAGTTCAATTTGGACCTAAATCTCAAAATCATCATGCCCTCCATTCACTACCGAGTTTATTGATGCGTTCGATATATTTCAAACATAGAAAATATTGTTGATTTTCTTTTATGTAATAGACAACCCTACATCAAATTATGGTGTTCTTCATGGTTTTGTAATGGAACCGTAGAGTTTGTTGTTGAAAGTTTATGTTTTGATCTCCAGGCTGCACGGTTTTTCTCTGAGCTGCACATGTACAAGCCGGAGACAAACAGGTGGTTTCACATCACAACCATGTCCCCTACTAGTCCAAAGCCGACGGCTGGTCACTCAGCATCTGTAGTTAGCGACACCATGGTCGTGTTCGGAGGCTCACATGTTCCTGGAGCTGGGTAAGTTGTTCTTTAAACAACAAATCTTTGATTAGAAGCGTCATTTCTCTCTGAATCCGACATACTGTGTATGTGCCAAGATGTTTCAACTTTATACACATTAGAACTGAATGAGAATGAATTAATTTATTTATATCAACCTTAAAGAATAATTAGTTCCAATAGAAATTTGATTCTGAGAAAATATCATGTTTTTATCTGCCAACAATTACTGTCATTTTGGCTTTGTTGATGTTAATCGAGGGGTGTTAACCAGCCGCATTCATTGAAAAGGTGACTTGAAACAGTATTTGTAAGACTGTCTAGTGTTGATTTCATTTGTTGGTGACTGATTTCAATAGATGATAATTTTGACAGATTGAAATGAACATCTTGCATAAAGCATTACCTCATTATTTATTAGCTCACCGGGTCCGAAGGACCAAGGTGAGCTTATGCCATACCAAGGCATCCAACATCCGTCCGTCAATAGTTTCTTTAAACGACTTCTTCTCCTTAACCACTGATTGGAATTTAACTAAATTTGAATGGAAGCATCCCTAGGTGGCGGGGATTCAAAATTGTACAAATGGTGGGGTTGACCCCCCAGGGGGCTAAAGGGCGGGGCAAAAAGGGGGCAATTTGGCTATATTGCTACAAACAACTTCTTCTGTAGAACTATACACTGGATATCGATCATATTTAATCAAAAGCATTCATGGGAGCTGAGGGGTGGGGCCAAAAAAGGTTATTTGGCTATATTGCTTTAAGCGACTTCTTCTCTGGAACTAAGTGATGGATATCAACCATATTTGACTGGAAGCATCCCTAGGTGGTGGGGAATCAAAATTGTACAAATGGTGGGGCTGACAGCCCAGGGGGCTAAGGGCGGGGCCAAAAGGGGGCAATTTGGCTATATTGCTATAAATGACTTCTTCTGTAGAACTATGCCATGGATATCGATCATATTTGGTCGGAAGCATTTATGGGAGGCAGGGATTCAAAATTGTACAACTGGTGGGGCCAAAAAAAGTTTATTTCTTGGAAATGGTTGAGATCCCCACCATATAACCATATATACAATTGCTGGGTATAAAGAGAAGAATGCACATTTGCTTCTAGGATGGCACTAGGGTCTGGCCCCACCCTTGGAGACATAGTCCCTGGGCAATAACTTTAAAACGGTTGAGATCCCCACCCCAAATTTATATATACAAATGCTGGGCATAAAGAGACGAATGCAGTCCTGATATTATAATAGACCCTGGGGTCTGACCGAACCCCTAGGGACCTAGTTTCTTAGTCACAGCTTGGAAACAGTTGAGATCCCCACCCTATAACCATATATACAATTGCTGAGTATAAAGAGATGAATGCACATATGCTTCCAGGATGGCCTTGGAGACTTAACCCCTGGGTCATAACTTTGAAATGGTTAAGATCCCCACCCCAAAACTATAAATCTTTAAAATCCTTTTCCTTCTATACTATTGGAGGGATTTTATCCAAATTTTTCCTGGAGTATCCTTTATAAAAGGGGACTAAATTTTGTATAAACAGAGGGTGTTGCCCCTCTGGGTGAAGAGGGGTGGGGCCTAAAACTGGAATTTGAGGTTTAAGTCTTTTAAATCCTTCTTCCTCTGTACCATTGAAGGGATTTCATCAACAGTTGGCTCGGAACCTCCTTGGGCAAAGGGAACTTAATTTTGTATAAAGAGAGGGTGTGGACCCTCTTGGTGCAGAGTTGCAAGATCCAATAGGGAAATTTGAGGTTAAATTCTTTAAAACCCTCCTTGTTCAGTACCATTGGAGGGATTTTTTGTAATAAGAATAATTAACCATGGTTGCTTTATTATCCCTCTGGGCCTCACTGTCCTCACCCTCACAGTTAATCATATCTAAATAAGCTCATTTAAATAGAAAAAAAAATCTTAGTACCAGTATGAACAAATGAGGTTTACCTGGCACTTTGTGAAAATTTTGTAAAAATGTTGATTTGATTAAAATTTTAGTTGAAACATTATAAAAAAAGGACTTTTTTTGTAGGACGAATGAAGTGTGGGTGTTTGACTTCGTTGAAATATTGTGGAAAAAGAAGCAGACTGGGAGTAAAAAACCTAGTCCACGATATGGCCAAACTCAAGTAAGACTTTGGACACAGTTCCTAATAACAAAGTATTGCTGTAATTGCTCATATTATAGTGTTGTTATTGAAACAAGTTCTTAGGTTCAGGTTTAAACATAGAGATTTCAATACCTGTTCTAAAGTTAAAGTCTAGAAATCTAGTTTCCTGTTTCAGTTCTTCTAATTATTAGGTCTAGAAATAGAATTTTCTGGAGCAGTGTTTAATTTTATCTAGTTATTGATTTAAATTCAGCTATCAATTTGAATATTTCAATTCATGTGTTAACAAATGTCTTACATTTAATTATGAGTTTACTTACAAATTTGAATTATTAGTCATGCCCACAATAAACATGTTTTCGTTCAGTACCAAAAAAAAAGGTACTGCAGTTTTAAATGCCTCAAACATGTTTGAAACAGACTTTGGACATTTATATGTTTTCAGATGACCATAGATGACTCACACATTCTGATCATTGGAGGATGTGGCGGACCAAACCAGGTACTGGCCAATTTACTTATGATACTTTCCTGATGTAATTTTCTTAATATTATAGTATTTCCTTTTCTCAATATTGTAGTGTTTTTTCATGCTCCAGTGGGTTGTAAAATTGTCAAGACACCAATAATAATGACACTTTATATCTGGCAAACAACTTGTTTTGATTTTGTTTTTGTTTTTTCCAGCCTCAAATGAAGAAAAAAAGCATCTGTTAAAATAAGCACTATATGTGCACAATAGTTTTGTCATAACTTTAACTCTGAGATAGAAAGAATGATTTCTGTTGTCTGTTATTTCAGATCTTTAGTGATTGATTTCTGTTGTCTGTTATTTCAGATCTTTGGTGATTGATTTCTGTTGTCTGTTATTTTTAGATCTTTAGTGAATAGATCTTTAGTGATTGATTTCTGTTGTCTGTTATTTTTAGATCTTTAGTGATTGATTTCTGTTGTCTGTTATTTCTAGATCTTCAGTGATGTCTGGCTTCTCTCCCTTGACTGTGAACCCTGGCAATGGCAGCAGATTTATGTGATACAGCCAGAAAATGCTGCTCCCCAACTGTGGTGTCACCCAGCCTGTAAGGTATGTCAGTACGGACAGAAAATGCTGCTCCCCAAGTGTGGTGTCACCCAGCCTGTAAGGTATGTCAGTACGGACAGAAAATGCTGCTCCCCAAGTGTGGTGTCACCCAGCCTGTAAGGTATGTCAGTACGGACAGAAAATGGTGCCCCCCAACTGTGGTGTCACCCAGCCTGTAAGGTAAGTCATTACAGACAGAAAATTCTGCTCCCCACCTGTGGGGTCACCCAGCCTGTAAGGTAAGTCAGTACAGCCAGAAAATACTGCCCCCCAACTGTGGTGTCACCCAGCCTGTAAGGTAGGTCAGCACAGACAGAAAATACTGCTCCCCAAATGTGGTGTCACCCAGCCTGTAAGGCAGGTCAGTACAGCCAGAAAATACTGCTCCCCAACTGTGGTGTCACCCGGCCTGTAAGGTAAGTCAGTACAGACAGAAAATACTGCTCCCCAAATGTGGTGTCACCCATCCTGTAAGGTAAGTCAGTACAGACAGAAAATAATGCTCCCCAACTGTGGTGTCACCCAGCCTGTAAGGTAAGTCAGTACAGACAGAAAATGCTGCTCCCCAACTGTGGTGTCACCCATCCTGTAAGGTAAGTCAGTACGGACAGAAAATACTGCTCCCTAACTGTGGTGTCACCCATCCTGTAAGGTAAGTCAGTAGGGACAGAAAATACTGCTCCCTAACTGTGGTGTCCCCCAGCCTGTAAGGTAAGTCATTACAGACAGAAAATACTGCTCCCCAACTGTGGTGTCCCCCAGCCTGTAAGGTAGGTCAGTACAGACAGAAAATACTGCTCCCCAACTGTCGTGTCACCCAGCCTGTAAGTTAAGTCTGTACAGACAGAAAATACTGCTCCCCAACTGTGGTGTCACCCAGCCTGTAAGGAAGGTCAGTAAGGACAGAAAATACTGCTCCCTAACTGTGGTGTCCCCCAGCCTGTAAGGTATGTCAGTACGGACAGAAAATGCTGCTCCCCAAATGTGGTGTCACCCAGCCTGTAAGGTAAGTCATTACAGACAGAAAATACTGCTCCCCAACTGTCGTGTCCCCCAGCCTGTAAGTTAAGTCTGTACAGACAGAAAATACTGCTCCCAAACTGTGGTGTCACCCAGCCTGTAAGATAAGTCAGTACAGCCAGAAAATACTGCCCCCCAACTGTGGTGTCCCCCAGCCTGTAAGGTAGGTCAGTACGGACAGAAAATACTGCTCCCCAACTGTCGTGTCACCAAGCCTGTAAGGAATGTCAGTACGGACAGAAAATACTGCTCCCCAGCTGTGGTGTCACCCAGCCTGTAAGGTAAGTCATTACAGACAGAAAATACTGCTCCCCAACTGTGGAGTCATCCAGCCTGTAAGGTATGTCAGTACGGACAGAAAATACTGCTCCCCAACTGTCGTGTCCCCCAGCCTGTAAGTTAAGTCTGTACAGACAGAAAATACTGCTCCCTAACTGTGGTGTCCCCCAGCCTGTAAGGTAGGCCAGTACAGACAGAAAATACTGTTCCCCAACTGGGGTGTCACCCAGCCTGTAAGGTAAGTCTGTACAGACAGAAAATACTGCTCCCTAACTGTGGTGTCCCCCAGCCTGTAAGGTATGTCAGTACGGACAGAAAATTCTGCTCCCCAACTGCGGTGTCACCCAGCCTGTAAGGTAAGTCTGTACAGACAGAAAATACTGCTCCCCAACTGTCGTGTCAACCAGCCTGTAAGTTAAGTCTGTACAGACAGAAAATACTGCTCCCTAACTGTGGTGTCCCCCAGCCTGTAAGGTATGTCAGTACGGACAGAAAATCCTGCTCCCCAACTGTCGTGTCACCAAGCCTGTAAGGAATGTCAGTACGGACAGAAAATACTGCTACCCAACTGTGGTGTCACCCAGCCTGTAAGGTCAGTCAGTACAGACAGAAAATGCTGTTCCCCAACTGTGGTGTCACCCAGCCTGTAAGGTATGTCAGTACGAACAGAAAATACTGCTCCCCAACTGTGGTGCCACCCAGCCTGTAAGGTAAGTCGGTACAGCCAGAAAATACTGCTCCCCAAGTACGGACAGAAAATGCTGCTCCCCAACTGGGGTGTCCCCCAGCCTGTAAGGTAGGTCAGTACAGACAGAAAATACTGTTCCCCAACTGTGGTGTCACCCAGCCTGTAAGATAAGTCAGTACAGCCAGAAAATACTGCTCCCCAACTGTGGTGTCACCCAGCCTGTAAGGTAAGTCGGTACAGCCAGAAAATACTGCTCCCCAACTGTCGTGTCACCCAGCCTGTAAGGTAAGTCGGTACAGACAGAAAATACTGCTCCCCAAATGTGGTGTCACCCAGCCTGTAAGGTAGGTCAGTACAGACAGAAAATACTGCTCCCCAACTGTGGTGTCACCCAGCCTGTTCTTGAGGTCAGTACAGCCAGAAAATACTGATTTCAGTCAAATATGTCAATTAAATTCATTGAATTCATTTAATAGCAATCATGAAAACCATGAATGATTATGCTCAACAAATCTGTCATGTTATTATACAGTATGCTGCAGACGATAATAATGTCACAATGTACTTGTTACAAAGATAAGAGACTGTGTTTGTGATTATTTATTGATTATGCCCAACATTCTTGTATGTTCTATTGAACCGGGTAAAAAATATTTGCATATAAAATTAAATTAGGTTGATGATTCATTTTCTGTATACAGTGATTGTTTCTTTAAATGTGTTGTGTTTGTTGTAGGTTGGAGATATGATAGTAGTCCTGAGTAAGCCCAATAAACCGCTACAGTCCTCCAAGGATAATACCCGGGAAAATCAGGCCACAATGCGTCCTACCTTCAGGGGAAACCGAGTGTGGGTCCCTCCAAGGGGAGATAATTCACAACAAGCCTCACCCTCAGAAAATCGCAATAGGGCCCGGCCCATGCTTGTATCAGACAGTGATGATAGTTCTGGTGCAGAGAGTGAGGATAACATGCCAAGTCAGGGAGGTCAAAGACCAGAGTTCAAACATCCCTCATATTTACAGCTAAGGTCATCAAGGTCAAGAGGTCAGCTGAATCAATCTCCTAGAGCAAAAGGGGGTCACTTGTCACCTAACAGACTTCAAGGTCAGGGACCTATTCCAAGCGGAATGATAGGAGATGCTGCTGAGCCTGGGCCTTCAGAGGAGGGGGCATGTGGAGGCACATCTAGTCTGAGGCCAGGGGAGCCCTCGGTACGTCCTAATGCTATGAAAAATAGACAAAGACAATTAGAGGCACTGAGGAAGTTTGAGGAAAAATTGCGAGAGAGTCGCATTGGACAGTCATCCTCATCTGGAAGGGGACAAGGGAATGTGTCTTCAGGCGTAGGGGGAGGCAGCACCGCTAACTCTCGTGATAATCGTGTTGCCATGCATTTACATGTTCTGGACATAAGTGATGTGATCAAGACAAAGTCAGCCACATGGCGGCCTATCAATGAAAACATTTCTGTTAATGCTCCCGAGGAAACAATATTCTACTCGCTGGTAAAAGGTCGAGGAGAACTGATTGTCTTCGGTGGTATTCAGCGGGACATCCAGTCCATGCAGCGTGGTATGGATGTTAAACCACAAGTTGTTAGTAACAGTCTCTATATCGTTTCTCCTCGTAAGCTGTATTTATAACTAGAGGAAAGTGTTTATCGTCTCGCTAACATTACATACCGCCAGACTATACTGCGGAATTCTGACACCGGGGCAATTCTGATTTGATTAGAGTTACTAGCTGAACCACAGATGTTCTACAGCAAAAAAAGAAATTTGCAACTGTGTGCTTACCCTTCAAACTGAGTTGGGGCTTGTTACTAGTGTTCATTTATAAGCTCTGCCTTCAGTGCGGTCCAAGTGTGTTCGTTTATCATGGAATGTTTCTGCGCCAGATATATAAATGCAACCTTAATTCTTGATTTTCTTGATCAGATTATTCTGACATAAGTCATTTGTAAATTATTGTATTGTTATGCTTCCAATGCGTTCATAATTTTTTGACAGCATTCATTGATATGTACAATATTTTACCGTTTTGTGACACAAGAAGTGAGAATAAACAATCTCCCAGTCTTACTTGTTAAAAGCATATCCATACTGAAATTAATTTAGCTTAAATTTTAAGAAGGGTTTTTTTTGTGTTTAACATGATGATACAAATCTTTTATGAGGTCACCAATTTTTCACAAAAATGACAGCAGGTATTTGTATAATAGATGTCCCAATTTTATGATTTATGTAAGATTCTCTTGATTTAGTAACTCTCCCTGTGCATGGAACACTGTGGCTAAAGTAGGTAAATTTTGTACCGACAATGTACAGTAGATTTTGCTTAATGTCACTTCTCATTTGTCAGAGGAAAGTGTGATATTAACCATACATCCTTATAGTAGATATGATACATGCCTAGTCCTAGCGTCTATAATAGCTAGTCCTAAGTTTTGTGTTTTGTCTGGTTAAGAAGCCTGGAGTGTTATTATGAACAATTACAATTATTGTTTTTAGAATTTAATTGTTTTACTTTATGCCAAATGTTAATTGATTATTTATATTTTACAAGAGCAAGTAAATGTATGTAGTCAACAGCTTTTCTTAAAATAGCAACATTGTCATTTGTAAATTGTTGGCTATGTTTTCTGCAGGAATATTGATTATGATACATTGCTATAATTGGTATATATACTCACAGCAAAACACTTTTTGTGTTTTGAAAAAAATATTTCGTATCATTAGTGTACACAGTTCAATTTGATAAAAATTAAAATTGTGTGTCATCATTTAGATACTGGTGCATGTGTGTAGACACAAAAAGTCAAACAAAGCTACTCTAATTGATGTAAGGTTTTAAGTCTTTTGGCTAAAAATAGCTGATTATTTTTAATGTCTAACTTCAGGTGTAATATCACTTATTTCCAGTTACCTAGTAAGTGCCATATAAGAAGTTTCACAAATACGCTTCCTCATTTAAATTTCACGACTTTTTGAAGAGTGGTATCAGTCAATCATGAAAGGGATATACAGATGTACCCAGGATAATCCCCTGCGACTAATATCCAAACGTTCAGATAGAATTTTTGGTATCATGTGCATATTTGTTTGGGTAACGATAGGCCAATATTTTCCAGACAAAGTGCTTGATGCATGTATGGCCCTATTATACGATAATCGGTGAAATATAATTATGTTACTGGGTTTTGATATAATGTCTATTGTTGATGTTTGTAGTCGGTGAATATATCTTAATCATTTTGTTGACATGTTCTATCGACGCTTGTCCTGATAAGTGACACCGTTATGTTCATAACACATTCATAACAGACATACATGTACTTTATTATCAAGCTGGTCAGTATTTAATACCTCATCCAACTTTCATAGTTAAAAGACTCGTGGACATGGGAGTATAGTATATCTAATCCAATCAATTACAACTATCATCATTACAACCTTTATGTTTGTGATTGAACACAGAAAGGGAGCATGCCAACTTCTTCATTTAAGTTTTGATAGATACTTGGACTGACACATTTAAATTTTGATAGGTACTTGGACTGACACATCTAAGTTTTGATAGGTACTTGGACTGACACATCTAAGTTTTGATAGGTACTTGGACTGACACATCTAAGTTTTGATAGGTACTTGGACTGACACATCTAAGTTTTGATAGGTACTTGGACTGACACATCTAAGTTTTGATAGGTACTTGGACTGACACATCTAAGTTTTGATAGGTACTTGGACTGACACATCTAAGTTTTGATAGGTACTTGGACTGACACATCTAAGTTTTGATAGGTACTTGGACTGACACATTAAAAAGGAACAGTTATAGCAACTTCTGCCCGGTATATGTACTGCACTTTTTATGGTGAAATCTGACAAAAAAATGGCTATTCGGACTCGGATGGTTATATCACAGGCATTTTCAAGTGTGCTGTGACCCATATCAGTATATAGTATATGTGTATTTCAGACATTTGTAATGAACCCCTATGTTTATACACATACCCCGGTTTATAACTTCATGGTACCATCACACCCACTGGCTATGATGTCAGTACTGTAACATTGTACTGTGCAACTGACATAAAGTTGAATAGATTCAACCAAAGCTCACATCAAGTCATCAGAATGACTAAGGATCACATTTGTTGATAAACATCAAATGAATTACTATTCTGATCTTGATATAACACGGAGTTGCAAATTCAACCTTTCAAACTTTCGTATCGGAGAAACTGTGTATACATATTTGGAAAAAGTACTCAAAACGATTCAATTTGGTAAAATAAAATGCCATAGTTTTATCTGTTTTATAGATTGACTTGATTGAATTTGAGCAAAGAGCAAGATGTAGTCAGAGTTCTGCTCGTGTCAAAAAGAGAAAAATGATGGTGAAAAAATCCCTCTGAAGTACTGTATAGTGGTTATATTTTGTGTGGGTTTTGATTTCGCTATATTCGCACTTGGACTAATATCCGCGAATTCTAAACACTAAACAAAATTCTTTGCACAACACATGGGATTCGCTTGCACATGCAGCGAAATTTAACCCCCGCAAATAATTGACTCCGCAAATTTAAAGCACTATACAGTATGCGGACTTAGCAAGTATGATAACTTATACTTGATATAATGTAACTTTACACACAACCATAATATGAATACATATAAATGTGCTGATAAATGAATTATAGTTCTGTCATTGATGTACATGTTACTGCTAAGTTTACATCAAGGGTCATTATGACCTGTAATTGTGTAATTAGATAGTACTTGCTAACCTTTTGATATTTCCATTAATTATTAAAATTTGATCCCGTTGACTCTTAGGTTTCATACACCATGACGTTTATCGGAAAAGCTGAAACTAGAAACAGGTTTCCACTATTCCGTCTTTGCGTATTGCAGAGTTATCTTTTCTTGGGAGCAGGGATTGATTGTTACGTCAATTGTTTGTGAGAGAAACGTCATCAATTTTTGAGAAAACGACGTAATTTTCACACACAGACCAATGACGTAACAATCAATCCCTGTTCTCAAGAGAAGATAACTCTGCAATACACAAAGACGGAATATCATTTGATAAATTTTCCCTGAAATTGGAATTTATGATAAAAAAAATAAAAAGTAAATTGGCCACAATACAATTCTCTCTTTTGTCTTTGAAAAGAAACACTATTATACTGGTAGCTGTTTATATTGTATATTGTGTATAGGCTGTTTAAGGGACCCTCGTACAATGAAATCAGTTAGTGTTTCACTATGGTCACCTTACACAGATATTATTTATCGATGTTAGAGATATCTACCCATCCGCAATACTCAAGGGGTTACGCTCACTTTCATTCTCTGCACCACAAATCCACTCAGTTTCACTGCGACCACAAGATTCTTTTGATATACATGTACATCGAAGAATCAATTTAGTCGTCTCATCCACAAGGTGGCACACACTGAGCCTTCAATTTTCGGACATATTCCAGGGATACAGAGGGCGTAAGTGAGCGTAACCCTCTGGAGAATCGCAGATGATATCTACCATGACTTGTTATAGAGATGATACTCCATATATATCTGTACCTGTCAACGTTAGAAATGTTTCTGTAAACCTACCTGTTTTTAGCAGTACTAACAAATGACAAAAATGAGATAAGGCTATTTACTGCATAATATGCGAGTTTACAATACTTGTGGCATTTCCATCTACTCAGGAGGGACATTCATCTAGTCCAAGATTTTATGTATCATATCAGTAGAGCTATCATGATGTAACGTAAACTACTGCACTATCAAACTTTTCATTCATAAAAGTAGTCACTATTTACTATGACATATCATTTGAGATATTTAGCACACTGCAGTCCAACATAATAATATAATTTTTTACATCTTCAGTACTGTAGAACCACACTGTAATGAACTTTCAATAATCAGGTACCAATTTTGTTCTGGAAATTTTGGAAACTGTTTCTTTTTTTTTCTTTCTTTCTGGATACCATGTTGGAAATCAAAGTGTAATGTTTTCACTTCAAGAAAGATTTTATTGTAATTATGAAAATATATGTCTTGATTTTAAAAATAGAACTGATTGAGACAATGTTTGAGAAATGTTAATGTTTCTAATTAAAATATACACAGCTGTATCCGGTATATGAAAAACGCCCATTAGTGAGTACACTGTATTACCAAAATATTGAAATAAAATTTCTTGCAAATCAGAAACAGTTATTGCTGTTATTTATATTTTTGGGTCTGTTTTGGTAAATACTGAGGAATGTACAAATGTATGCTTATCAAAATAAAATTATGACAATTTCCTATAGACCCATGCTGTGTGTAATTTGACTTTATCTTATCGAGGGGAAAGACAGTAACACAGACTCTTGGTACAGGATCTTATTGGGTGGCCAAGGCAGAAACAGGATCTTATCTTAGTAAAGGGTCTAACGTTCTTTGTACAGGACCTTAATGATGGGAAAGGCAGTAATAAAGGATCTTGTCAAGGGGAAAGGCCATGACACAGGCTCTTGGTACAGGATCTTGTCAAGGGGAAAGACAATGACACATAATCTAGTTACAGGATTTTGTCAAGGGGAAAGGCCATGACACAGGCTCCTGGTACAGGATCTTGATAAGGGTAAAGGCCATGACAGGATCTTGTCAAGGGGAAAGACAATATAAAACAGACTCTTCGTACAGGATCTTATAATCATGGGGAAAGCTAATGACACAGACTCTTGGTACAGGATCTTATACTCAAGGGGAACGCTAATGACACAGACTCTTGGTACAGGATCTTGCCATGCCATGGGTAAAACAATGTCATATGCTTTTGGTACAGGATCTTGTCAAGGTGGAAGGCCATGACACAGGCTCTTGGTACAGGATCTTGTCAAGGGGAAACACAATGACACAGGCTCTTGGTACAGGATCCTGTCAAGGGGAAAGGCCATGACATTGGCTCCTGGTACAAGATCTTAGTAATAAGGGGAAAGACCATGACACAGGCTCTTGGTACAGGATCTTAATAAGGGTAAAGACAATGACACAGGCTCTTGGTACAGAATCTTATCAAGGGAAAAGACAATGGCACATCATCTTATCAAGGAGAAAAGCAATGACAACAGCTACTTGTACAGGATCTTGTCAAGGGAAAAGCAATGACACAGGCTCTTGGTACAGGATCTTATCAAGGGAAAAGACAATGACACATAATCTTGGTTCATGTCTTATCAAGGGAAAAAGCAATGACAACAGCTCTTTGTACAGGATCTTGTCAAGGGAAAAGCAATGGCACAGGTTCTTGGTACAGGATCTTATCAAGGGAAAAGACTGACACATAATCTTGGTACAGGATCTTATAAAGGGGAAAAGCAATGACAACAGCTCTTTGTACAGGATCTTGTCAAGGGAAAAGCAATGACACAGGCTCTTGATATAAGACTATCAAGGGAATGACAATGACACATAGGTTAAATTCCCGTATCCTAGTTGAAACGGTACGTGTGGCACAGAAATTTTCCACGATAAACGAACACACTTGGACCGTGCTATAAGCAGAGCTAAAAATGCACAGTTTTGGAGAATAAAAAACAGTGTTTCAAGAATATTATGACCTTTTTTCATCCGTCCACTGAATCATATAACGTATCTTAAAAACTATGTGTGACTTGACATTGTTTTAGAAATAAATAACGCAAACTGGCAATAGTTAGCATTTTAGTTTCGGCCAGGTACGTCTGGACCCCTCACTCTACACGTGCCAAATTTTCCTGAGGTCAGCCTCAGTCCAAATCTGTACCTCTTTACAGGTTCAACCGGATATGCGAATGTAGCACTAATCTTGGTACAGGATCTTATCAAGAGGAAAGGCAATGACACAAGCTACTTGTACAGGATATTATCAAGGGAAGGCAATGAAACAAGCTACTTGTACAGGATATTATCAAGGGAAAGGCAATGTAACAAGCTACTTGTACAGGATCTTATCAATGGAAAGGCAATGAAACAAGCTACTTGTACAGGATATTATCAAGGGAAAGGCAATGACACAAGCTACTCGTACAGGATCTTATCAAGGGAAAGGCAATGACACAAGCTACTTGTACAGGATATTATCAAGGGAAGGCAATGAAACAAGCTACTTGTACAGGATAGTGTCAAGGGAAAGGCAATGACAACATTTTTTGTACAGGTTGCTATAAGCTCTGTCCAAGAATTAACAAAAATCATTATTACCAGGTTTCTGTGGAATAATAAAATCCAGTTTGTCGAAGACTTCTCAGTCACTTAATAACCATAATGCCTTTTCTATATTGGATTTGTGTCCTTTTATCTCTGAAATTCATAGATAGAATGTACTGAGACTTGAAAGACTACAAATCAAAGATACAGAGCACAAGAATATGTACATAAATGGTCTTCATGCAATAAACAGAATATAACAAAACATCAGTAGGAGTACATTTAAAGGCTTCACGATGGAAGATCAAAGGTCTAAGTCATAAGGTCAAATGCATACTTTGAGACAGAGATCCCTGGCAGTAATAGCACCAATAAGTAATTTGAATTGCAAGATATTAAAACTTTCTCAACAATTTGTGAGAAAATTCATTTGTGAATGAAATTTTCTATGAATTCTATTTATATCATTACGTTTACTATTGAAATGGCAACACTATAATTGAGAACAGTCAAATATTTGCAAGGAAAATTACAGGAATAGTTGACAAAATGAAATGATTTACAGAATTCTTTAGGAAGAGAAGAGGGTTTATTTCTGCATTATCTGTTTTATATACAACTAAACACGCAAGAACAGTTTAACCTGTTTATTACTACAGTTATAATACATACAAGCTACAAGTTTGGCGTATCAGGGGCTACTCACTCTATACCAAAACGATTAAACTTACTAATAGGATATTTAAAATTTAAAGAATCTGGACTCTGAGGTGTCCCAGAGTAGCTAGCTACATGATCGAGCAAGACTCCAAAGATACAGAGAAGCAACTAGACCCTGGACGATTCCAGAGAAGCTACTAGACTCTGCGAGCGACCCTGGAGAAGCTGCATGAGAAATGGAATATTCAACGACTACGGCTAGACCCTCAACGATATGAGAGAAGCTGAATATGTTAGCTAGACCCTCAACGATATGAGAGAAGCTGAAACATACTGTCGTAAAATACTACATGTATAATATTATTATAAGATTGGGGGTAGAATTCCCCAAGAATTAAATGCCAAAATTAAACTATATGTTTTAAAATTAAGAGTGAGTAGCCCAAACAATTAAAACAAAATCAGGAGACCAACTGAGATGACATTCATATGACAGTTTAAGGGTATAGCAAAACCAAAGCACCAAAGTAATGTTATAGCATACGTATATGGTATTACAATCATATATAAAGTACAGATTATGTATATATATTACATGAATAAACAGTACCATTACAGGTGCTGAAGGGGATGGCGGGTGGGAATGCACAACAATCTCCTTCAATGATTCAGAAAACTATGCTGTGGGGGCTCCAAATCCCTAACAGGGCATTCCCTCAGGCAGACGCTGATTGGTCAATCAGCAGCATCCCTCTACTCTCATTAACATACATGCTAATTGGCAACTACATAAATACATACGACCTACATTACAGAAAACAGAAAACATAGGCAGCAAGGCAAACTCATTGTATATAAACTATAGTTTAATATTAAAATATCAAACTATCATTTTATATACAACTAAACACGCAAGAACAGTTTAACCTGTTTATTACTACAGTTATAATACATACAAGCTACAAGTTTGGCGTATCAGGGGCTACTCACTCTATACCAAAACGATTAAACTTACTAATAGGATATTTAAAATTTAAAGAATCTGGACTCTGAGGTGTCCCAGAGTAGCTAGCTACATGATCGAGCAAGACTCCAAAGATACAGAGAAGCAACTAGACCCTGGACGATTCCAGAGAAGCTACTAGACTCTGCGAGCGACCCTGGAGAAGCTGCATGAGAAATGGAATATTCAACGACTACGGCTAGACCCTCAACGATATGAGAGAAGCTGAATATGTTAGCTAGACCCTCAACGATATGAGAGAAGCTGAAACATACTGTCGTAAAATACTACATGTATAATATTATTATAAGATTGGGGGTAGAATTCCCCAAGAATTAAATGCCAAAATTGAACTATATGTTTCAACATAGAGTGAGAGCCCCCAATAAATAATAATAGAATTTATAAAGGATCTTAAAAACAACTGAAACAGTTGGTAGTCAATACCCTAAGTATTTTTTTTTTTGATATCCAAAACCCAATAAAAACTGGAAATCATAAATATCTGTCCCAGGCCGAAAAAGAAAAAAGAAAACCCAACCATGCTGTTCTAAGATCGGGAGGACATCTTCTGCTGAGCTCGGCAGATGGTAGCAGGATCTATGCGAATGTAACGTATGAAACAATCAGATGACCACCTACTAAGGGTCTGTATAACGTGATCTTCCACCCCAGCTGCTGCGGCTGAGGTACTGGCTCCGATACGAAAAGAATGACTATTAAAGGGCTGATTATCAATGCCAATCCGAGACAATGTCACCTATAAACATGATATAAACGTATGACGCATAAGAGGTCTAGCAAGGTGAACCTAGTCTACAATCAAAGGAGCTGGAGGAACAGCACCTTACGATAACCTGAGATTCAAGTATTTACTCATATAGTAAACACAGGTTTTAAGACACTCTTTTCATAAATATTAATATCTACTCCTCTGCCGAATGGCCTACATGGGTCTGTCTTAAGACGACCTCAAGGTGAGAGTATAGCAGGACAAATCTGGTTAAACACAAATATCGCAAATACGAATGAAATTGGTATCACATATTGATTACATGAAAACTTGCCACATTCTAAAAACCATAAAAAGCTGCTTTAAAATACATGATAACATGAGATCAAAAAAAAAAAGAGGGTTAAACATACCATGCTGTGTAATAGCATCCACATTTAGTTACTAATGTACATGTTATAGGAAGACGTTTAAAAAGCAGTATTCACTTGCGTCTTCTTGATAGCACGCAAAATGTACGACAGTCTAAGGGTGTTGGCAGTAGGGTCACCCAATTTCTTTTTAATGTAATGAAACCTGATACCAGCCTGGTACAATTTAATGGTGTTAAATTTGAGATGCAAAGCCTTCTGACAATGTGTAACAAAGTTGCGCATCCGGGGCTACTCCCTCCAACAGCTAGACTCTGAAAATGTCTCCACTCCAGAGAAGCGACTAGACTCTGGTTGTGAACACTCCTAGAGAAGCCATGATGCTGGACTCTGAAAATGTCTTCAGAGAAGCGATTAAAACTCTGATTGTGAACACCCCTAGAGAAGCCATGATGCTAGACTCTGAAAATGTCTTCAGAGAAGCGACTACCAAGCCCAGAGAAGTGAACAGCTAGACTCTGAAAATGTCTCCAGAGAAGCGACAAGACTCTGATTGTGAACACCCCTAGAGAAGCCATGATGCTAGACTCTGAAAATGTCTTCAGAGAAGCGACTACACAGCCCAGAGAAGTGAACAGCTAGACTCTGAAAATGTCTCCAGAGAAGCGACTAGACTGATTGTGAACACCCCTAGAGAAGCCATGATGCTAGACTCTGAAAATGTCTTTAGAGAAGCGACTACCAAGCCCAGAGAAGTGAACAGCTAGACTCTGAAAATGTCTCCAGAGAAGCGACAAGACTCTGCTTGTGAACACCCCTAGAGAAGCCATGATGCTAGACTCTGAAAATGTCTCCAGAGAAGCGACTAGACTCTGATTGTGAACACCCCTAGAGAAGCCATGATGCTAGACTCTGAAAATGTCTCCAGAGAAGCGACTAGACTCTAATTGTGAACACTCCTAGATATAGAGAAGCCATGATGCTAGACTCTGAAAATGTCTCCAGAGAAGCGACTAGACTCTAATTGTGAACACTCCTAGAGAAGCCATGATGCTAGACTCTGAAAATGTCTTCAGAGAAGCGACTACACAACTCAGAGAAGTGAACCGCTAGACTCTGAAAATGTCGCCAGAGAAGCGATTATACTGATTGTGAACAACCCTAGAGAAGCCATGATGCTAAACTCTTAAAATGTCTTCAGAGAAGCGACTACCAAGCCCAGAGAAGTGAACAGCTAGACTCTGAAAATGTCTCCAGAGAAGCGACTAGACTCTGATTGTGAACACCCCTAGAGCAGCCATGCTGCTAGACACTGAAAATGTCTTCAGAGAAGCGACTACACAGCCCAGAGAAGTAAACAGCTGGACTCTGAAAAAGTCTCCAGAGGAGTGACTAGACTCTGATCGTGAAAACCACTAGAGAAGCCATGCAGGATGAGAGCAGCTAGACTCCTGTGAAACCAGAAAAGCTGCAACCAGAAATGGTTTTATTGGCCCGGTCTAGTAAAGGATGTTAAGAACTGGTGTAAGGCCTGTGACTCATGTGCCCGCAGGAAGTCTGGTCCTACAAGAGGCCGAGCCCCTCTGTCCTCTTCGGTTCCAGTGAGGGCTCCATTAGAGCGAATTGCTATATAAAATGTACACCCTAGGTGGGCTTCAAACTATGGAGAATGGAAATCATTACATTATAGTGGTGGGAGATTGTTTCTACAAGTGGGCGGAAGCATATGAAATCACACCGCACAAACAGTAGCTGACAAATTAGCCACAGAGTGTATCTGCATGATTTGGTGCACCTGTCGGTATCCATACAGATCAAGGTCGTGAGTTCGAAACTGACCTATTCAAAGCTATTGAGAGAAGTTAGGGATAGATAAAACTAGTACAACCCCCTACAATCCGATGGACTTGTGGAAAGGTTGAATCGTACCCTAATTCAAATGCTATCGGCCTTCGTCAATGAAAATAGGAATGATCACTTACCCTATGTGATGATGGCGTATGCGTATAGTGCCACTAGGCATAGTAGTACTGAATGTAGTCCAAACCTAGTTATGTTGGGTCGTGAGTTGTCATGTCCTCTAGATATTAAGTGGGCTTACCAGCAGAAAATGAACAAATGAATTGAATTTTTACGATCGCGGCGTGGCACATGTGTGTATTAGCATGTAAAGTGAAGAAAGCGTCGCCAGATAATATCGTTACAATTACCTGCTAAAGTAAGCGACATCAGAAGATGTGTTATTAGTAAGGCTTTTATTGATATACCTTCCAAATTTCAGCTCGATATTTGAAAAAATGACCGAGTTATAATAAATTTATCATTACAATCGGCGTTTGAGTTGTACATGGGAAACTAGGAGAAGCTGCACTTGACAGAAAATGCACTATGATCGGAAATCAGAGGAGAAGAAATACTGAAAATGGAAGTATGTGTGCACGTGTGATGAGGTAGAGTGGAGTGATGAAGTAGATAGACACTGAGATTAGAGTAGCTCCCAGTATTCCAGGGAGATACCTCCACGTCAGACTAGGGTTGGCAGGAATGTGAAGCCGTCAAGTAGATACTCTCCATAGTAGCCTTGTGGTTGCGTGAATTCGTCCTCGAAACGTCTGTATGCCGCACCCGGAGTGTACTCCTGTTGTGGTTCACTGATGTGGCCATCAGTCCCTCTCGCGCTACCGGCGGCTGCTGCCACTGGAAGCCTGGATTGGGATTCTATTCTATTTCCAGTCGCTGATAGCACTCCTGTAGTGTAGCTACACTATCTGTTAAGCTTGTACCAAAGAGTAAATGGTTATTCCTACTCGACGACTCGGATTCGTGTTGATATGCAGTGGTGTTTGTTGTTACAGACTATCGTGAAACTTCCTGTCCGCCATCTTGCCGCGATGCATTATGGTATACCGCAACTCTCCTGTGATGTGCGACTGGGGCAGAAGTTCTCGCTTCCCGTAACTTCTTAACTAACCCCATACGCCGAGATCAAAACATAAACGGAACGTTGAGAGAATAATCCAGGGTCGTACGGCACAGGCCTCGTATTCCTGCCCATTGTAAACAAAACGTCTTCGACGATAGTAACAAAGTATTCTGTACAGTTACGTAAACAGCACAAAGTTTAATCACGAAGGCACAGCGTACACAACGTCGGTAGGTCTATACGAAGCACTCAGGCGTGGTTTAAAGGAAACACGTCACATAAACAGTTGCGGGGAGGCTAGTACGAACAGAAACACTTGAGAAATCATGTTACAAAGTACGTTCCAAGATGGCGATAACGCTTCTAACTCCTCGGGAGGAAAGTCCAAAGAGGTTACGGTAACCAAGATAGACCTTAACTGTAGCTAGTAGGGTGTCCTTTTTAGCCAAATATCGTTAGTGACTATATTACACAGGTAAATCCAAGGATGTTCCTTAGTTTTTCAAGGAATTTTAAACGTGAAAAGCCGAGAAATAATGCACAAAAATATCCTTCAACGATTCAGAAAACTATGCTGTGGGGGCTCCAAATCCCTTCCCTCAGGCAGACGCTGATTGGTCAATCAGCAGCATCCCTCTACTCTCATTAACATACATGCTAATTGGCAACTACATAAATACATACGACCTACATTACAGAAAACAGAAAACATAGGCAGCAAGGCAAACTCATTGTATATAAACTATAGTTTAATATTAAAATATCAAACTATCATTTAATGTGCTTGTACATCAAAGCTATCTTAGACGAGATTACCTACCCGTATATGTATGATTTAATGATGTGGCATTATTACTGTGACATATATAATTAAACAATTTTTTCAGCAAAAAACAGTAATAAATTCAACTTTGCTTTAAAGAATTTCTCCTTTTCTTATTTTTGTGTTTCTCTATCTTATAGAAACCGCGTACAATTTACCTGTCAGTAAAAAGATAACTTATTTATCAGTTAAAGTTGCTATTGGGGGACAAATCCTCGCGGGGACACAAATAGTATTGAGAGAAATATTAAATGCCAAATTAAGCATGCTGTTTTTAATTTCTACAGCAAGGTTGGCTTAAAAAATCAATATAAAGGTGTTGTTTCAAAGACAAAATAAATGTGCTAGCACCAGTGGTCAAACCAGGGATCATTTAGTCAGTTCTAGAGATTCTACTGCAGAGCCGAGCAGTCACTACTCGTCCTAGCTTCATTATCCTACATAAAATTAGAGATAGTTTTGTCTCTTTGTTGCAGATTGTGCATACACTACACTGTAATCAACAAGGAATACAAACAAACAAGCTACCTTTGTATGCAGGTATACACAGACAAGCTACCTTCGTATACAGGTATACACAGACAAGCTACCTTCATATACAGGTATACACAGACAAGCTACCTTTGTATACATGTATACACAGACAAGCTACCTTCGTATACAGGTATACACAGACAAGCTACCTTCGTATACATGTATACACAGACAAGCTACCTTCATATACAGGTATACACAGACAAGCTACCTTCGTATACAGGTATACACAGACAAGCTACTATATTATCATCCTCATTCCCATGGGGGAATTACATAAGCGTAAGTAGTGGTAAGTATAATGACTTCTCCCTGAGACCCATGATGCCATATTATAAACAGATACCAGTTTTATACTCAAACATTGTTTTATTACCACTTTATACACAAATCATAGGACAAAAGCAAATGACAAGTTACCAAAAAAAATTCATACATGTCAATCGATTACATTGCCATAACATTAAAAAAATATTGTGTACACATTAATGTTGATCGCTCCATTACATTTATAAGTTAGTCCATGTTGATCTACAAATCTTGTGCTTCTGCACAAGTTACATTGATGAGTTTAGTATGAAATGTTTTTAAAATGTGCGATAAATTGAGTTTTGTTAAAATTCCAGGATTTCTTTCAAGGTTCTATCTTCTCTGCAATCTTCGACATATTTATTGAATGTAACATTTTAACCACTTCCCCCACTTCTAACAATCCAAATTGTTTTCGCCCTCTGTAGGTCATGATCATGTGGTAGAAGGTTTTTGACCTCGGCTGTTCCAGTCGGTTACCCTTGGTGTCTAACGTGTTGGCTACATCACGACCCAGGAGAGTTTGCACTAAACAAAAGGGATAGCGTATAAAATTGACGTAAATTATTATGTTACAGAAAATTACTCATGTATAAACAGCAGGCCAACATGCATAGCCAAGTAATGTCAATATTGTTTACTTATGTCATATTTTATTACATTTACATTGGTACTTTATTAAAGTATACAATTAACTAGCATATAAGAATATATAGCTATGTAGCGGAACTGGACTGGGGCGATCATCAGTGACCAGATAGCTCAATTGGTAGAGCGTCCATCTAGAGTTCGGAAGGTCCCAGGTTCGAACCCCGGTCTGGCCTTGCATTTTTCCTCTCCTGTTACAGTTACATAGCAGGGATTCCCATCATATATTTTAGCAAATCCCAGATTAAATACACACTTACTTTTATGATAAAACAAATGACTGTTTGATTGACACGCCACCTTCTCCACAATATCTGCAAGCTCTAAGTCGGTTATTTGTCTTGTAGAATCTGCAAAACATATATTCTCTATCCTTTACCTGATAAAACATCAGTAGCTCAGATATATTCAATGTGTCAATTTACACAATAATCAACTTATGTGATTTACAACAGTACTGAAGATTTATAACACCGATTGATGGGATATTATTCTTAGAGTACACACATACATGTAAGCAAAGAAGGAAAGTTCAACAAGAACAGTTGTAGGTTTTAAGAAAATTATCACACTACCAGGTAACATCAATTCACTTTGAGTCAAAGATTATGTGGTGGTCACATGGGCTTATCAAAAAATTAAATCTGGTAATTGTATATGGTTTTATTTACCATAAAGTAATTTACATAATATTTCTTTTGACTGTTGCATCAAATTTACCATAGTAAGCGATAGTTTTGACAGTGGGTAATTTGTAGGGCTATACTTACTATAATTTATATTTATTTTGGATATTGGATATTTCTGTAGATTAATACAAACCATGACTTGCTATATTTTTGATGGTTGGTATTTGTTTAGCATCGTATACTTACAAAGATTAACTATATTTTTGCGGTTGGTATCTGTTTAGCTTCATACTTACCAAGATTAGCTATATTTTTGATGGTTGGTATTTGTTTAGCATCGTACTTACCATGACTTGCTATATTTTTGATGGTTGGTATTTGTTTAGCATCGTATACTTACCAAGATTAACTATATTTTTGCGGTTGGTATTTGTTTAGCATCGTACTTACCAAGATTAGCTATATTTTTGACGGTTGGTATTTGTTTAGCATCGTACTTACCAAGATTGGCTATATTTTTGACGGTTGGTATTTGTTTAGCATCGTACTTACCATGATTAACTATATTTTTGACGGTTGGTATTTGTTTAGCATCGTATACTAACCAAGATTAACCATATTTTTGATGGTTGGTATTTGTTTAGCATCGTACTTACCATGATTAGCTATAATTTTGACGGTTGGTATTTGTTTAGCATCTTACTTACCATGATTAACTATATTTTGACGGTTGGTATTTGTTTAGCATCGTACTTACCAAGATAAGCTATATTTTGATGGTTGGTATTTGTTTAGCATCGTATACTTACCAAGATTAACTATATTTTTGATGGTTGGTATTTGTTTAGCATCGTACTTACCATGATTAACTATATTTTTGACGGTTAGTATTTGTTAAGCATCGTACTTACCAAGATTAACTATATTTTTGACGGTTGGTTTTTGTTTAGCATCGTACTCACCATGATTAACTATATTTTTGATTGTTGGTATTTGTTTAGCATCGTACTTACCATGATTAACTATATTTGTGACGATTGGTATTTGGTTAGCATCGTACTTACCATGATTAACTATATTTGTGACGATTGGTATTTGGTTAGCATCGTACTTACCATGATTAACTATATTTTGATGGGTGGGATTTTTTTAGCATCGTACTTTCCAAGATTAACTATATTTTTGAAGGTTGGGTTTTGTTTAGCATCGTACTCACCATGATTAACTATATTTTTGATTGTTGGTATTTGTTTAGCATCGTACTTACAAAGATTAACTATATTTTTGATGGTTGGTATTTGTTTAGCATCGTACTTACCGAGATTAACTATATTTTTGACGGTTGGTATTTGTTTAGCATCGTACTTACCATGATTAACTATATTTTTGACGATTGGTATTTGGTTAGCATCGTACTTACCATGATTAACTATATTTTGATGGTTGGTATTTGTTTAGCATCGTATACTTACCAAAATTAACTATATTTTTGACGGTTGGTATTTGTGTAGCATCGTACTTACCATGATTAACTATATTTTGATGGTTGGTATTTGTTTAGCATCGTACTTACCATGATTAACTATATTTTTGAAGGTTGGTATTTTTTTAGCATCGTACTTACCAAGATAAGCTATATTTTGATGGTTGGTATTTGTTTAGCATCGTATACTTACCAAAATTAACTATATTTTTGACGGTTGGTATTTGTTTAGCATCGTACTTACCATGATTAGCTATATTTTTGACGGTTGGTATTTGTTTAGCATCGTATTTACCAAGATTAACTATATTTTTGACGGTTGGTATTTGTTTAGCATCGTATTTACCATGTTTAGCTATATTTTTGATGTTGGTATTTGCTTAGCATCGTACTTACCATGATTAGCTATATTTTTGACGTTAGGTAATTTTGTAGGGTCTGCGGTGGCAGGGATACCTGAAACAGGAATTCAGTAAATAACTATAATTTGTTATCAAGATAAACATGCGACTACTACAGTACTTTTGACAAATGTTTTCAATGAGAGAGGTCAAAAGTCAAATCATGTTTTATTTCTTGCCACAGGTAAATTAATTATGTAATTATAGGCTTGATAACTGATAACTAGTCTCCATAAAAAAGTCACAGAGGGATTTTGGTTCACATCATTGTAAGGGGTTGGTGTGTACCTGTATCTCTTACTAGTAATGCAACCCTGCAGGTAGGGCGTAAGAATTGTACCTGCTGCCCCCAATTGCATGATCCTAAGAGGCGACTAAATTTGGGACCTTATCTCTTCTCTTCTTTCTAAATAACTTTCTTCTTCCTAATGTCTCCCTTGACAATGCCTCACTTTTGGCCATTTGTTGAGCGTTCGCACCTGTGAGGAAGGCTTTGGGTTCTGTCCCCTGGCCGAGACATACCAAAGCCTTAAAAAATGGTAGTTTATACTCCTGCTTAACGCTCAGCAAATTAGGAGTGGGACGACTGGTTCGCCCGTTGTCAGTATAATGTGACCGGGTGGGGCGTCCTGCTAGGTGTCTTCGGCAGTATGTTTCAGTGAGGTAGCACTATAAAGTCGGCATCAGTTCCGCGCTATCACAAGGAGACAAACACGAACATATGGCAGCCTCCCAAAATACACACACATACACTACACGCATGCATCTTGCACACTTGGGAGGCCGTCCTTAAATGACCTAAGCTGTTAATAGGACGTTAAACAAAATCAAACAAACAAACAAACAAACTTACTAGTAATGCCAACATTTTGAATTCCCCAATAGGGTCCAATTTCAATTATAAAAACGTTCTTTTCATACCTTCTCCTAGAGTCTTCGTTTCTCGCACCATTTTTATTGGTTCTATCTTTCTGAAAACCTAAAATACAAATGAAGTAATGTTACATATGATCAATTTCAGTTCATCATGGCTATATACCATCCAGCTAGGTATTTGATTGGTCTCAGGTAAAAATACTTGACCAATTGCTATGCTGACACCTGTCTTTTGAAGATTACAGATCTAGAGTAGCGACACCAAACTTCAAAGAGAGTCAATTTTACCGTTATGAGGCAGCAAGATTCTTTTGATGTATATATATGTAATATACTAGTCTTCTTGTTTCATCCACTGTGTGGCGCACACTGCCTTCAATTTTGCTATGAACTATTCCAAGGGTACAGAGAGTGAAAGTGAACATAACCCTGGAGTATCAAGGAAGGGCTATATATGTACATGTATTAATAAAATCTTCCCCAGATGTAATCGAGGTATCAAGTCAAAGGGAAGAAACATTAAAGAAAACTCTAGGTTACTGATTTCACAATCTAAAACCACTACTTTGTAATGTGACAGTTGTGAATGTGATCCAGACATGTGGTTCAGATACAAGTTTTCAGTATCAGTGGACACAGGAAGATCCTGGTCAGGAGGGCATACAGCTACATTGTGTCAGGGACATATAAAGCCATATATAGAACTTAAGGCTCTGATTGTCTACAACACGGAAAATAATATATCTACATATATTTACTTTTTTAACATGTTACCATTTCATCTGAGCATACCTGCCAACCCCGGATATACTGAAAGAGGGTGTTGACCCTCTTTTGAAATAAAATAAGAGGGTCGTAATGTGCGACGTCTTTTTTCGCAACAAATAAAAGAGAAAAAGATATTAAATCAGAACTTATACAAAAAGAGACTGAAGTTGTCATATTGTTCTTTCTAATTCATATTTTTGTTATTTTCAGTTTGTTCTATTTTCTTTCATTCCATCCACAGGGCCACGTTACAATCACACATATGCTATACTGATATGGGGCACAACACACATAAACATACACTCTTTATGTGTGTTGTGACCCATATCAGTATAGCATATGTGTGATTGTAACGTGGCCCTGTGTTCCATCCATTTCATGCTGCTTTCAATTTGTACTTCACGGGTGCCCTTCAATCCCTTCAAAGTTCACTCAATGAAATTTACACTGTAAATACTGCAAGTTCACAGATGTTGTTGTCACATATGGTGCTAGCACAGGTACTAGCCTCGTCTGTCAATAAACCTATAATATAATAGTATAGGTGTATATAAATTCTAACTTATAATCTTGCTAATATCAGTTGAAGACCCTGCACTGAATATTGACACTAAATGTTTTACTTAAGGATCCAGTCGCCACTGCAGGGAAACAACAAGATATTTCACTGTAATTGTGTGTACAAACTGTAACCTCCTCTTTGATTTGCCCAACTGGTAAAAGTTATCTCCCTTGTAGAAGTAATGTGAAATAGAAACAGCTTTTGTCTTTTTTTTTAAACTAGGATGTAGTGTAGCCAATACATATTTTCTCGTGCCATTTTTGGAGATGAACAAAATAAGTAAAGTATCATAAAAATCTATCAAAAAGGTATTTCTTGGAAATCCAGAAAATAAGTAGTGAGCCGGTTCAGACGGTACTTTTGCCTAAATTTAGGAATATTCCCCATAATGTTACATATTATAATGATCCATTTAAAACATAGACAGCAGTATTAGATGATGTGCTTGATTTTCCACATAACATACATACAACAATCAATCATACGACACAACCTACCTTTCCTTCCTCGGAATTTCCCAATCTAAAAATAGCTAACGTTTACTTCCGGGTTGGTTATAAGATCTGGAGACGGATCCGGAGACGGATTTATTACAGGATCGCAACCAATTTTAGGCATATTATACGTTCATAATTCTACTTATTTTGTTTGCTTTCTTTGTCAGAAACACAAGTTGAATAAATATATATGAATTGTACTTAAAGTAAACACATATTATCAAAACTAACTAAGGACCCCATTGGAAATAAGTTGTTTTTATCAGCTTTTATGGGTCATCTGGGTAAAGGCTAGGCTACATTCGCGTTACCGGTTGAAACGGTACGTGTGGCGCAGAAATTTTCCACGATAAACGAACACACTTGGACCGTTCTATAAGCAGAGCTAAAAATGCACAGTTTCGGAGAATAAAAAACAATGTATCAAGAATATTATGCCCTTCTCTCACGCGTCCACTAAATTACATATCGTATCTTAAAAACTACATGTGGCTTGACATTGTTTTAGAAAGAAATAACGCAAACTAGCAATATTCAGCAGTTTAGTTTCGGCCAGGTACGTCTGGACCCCTCAATCTACACGTACCAAATTTTCCTGAGGTCAGCCTCGGTCCAAATCTGTACCTGTCGTTTTCTTTACAGGTTCAACCGGTTCAACCGTTTCAACCGGTAACGCGAATGTAGCCCTAATCAGTTAAACTTTTTCTGGAAATTTGAAATTTGAAACTCAAAACTTTTATATTATAACTGTCATAAATTTTATTCATGTTTGATTGTTCTCATTCATTTGTAAACGATTGGTGCCAAAATGTATTGTACTCATTCATTTGTAAACAATTGATGATAAATATAACTATAACTATAACTACATGTGATTCAAAACTATCTGTGATTCCAAATGGTGTAAAAATGCATTTTAACCCTGTAACACATGCCTTTTACCTGAATAAAATTATTATTATTATTAACATATTATCAAAACAAATAATGAAAATAGTTGTATCAGGGTTGTAAAGGATTCAAGCTTTTAATACAATATTGCAGTATGCCAATATCTTTCATTTAATTGTAAAATGTGTGGAGGATTTAGGATAATAATATTAAAGGCTTTATCTATTCTTGATAACATATTGAGCATGAAGCTCATCTTACATATGGTCAAGATACAATGTATGATAAAATGTACAATATTTACAGGATGGGGAGATGGTGTGTGGGAACAGGGAGGGCAGAGTGACTTCCCACTATTTTTTTAATCTTCTACTAATCATAATATAAAATAGTATTATATGTTTATTCTTTGCATCCAATAAAATCTTAACTTTTCATCAATACTACAAGTGTAAGAAAATTCTAAAAGTTAGAGCAGAAATAATCATAATAATTCCCATTGGGCCTGAATGCTTTTGTGAGTTCCATGGACAATTTTGAAGTCATTAAGTGATTAATGTCTCTGCCAGCATCTTTTCTTGTTTCTTGTATCAAGTTGGCTAAATTTAACAATATCTAGAAGTGACCTAATAAAGAACATTCATTTGTAACGAGTTTTGAGTTCAAAACTTCAGTGGTTTTTGAGAAGTTGAACATGTCTAAGTGAGTGCAATTAGCAGCCAGGGTAATTTTTTGAGTGGTCCTTGAGTAGAAAATGTTCAATTGTTAACTGCCGATGAAAAAAGACAGTTAGCACAGTAAAATACCTGATAAATTGGAACTCTTCTTTCTTTGGAGATAACTCACAGATGACTAGGACTTTCTACCTTAATTTAAAAGCTTTAGAAAAAAACTGTTTCACATAAGCCTTTTGTGATCTTGAATGTGGGTCAAGCTGGATGATAGCAATTCATCCTTACAAGCTACAGGAAAATTATAATTCATTTTAACACATTTAAGACAAATCTCATTAATCTAGCCCTTACAGGCCTATGGAAGAAGTTTTTGAAATTGTTGAATTTTAAAAGTTGAACCCTACCGCCTTAAAATTGCCTCAACCGTCACCCAAACAAAAACGAATAAATCGCCATGCAGCTCCCTCTGATGAGAGGGATTTTGTAGGTATTTAGCATTCATGTGTAACAGGAGAAAGAGATACCCAAGTTAGAGTATCCTTTTGTTAAGTGTACTTGCAATGCAGAAACAAGGGTCGGCAAGCTTGCCAATTTTGTAACAGAAGAAGAGAAAATGTAACGACCAGACCGGGGTTCAAACCTAGGACCCTCCGAACTCTAGACCGACGCTCTACCAATTGAGCTACCTCACAGGTCGCCGATGACTCCAGTCAAGTCCAGTTCCGCTTGCACATGTACAGCCCAAGAGCAGAATATCACTTGACATTATTGCTAAAATAATAGTACAAAAAACACAAAACAAAATGTGAAGACAATATTTAATAGCACAAACATTGGCTAGTTGAGCACCACATGATTTATGTTTTACATAAGTTCATATAGTTTTGGAAGTTTGAAAGTTTTGGTGTTTCAGTTTCAAAACAATGATAAATTACAACTGATTCTGAGAATACTGATTAAATGTTTAATTGATATTCTTAGGTACTCCAATCATGTTGGCCTTACATTCTAAATATGATCATGATAATGTATCTTTAGTAAAGTTACCAGAAAGCAACCATGACCAAATGTTAACCATTTAATTACACTCAATGATCAACAGCTTGGAGTCAAAACTGGTACTGCCTAAGGGGAGTCTGTCAATTTCAATTGACTCAATGGTTAACCCTAACTCAAACCATAACCCTAATTAATCGAAGTGACTGAACAAGGCTGCCATATCATGATCATGATCAGAAGCTGGAAGTGTGTCTCACTCTCTGTCCTGTCTCCGGTCTTGTCTGGAGGACAGCTAATTCTGCTGAAGAAGAGTCAATAAAGAAACAAGACAGAGAAGTGATGAGGCTTGAAACAAATGGCGAGACGACATGGACCCCAACAATACCAACTACTGTCACTCTGTTTCACTATCCAACACTTAGTTCTTGGTGCCAAAGATATGATTATGCTTTCAGGAAATTTGTCATTAACACAGACTCCACTTCATCAGCTTTACTAGAGCTGAGACAAAACAGAAGGTGACACGAAGTACCTGCTACTGATATGCCAGTCTTTTTGAGTCACATAACAGGGTTAATCCCCGACTCTTATGACTTACTCCCCTCCGACTGTCCCCTTTCATTAGAGCTAAAGAAGGCTACTAGACGACACAGAAAACTCATCAGTAGGGAGTTTATTGGACAAATATAAAGGTTAACTTTGCAATAAAGGTATTTCTATTTGAATTTTCTCGGATGCATATAAATTCAGTGTTATATGAAATGGGCTATTAAAAGTATGAAAGTGCCTCCCACCCCTCCTCCCCTACATGAATTCTGGAAGAGAATTTCCTACTCGTGTACATTACAAGAATCTTATTGTCACATACACCAACATAAGTATACTCTGAAAAGTATACATGAACTCTAGTGATACTTGTACAAATAATCTTTGTACTCATGTGAATAAACAGAATTTTATACTTCTGTAGATAAACAGAAATCTTCATTCCATAACAAGTCGTAAGACAGATATTTACACTCTTATGCACATGCTATGATATACATAATCTTACACAACTCCGAACTTAACAGACTGTATAACAGACTCATATGATGAACAGGATCTTAAATGTTTGCATATACAGAATGTTTTACTTATTAACATACAATGAGTCTTAGTGCAACTAAAACTTGTGAAACCATGTACATATATGATAAACAGAATCTCACACTCTCATTCATACACAAACATGTATAATTATAACAAAATCTTTCCTTCACATATCTTATTGAAGAAGACTTTATATTTTAATTTGAAATGGCAGCAGTAATCTTTCACGATTTACATGTAAATACAAAATGTACCACATTAATCCATGTTCGAAATTATTGTAATCAGGACATCAGTCAATCAACTGGCAGGATATAACAGAGTTACTTCCCTTGTACTTTTTTCACCGTTTTTGCTGATACTTTTATATAAATATACATATGTGTACATATTTAAAAATCCCTTTTCTCTCATATCATTTAATCATGAATTCTTTCTCCAATCCGGTCTTCAATGCTTTCTTCTTTTCCAGCTTGGCAAAGTAAGTTTTACCTACAAAAAAAGTGAAAATAAATGTACCAATGTATTCCGACACATAGCTACATAAATAGTGGTGGTAGTGGTATATAGGTCTAAGTTCTAAGTGACAATACCTCGGTATGTTTACTTTACCAGGTATTTCTATCTTGAATAATATGATTTGTACAATTTCACAACTGATACAAGTGATCAACCATGCCTTTTTAAAAAAGCATAATTTCAATTCAGTTTGTATGTTCTTTCTTTTTTCCCCCCAATATATTTTGTCATACCAAATGTCCCTTTCAAAAGTACTGAATGTAAGGCAACTCACTTGTGTGTCGAGGAACATTGCTGAGCCGAGCTACCCTGAAATTGGCCGCTTTACACCTGGAGGACATCGTTTTCTGTTTATGGTTCTGTATTGTCGACACTTCTACACCACTCAATCTGTAATGAGAATAAGATCTGTGGTGACATACTTTATCAGTGTAAACATCACAACAAATGTTCTGTCCTTTATCACAGAATGTTTACATGTTGTAACAGATGTTACACAACAAATGTTCAGTCCTTTATCACAGAATGTTAACATGTTGTAACAGATGTTACACAACAAATGTTCTGTCCTTTATCACAGAATGTGTACATGCTGTAACAGATGTTACACAACAAATGTTCTGTTCTTTATCACAGAATGTTTACATGCTGTAACAGATGTAACACAACAAATGTTCTGTTCTTTATCACAGAATGTTTACATGTTGTAACAGATGTTACACAACAAATGTTCAGTCCTTTATCACAGAATGTTAACATGCTGTAACAGATGTTACACAACAAATGTTCTGTCCTTTATCACAGAATGTTTACATGTTGTAACAGATGTTACACAACAAATGTTCTGTCCTTTATCACAGAATGTTTACATGCTGTAACAGATGTTACACAACAAATGTTCTGTCCTTTATCACAGAATGTTTACATGCTGTAACAGATGTTACACAACAAATGTTCTGTCCTTTATCACAGAATGTTTACATGCTGTAACAGATGTTACACAACAAATGTTCTGTCCTTTATCACAGAATGTTTACATGTTGTAACAGATGTTACACAACAAATGTTCTGTCCTTTATCACAGAATGTTTACATGCTGTAACAGATGTTACACAACAAATGTTCTGTCCTTTATCACAGAATGTTTACATGCTGTAACAGATGTTACACAACAAATGTTCTGTCCTTTATCACAGAATGTTTACATGCTGTAACAGATGTTACACAACAAATGTTCTGTCCTTTATCACAGAATGTTTACATGCTGTAACAGATGTTACACAACAAATGTTCTGTCCTTTATCACAGAATGTTTACATGCTGTAACAGATGTTACACAACAAATGTTCTGTCCTTTATCACAGAATGTTTACATGCTGTAACAGATGTTACACAACAAATGTTCTGTCCTTTATCACAGAATGTTTACATGCTGTAACAGATGTTACACAACAAATGTTCTGTCCTTTATCACAGAATGTTTACATGCTGTAACAGATGTTACACAACAAATGTTCTGTCCTTTATCACAGAATGTTAACATGCTGTAACAGATGTTACACAACAAATGTTCTGTCCTTTATCACAGAATGTTTACATGCTGTAACAGATGTTACACAACAAATGTTCTGTCCTTTATCACAGAATGTTTACATGCTGTAACAGATGTTACACAACAAATGTTCTGTCCTTTATCACAGAATGTTTACATGCTGTAACAGATGTTACACAACAAATGTTCTGTCCTTTATCACAGAATGTTTACATGCTGTAACAGATGTTACACAACAAATGTTCTGTCCTTTATCACAGAATGTTTACATGTTGTAACAGATGTTACACAACAAATGTTCTGTCCTTTATCACAGAATGTTTACATGCTGTAACAGATGTTACACAACAAATGTTCTGTCCTTTATCACAGAATGTTTACATGCTGTAACAGATGTTACACAACAAATGTTCTGTCCTTTATCACAGAATGTTTACATGCTGTAACAGATGTTACACAACAAATGTTCTGTCCTTTATCACAGAATGTTTACATGCTGTAACAGATGTTACACAACAAATGTTCTGTCCTTTATCACAGAATGTTTACATGTTGTAACAGATGTTACACAACAAATGTTCTGTCCTTTATCACAGAATGTTTACATGCTGTAACAGATGTTACACAACAAATGTTCTGTCCTTTATCACAGAATGTTTACATGCTGTAACAGATGTTACACAACAAATGTTCTGTTCTTTATCACAGAATGTTAACATGTTGTAACAGATGTAACACAACAAATGTTCTGTTCTTTATCACAGAATGTTTACATGTTGTAACAGATGTTACACAACAAATGTTCTGTCCTTTATCACAGAATGTTTACATGCTGTAACAGATGTTACACAACAAATGTTCTGTCCTTTATCACAGAATGTTTACATGCTGTAACAGATGTTACACAACAAATGTTCTGTCCTTTATCACAGAATGTTTACATGCTGTAACAGATGTTACACAACAAATGTTCTGTCCTTTATCACAGAATGTTTACATGCTGTAACAGATGTTACACAACAAATGTTCTGTCCTTTATCACAGAATGTTTACATGCTGTAACAGATGTTACACAACAAATGTTCTGTCCTTTATCACAGAATGTTTACATGCTGTAACAGATGTTACACAACAAATGTTCTGTCCTTTATCACAGAATGTTTACATGCTGTAACAGATGTTACACAACAAATGTTCTGTCCTTTATCACAGAATGTTTACATGCTGTAACAGATGTTACACAACAAATGTTCTGTCCTTTATCACAGAATGTTTACATGCTGTAACAGATGTTACACAACAAATGTTCTGTCCTTTATCACAGAATGTTTACATGCTGTAACAGATGTTACACAACAAATGTTCTGTCCTTTATCACAGAATGTTTACATGTTGTAACAGATGTTACACAACAAATGTTCTGTCCTTTATCACAGAATGTTTACATGCTGTAACAGATGTTACACAACAAATGTTCTGTCCTTTATCACAGAATGTTTACATGCTGTAACAGATGTTACACAACAAATGTTCTGTCCTTTATCACAGAATGTTTACATGCTGTAACAGATGTTACACAACAAATGTTCTGTCCTTTATCACAGAATGTTTACATGTTGTAACAGATGTCACACAACAAATGTTCTGTTCTTTATCACAGAATGTTTACATGTTGTAACAGATGTCACACAACAAATGTTCTGTTCTTTATCACAGAATGTTTACATGCTGTAACAGATGTTACACAACAAATGTTCTGTCCTTTATCACAGAATGTTTACATGCTGTAACAGATGTTACACAACAAATGTTCTGTCCTTTATCACAGAATGTTTACATGCTGTAACAGATGTTACACAACAAATGTTCTGTCCTTTATCACAGAATGTTTACATGCTGTAACAGATGTTACACAACAAATGTTCTGTCCTTTATCACAGAATGTTTACATGCTGTAACAGATGTTACACAACAAATGTTCTGTCCTTTATCACAGAATGTTTACATGCTGTAACAGATGTTACACAACAAATGTTCTGTCCTTTATCACAGAATGTTTACATGCTGTAACAGATGTTACACAACAAATGTTCTGTCCTTTATCACAGAATGTTTACATGCTGTAACAGATGTTACACAACAAATGTTCTGTTCTTTATCACAGAATGTTTACATGTTGTAACAGATGTAACACAACAAATGTTCTGTTCTTTATCACAGAATGTTTACATGTTGTAACAGATGTTACACAACAAATGTTCTGTTCTTTATCACAGAATGTTTACATGCTGTAACAGATGTTACACAACAAATGTTCTGTCCTTTATCACAGAATGTTAACATGCTGTAACAGATGTTATAATGTCTGTCCTTCATCACAGAGAGATTTGTTGACAGTTTTATACTGGTACCCGGTAATACACAAAATAAACATGAATTGGTTACAAATTCTAACAATAGGTCAAATGGGTCTGTAACACTCAGATATTTTGCTTTCACTATGTTAACTAGTCGAGAAATAGTTTAAACTAACTTGCTATCATAATGGCAACAAGGTTTTGTTACAGACATAAAGAAGAAAAATAACGAAACTTGGAAAGGACAATCATGGAGCATTTGTAACATGTTTGTTTAAAATTGATCTGTTGGAATTGCAAATTATTCAACTAGATCTGAGGGCAGTGTAGCCTTTTTTCTTTCTTAAATCAGCATAATAGGGTAGCAATTTTCTATTTGATTTTTGGAATCAACCCAGAAAATAATAGCACCTGTTCTAAACCTCGAGAGCACTGTTCAGATCAAGTTTTGATGCCATTTACCTGGTTGTAGTTGAAAATGAATGAGAAAATCAAGGAACAGTTGGCCATCTTTGAATGTAAATTATTTAGGAAAATATCAAATCTTGTTCAGGTCCATGAGAGGAACTTTTGTCACTACTGTCAGAACTGCTCTCGACCCCAAGGAGTTGAAACCTATCTTTTATAAAGCATTGTGTGTCCTTGTCCCTGTGATACTTCAGTCCAAAGTTGGTCAAATTCCCGCCAAACTAACTCAATGATTTATCTTTAAGTAAAGTCTTACTTCTTTTTTCCTATTGTGCCTCATCAGTTTTTCTAGAGGGGAGGGGGTGACATTCTTTTTATATATAACAATAATAAGTCCCACTGCACGTTGGCCCTATGAAACTGCAGCTCAGGCCAAGTTTATTTGAATGTTAATCATCCTTACAGAAGAAGTAGGCTTTTAAAAGGAAAAGCTTTTGTCAGATGGGCAGATTAATGATTGACAAAAACATTAAATAAAATAGAAATACAACTGTACTAGCATGAATGTGTTATAGCAGTCAACAGGGAACAAAATATTTGTCATCATCACCTGTTGTTGTCGAAGGAAATAAAATCTTGTTTTGAAACCTGGAAGTCTTCCTCTGTATCAGCCAAACTCCCTTCCTCTTCATCTGCTACACTGCTCACTAAACAGAAACACCAATACATTGTCATAGCGTTCTCTCTTAGCTTTCTATTGTCCACAAACCCTACATCCTCTACACATCTCACTAAACAGAAACACCAACACATTGTCATAGCGTTTTCTCTTAGCTTTCTATTGTCCACAAACCCTATATTGTCCACTGAAATCTTCATCTCCTCTAAAGTTCAGTAAACAATGACAAGAAATATATTTTGCATTCTTGTAGTTTCAGTTCTCAACATTCAAAAAACTACATTGACATTATTTAGCACACACAATGATATATCAAAAAGTGAACCCTTGTATTTTACCATCATTTTTAATACACCCCATTTAACATATTACAATAGAATATTAATTAACAAAATTGAAACTTACAGTTCTCCATAGTCTACACCTTGAATAATATTTTTTACATTGACACTTACATACATATGTATACCCTAATTATCTGATGGATTTATCTATAAAATGTGTTGAAATGAAAATTAATATACAAACAGACAGGTACACTTTGACTTGGATATACAAACCTTTCTTTTTCTTTGATGATAATTTGGACTTCACATCATTTGTCTCCTCTGGCAGGTCATCAAAGAAATCCTCAGGTAGCTTTCTCTTAGAGAGTTCTTCCAACTTCTTTTTCTGAACAGTTTGATAAACAAACGTTAGAGATTAGGGCAAAATAAAAAATACTTGTGTTTCAGGTTACATATCAGGAAAAGATGTAGTAGGTAAGAAGGCATATTATGTTATTTCAACATTTTTTTAAATTTCATGAATCAATATTTATGGTTTCTATCCAAATTTATAATGCATATCTATACATTACAATGGCTTTAAGTAGATTTGAGTGACTGTGAGTGTTGTCTTGTTAATAATTCAATCTGGGATACAAGCTGGTGATGAGATTTCTACGATTGGCAGGAAAACTGTACATTCTGCATATTAGGTTGGCACACTTACAGATCAAGTATGCTCAACTATCACAGAATATTTCTGTGCCCTATAACATACTGTTTCAACTGGTATATACAAAAACAGTTATACTGATACATAGTACGTGGTAAAGTACTACCATATTTTACTGGTGATAAGCCCAGAGGGCCTGTGCATGAAAATATGTCATATATAGGGGCGGGCTTATTCCTGGATATTGATACATCATACAACTATGCAAAAACTATTTTTACTGACGCTGACAAAATTGAAGAAAGGGCTTACAACCGGGTACCCACCCTGTGCATGGAAATTTAAAGTAAGGGAAAGGGGGGTAAAATACAGTAGTTACATATCAACAAATATTAAATTGACTTGTGAATTGTGATCAATGAAGAGTGTTAAAAATGCACTGAAATTTATTTTCTAACTGTGAACTTGACCTACTTTAGCACCCTGAAGCACAAACTTATTCCTTACTGCATGTCATAACAAGTCCTTAAGTTTCATTAAATTCCATTAGGTAAGAAATGAAGTTATGACTATCAATGCCAGCTAAAGGATATAACCTGAGTAATTATGGGAAGAATGCTATATCCCTTTTATTGTTAGGGGATGATAAAGCCACAGTATTTGTTTTATGGTAGATATATATGACACATAGTGAAGCAGTCATTTGTTTGTTACTGGCTCAAACAGTGGGAATTTCCCTTCAGCATAATCATGATCAGAAGAGCAACTAGTAATCTGTAGTCCCAGGTTTGATTCTTAGCCGATGCAGAGCCAAGGAATAAGTTAAATAGGTAACGCTGATGTCCATTAGCCCGAGTTTCCTCTGGCCCTGAAACCAGACTTTGGTATTTTAACAGATAGATATATCTACACCAGACTTCAATGCTGGGTAAGTAACTACAGATCTCAATTACACATACCGGGTAAGTAACTACAGATCTCAATTACACATATCGGGTAAATACCTACAGATCTCAATTACACATACCGGGTAAGTAACTACAGATCTCAATTACACATACCGGGTAAGTAACTACAGATCTCAATTACACATACCGGGTAAGTAACTACAGATCTCAATTACACATTTACCCGGTAAATAACTACAGATCTCAATTACACATACCGGGTAAGTAACGACAGATCTCAATTACACATACCAGGTAAATAACTACAGATCTCAATTACACATACCGGGTAAGTAACTACAGATCTCAATTACACATACCGGGTAAGTAACTACGGATGCCTAAGTATTAATACCTTCTGGTCCTTGTACTGTTGATCAAGATGTCTCCGCTTGTTTTTGAGGGTCATCTTTTCCGTGTCAATCTGTTTCATGACTTGCCTCATTCTCTGTATGGCATTTTCCTTCCCTGACTGAAAAGAAACAGCCTCAGGAGCATCATCCTGATCACTATCCTCCTCATTGTCATAAGCAATGTCAGTTGTTTTCACCTTTGTGGCAACATTGTCCTCGTCATATTCTTCGTCACTTTCCACCAATAAGTCTTCATTTTCAGAGGATTCTGGTTCATCTGCAAATATTCAGAACATAAATGTTGTAAGTAAAAAGTTCAAAACTTAAGCAATTCAAAATCCATCTGAAAATGGCTACGTTTTTTGTAGATTAACCCGACATTCTCATGCAATGCACCTACAGCAAAACCTTGATATACTGCCTTTGTGAAACCCTGATATTTTTTCCTCCCTTTAATTATATACTGTAAAAACTTGATGCATTGCCATGAATTGTTTACATACAACAAAGCCTTTATATATTGTCCTGTTTAAATACAGCAATATCTTGATATATTGTATCAAAGAAAAAATAATGAATTTTGGAGTTTTCTACCTCCTGATATATATAAAACAGACACCATATGTTGTTGAATTGTCCGATTAACACAAAACTGGAATGCATCATGCTTAAAAAATATCAATCTATTTTCCAATTTTGTCACTTGAAAATGCCACAAGAATGCAGACCAGTTGATAAATACAGAAGGCAAGATTAAGGATTCTTTCATAATTTTATTTCTATGCAAAATTCTAAATATTTGCTATAGCTTTTTGCTTGCGTCATTTAAATAGTATTGAAGTTTTGAGCCAATTAATATTATAAAACTCTTTCATGCCCAGGGGTGAAGGATAGGGAAATTTCACCCAAGGGGTTTTTTAATTTGAAAATTTATTTTTCTCTCATTCCCACTACCAGAATAAGCTTAGAAACCATGAAAATGCGTTTGGACTGGCTACCATTTTGAAAATAACTTTTCCCCAGATTTTCTTTGACGAAAATTAATCAGTCAACAAGATTTATCATACCCCATATTAACAAAGTTTGCACAGAAAAATTTATCTCATCTTTCTAACGTGTACGGTAAATATATCATTATAGGTTTTAATTACATCAAATAGCCTTTTCCGCATTGCCGCATCAGAATTTTATAATTCGTGACGTCACATCATTGTCAAGCCATTGTGATGTCACGTCACGTGAAATGTGGTGTAAGATAGAAATTTCTAACACACTTTTCTTACCCTGGACAGCTCTATCTTACACACACGGAAATGAGAGAAAGCTATCTATGTGTCTCCTTCACTCTTACCAGATATATCAGGCAGAAGAAACAGTACTAAGGAATCAAAATAAGTCACACTAATACGGGGGATTACCTGGTATTAAATGGTTTCCATTAATTTATGTTACAGGGTTTTCTTATTAAGGTGAAGTGACCAGAATATGTCGGCTAAATTGAGTTATTCTAGTATAAATCTTGTGATAAGTCAATCATCCAATGACAACTTGTGTGAATGCCAATCTATAGACAGTTATATTACATCCTACATGCATGGCTCTAAATTTGTAGTTCTGTGTGCTACATTGTCCGCGAGACATCTCCTAGTCTATTAAACCTACAATGGCCATAATGAATAACACACAATTCACCCCAAACCGTCACACCCGAAACCATTTTGCCCCAACTTTTTCAAGTGTTGGATTAAATATAGACACTATTGGTCTATGACAGGCATATACTTAAATACAAGACACAATTATTGTATTATGTGAAAAAACCATTATTATGATAATTGCCTTCTTTAAAACACAGAATATGCTGAATTGGCTAAAAATGCTACAACTCAGGTCCATTCATAAGATGTATAACATATCAGACGAGTTTATACTAAAAAAGTTTTCACTTATTGTGCTGCTTGATCATATTAAATTACATCATTACTGTACAAAGGACAGTTTAATCTTAAGCGAACAATTTTAGCTCACCTGGTCCGAAGGACCAAGGTGAGCTCATGCCAGACTGTGGCGTTCGGCGTCTGTACGTCAACAATTTCTTTAAACGACTTCTTCTTCTTAACCTCTGATTGGAATTTAACTAAATTTGACTTGAAGCATCCCTAGGTGGTGGGGATTCAAAATTGTACAAATGGTGGGGCTGACCTCCTAAGGGGCTGAGGAGCGGGGCCAAAAGTGGGCAATTTGGCTATATTGCTTTAAGCGACTTCTTCTCTTAAACTAAGTGATGGATATCAACCATATTGGACTGGAAGCATCCCTGAGGTGGTGTTGATCACAATTCCACAAATGGTGGGGCTGACTCCCCAGGGTGCTGAGGGGGCAGGGCCAAAAGATGGCAAATCAGCTATATTGCTACAAACAACTTCTTCCGCAGAACTTTGCCATGGATATCAATCATATTTGGTCGGAAGCATTCATGGGAGGCAGGGATATAAAAAAAAAAAAAATGTACAAATGGTGTGGCTCAACCCCCAGGCTAAGGAGTGGGATCCAAAAAAGTGTATTACTTGGTTGAGATCCCCACTGTATAACCATATATACAATTGTTGAGTATAAAGACAAGAATGCACATTTGCTTCCAGAATGGCCCTAGGGTCTAGCCCCCCCCTTGGAGACATAGTCCCTGGGTCATAACTTTGAAACGGTTGAGATCCCCACCCCAAAACTATGTATACAAATGCTCGGCATAAAGAGACAAATGCAGTCATGATATTAGAATAGACCCTGGGGTCTGACTGAAACCCTATGGACCTAGTTTCTTAGTCACAGCTTTGAAACAGTTGAGATTCCCACCCTATAACCATATATACAATTGCTGAGTGTAAAGAGATGAATGCACATATGCTTCCAGGATGGCCTTGGGGTCTGCCCCACCCTTGGAGACTTAACCCCTTGGTCATAACTTAGAAATGGTCTAGATCCCCACCCCAAAACTATAAATACAAATGATGGGCAAAAAGAGACGAATGCAGTCATGATATTTGAATTGATCCTGGGGTCTGGTCACAACCTAGGCCTAGGGACCTAGTTTCTGAGTCACAGCTTGGAATCAGTTGAGATCCCCACCCCATAACCATACATAAAACTGCTGGGCATGAAAAATCTAATACAGATATGCTACATATTCCCTTGGATCTCATTTGGAGAAATGTTAAGTGAAGAGTAAAATACACTTCATCTTCATATTTATTCCTTCCTCAGTCAATATTGACGATTATGGAATTATTTTTGGTCTTGTGCTGTGTACATGTAGTGCGTTTGTTATGTAGGTTTTTTTTGTTTGTTTTTTTTCTAATTTGCTATAGGATACAAAAAACAGGTTTAAAGCAGTGAGTGTTAGTTATGTTGTAGGTTTTGTATTAAGTTCGATTATGTTATATGCCTGTCCTGAATTCTGCTAGTGTTTCTGATTGGATGATTGTTTTGTGTACCTACATGGTTCTCACAACCGGACACAACTATAGAACAGTATCAAGATGTGTCTCAAGAAGCTGGATCAGCTTACATCGACAACTATTTCATTTCACACCATAGTGATGCAAAACGATCTGATACGATGATCACGATTGACAATTGATCTTGTTGATCGTAGAGAAATTTTGAACCATTCAAAAAGTTTTTACAATTAACAATTAAGACAACGATTTACATCGATTGTGCCACGAATCCTGATAGTGGGAACCTAGCATTAACTCAGATATTTTGTATGCAACTAACTACAAAGTTGAAAGTATTAAATTTAAACATTAAAGTTCCTATTGCATATAAAATAATTTTCATGTGTGGGGTAAAACGTAGAGAGACTTAACACAGGGATAGAATTTAACTTTTGCAGCAACTTGCAATTTGTTGCGAGTGGGGTAAAACTAAACTGGCGAATTCAGAAACCTACTGGCATATTATATTTGATGAAAAAAAATGTGCTCTATTATGCAATCTGGACCAAAATCCTTGTGTTATATGCACTACAGTCATTACCTCAAATAACAAATACTATCATCTTTCTTATAGATGTTACATATAACACACAAATCAGAAACTTGCTGTCAATGACTCATTCTTTTAATATAATAAATTTAACAGATATATCTTAGTCTACATAATGTATTACTTTACTTTAAGTCAGTCTCTATAGAATATGTATGTGCTACTTACTTGTATGATTAATTACTCAAGAATATTTGTTGTGTACAATCAATCATAATAGTTATATGTTGTATTGTAAAATTACATGAATTAAATGTATTATGAACAAGAAGCATCTAGTGGGCTTATTCTTTTTGCAGTCATGATATTGATGATTTTTGTTGAAATGTATGTTTAGCTAAAGCTATTCTATGTTTGTTGACTATACCTCGTGCCAAGTAAACTTTGACGTTTGCAGATCTAAAAAAAACAATTTATTACAGCTTTGTCCAAAAAAAATGCTATATTTGCTGACACAGAACTTCCAGAGTACAATGTATCTTCCCCGTTGATATTTACCAGATTCATTTTCTGATCCGGATGTACCATTACCATCTTGTGTCTTCTTTTCTATATCTTTGAAAATATCGCTTTCAAATTCGTCATCTTCTACTTCTCCTGTTGAATATCTTCGACTCATTTTGTGATTATTTGCAAAACTTCTCGTTTGATATGAAAAAAATATTTCACGCAGTTTGTTTACAATTCACGTGGGTTCTGGTAGTCCCTATCATCTACACCCTTGTCCTCTCGACCCATTTAGTTCAATAGTCTTGATGACTAAGATTTTAGTGTAGCGTTTTCGGCATGTCGTTGAGTTCAAGTTAAAAAGAAAGGATTAAGAAAAACATTCACAATTATTAAGTTTTATTACTAACAAACACCTTTATTAAAACATGTTTAACAATAAAAAAAAATCTATGTTTATTGTAATTTTAGGACATCCTCACACCGTTCTGAGAGCAACATTCAACTTCCGGTTGCAGAGAGAGACACATGAGATGGCCTCTTTAGATCATTTAAAGATATTTCGGCGATTATTTAACTTAAGAAGAGCATGTTTACAAACACGAACGTATGCTCAAAATAGTAAGATATGCTTCTATCTGTCTCATAACGAAAATTGTATAAGTTGGACAAAAATAACACTTCGACCTTCTCTTCTTGAACAGGCCGGGAAGAGCAGATAATCACAGAAACCCGCGATTGTCTACGAGATATTTAAATATATGTCAGTTTAAAATGAACGTATAACGCCATGTTGTTCATAATGGTTCAAAACTACCATATTTTTTACAGACAAGTCTGTAATGTATTGGAAAAAATATTGAGTTGAGTTGGAAATAAAAATAATTGAAACTAAATTTCTCTTTATAAAGTCAAGTACATGTAGATGACAATATGACATGCATCCTCGATACTCCAGGGTTTACGTCCCCTTATGCTCTCTGCACCCTGGAAGATTGTGTCATGACAAAATCAAAGGCAATATGTGCCACCTTTTGGATGCGTTGGGGTGGGGGTATAGAGTGTAACGTTAACCCATGGAGTATCAAGTCTGTATATCATGCACCCTGGAGTTTTCAACAACCTTTTCTGTTATCATGTTAGGAATTCTTTGACCTTTCGGACTGTCTTGCAACTATATTTTGAAATGACACATTTTGGTCTAAAAGTTTCTTTTTTGGACATATTTCTTGATGGAGTTTTTTTTTTAACTGAAAGGTCAAAAGGAGTAAAAACACCAAAACATGAAAAAACAAAAACTAAATGTGATATGGTATTCAACTGATTTACCAACCTATCAAGAAAGTCTCAAGGATGATATGAATTATTCATAAGTAGAACAACAGCTCACACGCTTATAATTTACTTGGTGTTTACTGTGCAGTCATCATGTCAAATGGAATAAAATGGTCGTTTTGTTGTAATTATGCTACTGGGAAAAATGACAAGCTTTCAGATTTATCATGGAAAACCATATGTGTTGGAAAAATATCAAAGAAATCACCAAATTAAAAAAACTAAATGCATGCATCCTTCATGCCAAATATCATCCATATCTAGTTAAAATCATATCCGAAATCCCGTTCCTCTACGATACTCTTACATTAGGTAATTTTAATTAGATTGCGCGATCGGCTGCCTTTGAATCAGCCGTTGCTCAATCTTTATCAGACATGTAACTTCTCAAGACATCGCCTGATCACATTCATAGCCTGATTATATAATTATTACCTGTATATGTTAATGGTAAACTATTCTACCTCGGAAGAGGTCGTATCCAGATGCGTAATAAAAATTATGATAATATCATATATATCAAAATTAGTTAATTTCTATGAAATTTCAAAATCCTTCTTAAAGGCAGTACCATATATGAATGACGTAGAGATAAAAAGACAGTCTCAAACAAGTTTCTTTTATTATTGTTTTTATGAAACAACCTTATAGATAGAATGTGAATGAGTTTCAGACCAATCCTTGTGATCTTGATATCTCAACCCACATTTACCTGATAGTGAAAAATCAAAGGAATGGTAATTTGTGATGTCACTGTTATATACCTTATGATGTCTCAATTGATACTGATATTACTACATGTTAGCAGATTATTAATTATGCAATTACAATGTTCTTTTTACTGCAGGCAGTCAAGGATCCTTGAGTTCATCTGAGACGGACAAGTCAGATCCCCAAACAACATTACCTCCCTCATCAGGTGGTGGGCCAACAATGCCTCATTTTGCTCAAGACCCTCTACCAATATTTCTACAGAGGAGAGTTCAAGAAGTTTTATTAAAGATATCCAGGCTTAATATGGATGATTTTGTCAGAATCCGTAAAACAGACCACCATGTGAAACCTCGCTACGAATTAATGTCAGATGTGGAGCTGCGAAGGGTTGGTATATGTTTTCACATGTGCAAATACATATAAAATACTACCTACAATGAAGGAAAACACACAGTAGAGCTTTGATAAGCCAGCAATCTTTTAATAGCATGATGGCAAATGTGGGGAAATTTTCTATAGAAAATGGTGAATTGGTTCCTTCTTTACCTGTCAAATTCCACCTGGTCGATTTCAGCGTAACCTGGTACATTTACAATGTTCATATCAGAAGTTCTATCTCAATGTAGCAGATTTAAAAAAAAAAAACAAGCAAGGTAAAAAATCATCTTTAGTATATCTGATAAAGATCCTTTGATGATGGGTGCTAAGATCCTTAAAGGATCTCTTGTGAAAAAGCATTACTTTTAATACTTTGAATTTCTCATTTCCTGACAGTATCATTACTTTGGGTCTCTCCAAACTCGGATACATGTATTTTCAAAGAGGCTGACAGTGACTGGTTAACATTCATGATACTTCAGTTGAAGGAAAGTTTAAAAGATAAAACTGCTACTGTGTCCTATTTTTCTTTCTTTCTTTTGTCTTCTTCAGTATGTAGAATATATAACCTTCTATTTTGTATACATAGATGGAAGTGAAAGCAATGGAGAGGGCAACAGAAATGCTGAAAATGCCACCATTTATGAAAGCCCCAAACCTAAAGGTAGAAGTGTTGTCACATGATCCAGAGATTGCCCCAGCATTGACATCAAAATGGGTGTTTGTTGACATCTCCAGCGGAGTACACAATAGGGTAAATACAACTAACAATAACATTCAAAATTAGCGAATGCGCAGGGAATATAATAACTGTGAAATTGAACTTCTATTTCTTTAACAACAATTATTTCAACTTATATTAATCAGTTATGTTGGCCCAGATATTAGCACTTGGGGGTCTAAGTGTGGGAGGAAACCAGAGTACCCGGAGAAAACCCACGTGGTCGGGCAGGTGACCCCATACCTTTTGGCTAGGGGTAAGGCGAGTGAGGTTTCTACAGTGCCACCCAACGACCGAAATACAAACAAACCCCTAATTACTGAACATATGCATTAGAAAGTCGTCCTTGGGGACATTATACACTAAAATAACATACTCTCATGCATCAAGATCTTGAAAGTGTTACATGTGAACATTTAGACCTGTAGAAAGGATCAGCTGTACGATAACTTCAGAAAAAATAATTTGATTTGATCAAAGAAAAAACTCCAGCTATGCATTTAAAAGATTTCAGTGATGAGGAAGGCCAGTACACCACACAACCGTTCCAGAATTTCTATTTCTATTTTGCATGCAAAAATAGTATATATTTTTGACAAGCACTGTGATATCAGAACCAATGAGGTATACAGGCCCACACCAATCGTATTCAACATTTCTACCAGAAAAGTGGTACTTGGCATTGGATAGGTAGTAGTATGGTTTAACATTTTGACTTGAGATGTCGGACTAAAATTGTATGAACTTTGAATATCATGTCAATAAGCTCATTAATTAATAACTTTTATGTGTACAGTACAGGACTCGCTGTCCTTTCAGAAACTTTGATTGTCATTGTTAATCAGGTCACCTGGGATCACTAACTGTGAGAAGAAAACTTGGGAAGGAGTGCAATGGAGCAGTGCTTGGTCAAATTTGCCTGTAGTTAACTACTTTTCAGGGATTAAGGAACATAAACAAAAAACTTTTCTCCTTGCTTTCTATGTATAATGACTTGTAAGGAAGAAAGGAAAAACTGCCTCAGACTTATTTTGTATTGTGTGAATTTTAACCCTGCTTTCACTTAGGAAATAGTCGGCAACATGTAGATATATAATACCATAATGCTATGTCATGTTTGTATCTGACGATGTGAAGTAGATCTTCTCCAACATGTAGATATATATACCATAATGCTATGTATGTTTGTATCTGACGATGTAAAGTAGATCTTGCCCAACGTGTAGATATAATACCTTAATGCTATTTAATGTTTGTATCTGACGATATGAAGTCGATCTTGTCCCATATGTAGATATAATCCCTTAATGCTATGTAATGCTTGTATCTGACGATCTGAGGTCGACCTTGTCCAACATGTAGATGTAATACCATAATGCTATGTCATGTTTGTATCTGACGATGTGAAGTAGATCTTCTCCAACATGTAGATATACTACCTTAATGCTATGTAAAGTTTGTATCTGACGATCGGAAGTCGACCTTGTCCAACATGTGGATATATAATACCATTATTCTATGTTATGTTTGTATCTGACTATCCGAAGTCTATCTTGTACAACATGTAGATAGAATACCTTAATGCTATGTTATGTTTGTATCTCACGATCTGAAGTCTATCTTTTCCAACATGTAGATATATAACACCATAATGCTATGTAATGTTTTTATCTGACGATCTAAAATCGATCTTGTACAACATGTAGATACAATTCCTTAATGCTATGTAATGCTTGTATCTGACGATCTGAGGTCGACCTTGTCCAACATGCAGCTACATAATACCATAATGCTATGTTATGTGTGTATCTGACGATCTGGAGTCGATCTTGTCCAACATGCAGTTATATAATACCATAATGCTATATAATTTTTGTATCTGACGATCTTAAGTCGATCTTGTCCAATATGTAGATATAATACCTTTATGCTATGTAATGTTTGGATCTGACGATCTGAAGTAGATCTTGTCCAACATGTAGCTATAATACCTTAATGCTACGTAATGTTTGTATCTGATGATCTGAAGTCGATCTTCTCCAACATGTCGATATATAATACCATAAAGCTATGTAATGTTTGTAACTGACGATCTGAAGTCGTCCTTGTCCAACATGCAGATACATAATACCATAATGCTATGTCATGTTTGTATCTGACGATCGGAAGTCGACCTTGTCCAACATGTAGAAATAATACCTTAATGCTACGTAATGTTTGTATCTGATGATCTGAAGTCGATCTTGGCCAACATGTAGATATAATGCCTTAATGCTATGTAATGCTTGTATCTGACGATCTGAGGTCGACCTTGTCCAACATGCAGATATATAATCCCATAATGCTATGTTATGTTTGTATCTAACGATCTGAAGTCGATCTTTTCCAACATATAGATATAATACCTTAACGCTATGTAATGTTTGTAACTGACGATCTGAAGTCGACCTTGTCCAACATGCAGATATATAGTACCATAATGCTATGTAATGGTTGTATCTGACGATCTGGAGTCGATCTTGTCCAACGTTTAGATATAATACCTTAACGCTATGTAATGTTTGTATCTCACGATCTGAAGTAGACCTTGTCCAACATGTTTATATAATTCCTTAATGCTGTGTAATGTTTGTATCTGCCGATCTGAAGTCGATCTTTTCCAACATATAGATATATAATAACATAATGCTATGTAATGTTTTTATCTGACGATCTGAAGGCGATCTTGTCCAACATGCAGTTATATAATACCATAATGCGATGTTATGTTTGTATCTGTCGATCTGAAGTCGACCTTGTTCAACATGTCTGAATACTTCTTATCAAGAGAGACCAAACAGTTCATGATTCTATGACTTATTTTTCAGGATAGAATAATAGTTGTTCGGGATGTTATGTTTGTATCTGTCGATCTGAAGTCGATCTTTTCCAACATATAGATATATAATAACATAATGCTATGTAATGTCTGTATCTGACGATCTGAAATCGATCTTGTCCAACATACAGATATATAATACCATAATACTGTGTTATGTTTGTATCTGTCGATCTGAAGTCGATCTTGGCCAACATGTAGATATATAACACCATAATGCTATGTAATGGTTGTATCTGACGATCTGAGGTCGACCTTGTCCAACATGTAGATGTAATACCATAATGCTATGTCATGTTTGTATCTGACGATCTGAAGTCGACCTTGTTCAACATGTTTGAATACTTCTTATCAAGAGAGATCAAACAGTTCATGATTCTATGACTTATTTTTCAGGATAGAATAATAGTTGTTCGGGATAACGATGGCAAACTGAGGAAAGCTATCCCTGATGAGCGAAGACGGGCTAACCTTCTTTACTACCCCAAATTTGGAGTATCTATAGTACAGCCAAAAATGTTTGAGCAAGACCAGTTAGAGGTACATATAAATCAGTTTTTACAACAGTATTGCCAACCTAACATAAAACTTAAGTATTTATTCAAGAAACTTTTCTAAACCTGATCCAAGCTCAAAGCCAGATTAGTTAAAAGAGTCAAATATATAAGGTTTTTGTACAAAATGCATGAAAATTTATCTTAAATATTTCTGTGCTTTTGACTTCAAACATCAATTTTAAATCCCTGTTCTTGTAACTTTAGTTTAAAACTAGTGTATTTTTCAACATTTTGTAAATTAAAACTTTTATATAAAATTGTCATTAAGTAACCATTCTCTGAACAACATGAACAAAATCTGTTAACATGGTCCTTTTCACTCTGTTAATTTAACAGTTACTTGAAAAATATGAGCTTTTACAATTAAATTTTCCTGTTTTGAAATTTTCATATTTCATATTATTTTATTGAAAAACAAAAACAAAATAATACCATTTGAAATATTTAATAATAATACCATGTATACAGTGTAATGTTTTGATGGTGTTCAGCTTGGACAGGCTTCATTTCAGTCAATTAAAAGCACTTAAACAAGAAAAGTAAAACTGGATGAGATCAACCAGATAGCATATTAATGTGATGTTGTTTTGTCGTAGCACTTGCTGGAGAACAGATTGACCGATATCAGATATATACTGGACCGAGCATGTACCCAGTTTGAGCCAGATGACCCGAACTTCATCAGAGTAAGAACATTAAAAAAATAACTGAATCTGTTTTCCCTAACAATAATCGTGCTAATAAAATCTATTACCTGTAACTGAGCGAGATCGGAATATCTTAGTCGAGGGTTAAGATTCTGTAACAAAATCCCAACCGAGGCGTAAGCCGAGGTTGGGATGTTACAGAATCTTAGCCCGATACTGAGATACAAGTAATTGATTTTTTGGTTTCGCCTGAACAGTGGGATTCTTCAGGATGATTTTTGACAAAATTTGTCCCCTGAAGTACTTAAAAGTGGGACACATTTGTATTTTTATCTGTGACCATCAAACTATTGAAGACACATCTTTAAGCACCTATTGTGATAAGATGGCATTATCGTTATAATTAATTCTACAATGAGTTATTGATATTGCAATTATTTTCTGATGCATATATTTCTACCAATGATAAAAGCATGCTTGATATACAAATAACCATTAAAATGTCCTTGAAATATGCCATTGCATTCTTTTAAATGCTTTGAGTCACAAGTTTATAGACTGAGCAAATCATCACAGAGCGGTCATTGCTGAGCATATAACAAAGACAATATATTTCCCATGAATCGTCATGTAACCTTAACAACTAGTACTGTTAGGCCATCTGTCAGGTAACCATGGTAACTAGCTATAGTAATTCTTTTTTGCTATTCATCATAACACTGGACAGCTTAATTGCTCTTGGGAAAGATACCAACATGTTCTGTATCCATCCACAGGTTACAAGTACCATTTATGAGTATGTATGGAAGAACAGATGTTTTAATGATTTGGGGTCCACACGATTCTTCGGCCCAATGTCTTTCTATTTCATCTTAAAGAAGGACATTACATATCTGCTAGTGGACATGATACAACACGATTTGTAAGTATTGGACTGTCTTTAATAATATTTGTTCTATTCTAAAAATGATTTTGATCTTAGTGGGAAATTTTCACTTTCTTTGCAATAATAAGACTTGGCTAACAACTTGCATAAAGTACCCATACAGTCTGTACTCTGACTAATTAATTAGTCATATTGTCCAGGCTTTCCAAAGAATAGCTAATTTCACATTCAAACTTATAACACATTGCAATGACACAGACAATCAATACATTTGAGGAGAGGTACTCTATAACACAAGTACCGCAGGGCAGAACAATATACGCCATCCCATGCCAGTCTGACATACTTAAGTCTGCATTATTGTACCTAGATGTGTTAAAATATGGAAATATAAGGAGAAGAAACAGCATTTGTACTGTATAACTCAGTAAAGTTGGGAACTATTCCTGGAATGTGGTGAAAGGAGAAAACATACTTAACCAATTTCAGGAATGTATACATTTTCATGAAAATAGAAATAAAAAATTGCTTTTATTTTGCCAATAATCAATTCGCCTTAAACCATTAAACAGAGGATTGTTTCTATTACTTATTAATTACTGTCCAATTTAGCTTTTTGACAAATTGTCAATATTGACCAAGTTTACCCGGAATCCAGTCATATTTGTGAGGGCTGTCGACCAGTCAGAGCACAATATGCCTTAGTCTTTACGTAATTAATGTACATGTATGCCAAGTTTCATCAAAATCAAAATATTAAGGCAAGTTTCTTACGGAAACCAGAGTGCAGAAGGACAGAAGGACAGATGCTCCCCATACCATAATACGACAGGCATATGAAAATCACATGTCGTGATGCATAATACAAAAAAGAAATACACCCATTACCAATGTTGCTATTCAGGATTGTTCATGCCTGGCATCAAAATATTTATCCAATTTATGGACTGCAAAGCCTGTGAAAAAAAATAAACAAGAAACTATAAAGATGCATAACACGTTATGGTAAGTTACTCTTAGCCTGAAAATCTCCTGTCGGTTGCTCTATCTTCTATAAAGAAGATACTCCACCAATGCTAGAGGTTGAACACGGCAAGCTACGTTCGACAATTGCTGTGCCACAGTCATCATAATCATATCCTTCCTGTGTATAAAAGCGATTGTAAGCCTTTGATTTTGTTTCACAATTATAACTAATACTATTATCCATATGTTGTAAAGCGCTTTAGAGTAATTTTACAAATTATATAGATGTTGTATATTATCATTATTATTACTTATATCTGATAAATAACAGCCAGCCAGTGGCCTTGTATGTTATAGGAGTATATATAGCTTTTAACTTAGTTTATTCTGAATGCAGGCATATCTGCTTCTATATATATATATTATAGAAAGGAGAAAATTTAAAGCCAAACAGAAAAAAGACTGCTCCCTTCTTATGAATGTAGCAGTGCCCTTTACATCTATAAAAAAATAGTTGTTTTCCTAGCTAATAAACACTACTTAGATACAAGGATGATTATAGTGTTCCAGTTTACTGTTTCAATACCAGAACTTATTTTTTTCTAGACTGACGGATGCTGTCAGTTTAATACACCTATACAAACACATCTACAAAAATGAGAAAATCCCTACGCCATATGGAATATCACAGAACAAAGAGACCCAGTTGTCTACGATACAGGTAGGTATTCAGACAATAAATAGGTTAGATTTTTAGCTCACCTGCACAAAGAGCAAGCGAGCTTATGTCATGGTGCGGCGTCCGTCGTCATCCGTCAACTTTTCCTTTAAACGACTTCTTCTGAAGAACGAACAGGCCTAGAGTCATGATTTTTGATTGAAAGCTTTGTTGGTAGGAGCCTGACATAGTTTGAGAACGAAAATGACCTTGACTTACTTTTTAGGTCACAGGGTTCAATGTGCCAAACACTTCAAACGACTTCTTCTGAAGAACTGAACGGTATAGAACCTTCAAATTTGGCTGGTGGCTTCCTGGGATAGGGCCCAACAAAGTTTGTGAATGAAAATGACCTTGACCTACTTTCAAGGTCACAGGGGGTCAAACTCTTCAAATGACTTCTTCTGAAGAACTGAAAAGTATAGAGTCATTATATTTGGCTGGTGGCTTCCTTGGGTAGAGCCAGACAAAGTTTGAGAATGAAAATGACATTGACCTACTTCAAGGTCACATCGGTCAAATATGTCAAACACTTCAAACGAATTCTTCTGAAGAACTAAACGGTATAGAATCTTCATATTTGGCTGATGGCTTCCTGGGGTGGAACCTGACAAAGTTTGAGAATGAAAATTCCCTTGACCTACTTTCAAGGTCAAAGGGGGTCAAATGTGTCAAACTCTTCAAACAACTTCTTCTGAAGAACTGAAAGTTATAGAGTCTTTATATTTGGCTGGTGGCTTCCCGGGATAGAGCTAGACAAAGTTTGAGAATGAAAATGACATTGACCTACTTTCAAGGTCACAGCGGTCAAATATGTCAAACGCTTCAAACGACTCCTGAAGAACTAAAAGGTATAGAATCTTCATATTTGGCTTGTGGCTTCCTAGGATAGATCTTGACAAAGTTTGAGAATGATAATGACTTTGACCTAGTTTCAAGGTCACAGGGGTCAAATACTTCAAACGACTTCTGAAGAACTAAAAGGTATAGAATCTTCAAATTAGGCTGGTGTCTTCCTGGGATAGAGTCAGACAAAGTTGAAGAATGAAAATGACCTTGACCTACTGTGAAGGTCACAGCGGTCAAATATGTGACACTCTTCAAACAACTTCTTCTGCAGAACTAATAGGTATAGAATCCTTATATTTGGCTGATGGTCTCTTTTTCTGGGATACAGCGGGACAAAATTTGAGAATGAAAATGACCTTGACTTACTTTCAAGGTTACAGGGGTCAAATGTGTCAAACACTTCAAACAACTTCTTATGAAGAACTGAAAGGTATAAATCTTAAAATTTGGCTGGTGGCTTCCTGGGATAGAGCCTGACAAAGTTTGAGAATGAAAATGACCTTGACCAACTTCAAGGTCACAGGGGTCAAATATGTCAAAAACATCAAACTACTTCTTCTGAATAATCAAAAGGCATAAAATTATAACATTTGCCTGGTGGCTTCCTGGGATAGAGCTTGCCAAAGTTTGCAAATGAAAATGACCTCAACTTTCTTTAAAGGTCACAGAGGTCAACAACATTTCAAAGGATTTGTTCTGAAGAACCTAAAGGAATGGATTCATAAGATTTGGCTGGTAGCTTTTTGGGTTAGAGCTAACAAAGTTTGGGTAGGAAAATGACATTGACCTACTTACAAGGTCACAGGGGAAAATATCTCAAACAACTTCTGAAGAAGAACCAAAAAGCATAGATTCTTATAATATTATTTGGCTGGTAGTTTCAAAAGATTGATTCAACAAAGTTTGCGAGGGAAATATCTGTAGTGCAATATAATATTAAATGAGAATATTTTGCTATGACTGCTTAAATATTCAGGTGGGCGATACAGGCCCTCTGGGCCTCTTGTTGTTTTTGGTTCAATGCCCTCGCAACAGGCAGGGTCATAAGGTGTCTGGGTAGACACCGCCTGAAACAGAAAGAAAATAGAAAAGAAAGAAGACAGGAAAAATAGGAAACCGGAAAAAGATCACAAGTGTTGCAGTGGGGACAGCTGATCCCAACCATCAATACAGTCAGGTTTCAGTTTCCGAAGTTGTTGTCGCAAGTTGATTATGTTTGACTGTATAATGTGAACATCAAGGATTTTTATGATATCTTGTGTTAATGTTCTGACAACCTGTTCTTTTCACTTTCAGAGATTCTGTAAAACCGATAGTGACCAGAAGCAACAGAATTGGGCAGAAGTAGAGTCAGCAATCAGATCATACCGACTGTCTCTGACTGACCGGGCCACGGCTTCCTGACTTCAGGCTAAAACAAACTGTGTTTATGTATGGAAAGTGTGTGAGTGAAAGTTACCCAGAGGAGACTGAATTTTATATGCGAGAAATAAAGTGATTTATTGATGCATCATTGGTGAAATTGTTTGTCATAGTGAAAATGAAGTACTAAGTTTCTGTCAGAGCCTACTCCGTCTTTGCATATTGCAGAGTTATCTCCTCTTGTGAGCAGGTATCGATTGTTACGTCATTGGTTTGTGTGAGAAAATTACGTCGTTTTTTCAAAAATTGATGAAATTACTCTCACAAACCAATGACGTTACAATCAATACCTGCTCACAAGAAGAAAAAAAGATAACTCTGCAATACGCAAAGACGGAATAATGGCTTTGAGTTGGAGGACAAAGGACACCAAAAACGGTCCAGAGTCATAGATTTTGGAGTCTATAACAGCATAGAGTCATAGGTTGTTGAGTTCAGCCTAGTAATTGATTTTAGAGCCTGTAACAGCATAGTCATGGATTTCGGAGCCTAAAACAGCATAGAGTCATGAATTTTGGTGCTTATCTCGGCATAGAGTCATTGATTTTGGAGCCTATAACAGCCTAGTCATTGATTTTGGAGCCTATAACAGCCTAGTCATTGATTTTGGAGCCTATAACAGCCTAGTCATAGATTTTGGAGCCTATAACAGCCTAGTCATTGATTTTGGAGCCTATAACAGCCTAGTCATTGATTTTGGAGCCTATAACAGTCTAGAGTCATGTATTTGGGAACCTCTAACATCCCAAATTTTTATGGAAAACATAATTCACACATACAGGCTATGCCTGCTCACAATCTAGTATTTGTGTTGGCTAAAATGATTTATGCTGCTTGACAACAATATATGTGTATACAGGATTTTTGAGGATTACTTTATTATGACTCCCCACCTCCAAGTTTGTTCATTTTCTCTGGCCAACTTTACAAATTGGTGTTTCTCAAGAAAATCAATACTGTAAATGCACTGGTATACTAGCTCTTGTGGAGCTCTGTACAGCAACATACCAGACCAATATCTAGCAGCATTCTTATTCTTCCAATCAGTTTAGAGATGAGATAAATAATATAACTAAAGGATCACAGGTAACCTTCAACTGAAATATGGGAAAGGTGTGTCAAACACTTTATGTAATAACAACCTGTTGACACAGTACCCCAAGAGGTATCTTGGTACCTTCTGTAATACCTTCATTATACCCCCGCAACGAAGTTAGGGGGGAGGGTATACGGGAATCGCCCTGTCTGGATGTCGTCCGCAGTAACTTGTCCGCGCAACTTCTCCTTAATTAATAGGTGGATTTCATCGAAACTTTGCATGAATGATCAGTATCTTATGTAGTTGTGCACCGGCATTTTAATTTGGGATTTCGACCCTTTTTGATGGAGTTATGCCCCTTTGTGCGAAATACAAGTACGCGCAACTCCTCCTTAATTAACAGGTGGATTTCATTGAAACTTTGCATGAATGATCAGTATCTTATGTAGTTGTGCACCGGCATTTTGATTTGGGTTTTTGATGGAGTTATGCCGCTTTTTGTGAAATACTTGTCCGCACAACTCCTCCTTAACTAACAGGTGGATTTCATTGAAACTTTGCATGAATGATCAGTATCTTATGTAGTTGTGCACAGGCATTTTTATTTGGGATTTCCACCCTTTTTGATGGAGTTATGCCCCTTTGTGCGAAATACTTGTCTGCGCAATTCCTCCTTAATTAACAGGTGGATTTCATTGAAACTTTGCATGAATGATCAGTATCTTATGTAGTTGTGCACCGGCATTTTAATTTGGGATATTGACCCTTTTTGACGATGGAGTTATGTCCCTTTAACAAAAATAGTATTTATCCTGCTAAATATGTTAAAAGTATAACTCTCAAATAAACATAACTTGGCGGAGGTGGGGGTATTAGTCAGCCACCCTGGCGATAGCTCTAGCTGGTTCTGTGAACTGTTTACTCATCTGTCTCTACATACAAAAATACATACAGAAAAAAATGTGAAGTATTGAGAAACAGTGATAACAAACTAGAACAGTCATAATCCAAGATGGCAGCATTGTGGCCATCTTGTTTTCTGATTTATCTCAAAATGAGCAATATATGCCCGTCGAATGCCATATAGTGTTATAAACTCTTTCATTGAAATAAGATCTGCATCATTCTAAGAGTGGTTAGCTGGCATGCTATAAAAAAATGAAAAAAATCAAATACTGAAATGAACTAAGGGCAATAACTTTTGCAAATATCATCGAATCAAAATTTCCATTAAGGGAGACACAACTTCATATCATGATTGTAATGTATACCAAGTTTCAAAGAGATCCGTTGAAAAATGTAGGAGGAGATTGCCGGACAAAATTCAAATACTGAAATAAACAAAGGGCATTAACTTTTGCAAAAATTGTTGAATCAAAATTGTTTTGAAGGAAACACTACAACATATCATGATTTTTTAGCCGACAAAGTTTAAAAGAAATTCGTCAAAAAATATAGGAGGAGATCTCTGAACAAAAAATCAAATACTGAAATGAACAAAGGGCAATAACTTTTGGAAAAATTGTTGAATCAAAATTCTTTTAAGGGAAACACAACTTCATATCATGATTATAATGTATACCAAGTTTCAAAGAGATCGATCGAAAAATGTAGGAGGAGATTGCCGGACAACCCCATACCATAATACTTCCGTCAAATTTGACGGGCGTATAAAAATATGCAAACTTAAGACCAAGGGGCACTTAAAATGCAATTGTCTGTCGGGTACTTCTTGAGAATATAAAATGTCAAAATTCAATCTTGCTGCATAGCAGCAATCTCATATCTGAAAGACCAAAGGGAACATGTAATTTGAGAAAGGTCTGTCCAGTACATTTTGATAAATAGCAGTAACAAACAAACTGTTGATATTTAAGATGACTGTTAAGCAGCACAACCAAAGATGAAAAAGAACCTACATAAGAAATATAAGAAAGACTTCTCAACTGTCATAATCCAACATGGCTGCCTGGCAATTATTTTATTTTTTTGATTCGTCAAAAAATGAAAAAATTAGAAAGACCAAGATCTGTCAAGATCTTTTTGAGAAAAATATTGATAACAGAAATTATGTAAGGTTGATTTGATTGACAGCTCCCGACATGGTGATGATTGGCTTAAACAAATACAGCTGCCTGTCTGGTAGACATCTTAATTTCTAATCAGTCTACAAAACAGAAGCACTTCTATGGATAGAAAGAACTGTCAAGTACTTCTCCAGAAAAGTAACTGTAAAAAAAATAATTAAAGGACAAATCACGACTGGATGGGGATTTGAACAGCCGACCATCTGATTATAACGATGATGATGATAGAAGAAAAACAGATTTTCTTGATAAATGAAATTTCACTATATTAAATAATAATGTATTATTTATGTAAAATTCGCAAAATAGATAACAAAGTCATATAATTATAAGTAACTAAAATAGTCTAATTTAATAGATCAAGGTGTATGTAGCCTCATGAATATCAGCAAACTTAGGACATATACATTGATGGGAAATATACATTGTTAGGACATACATTGTAACCCAGCTGGAAAGTGAGCATGTATAATGACACACCTCTCATCATCTATTCCGTCTTTACGTATTGCAGAGTAATCTTCTCTTGTGAGCAGGTATTGATTGTTACGTCATTGGGTTGTGTGAAAAATTACGTCGTTTTCTCAAAAATTGATGACGTTACTCTCACAAACAAGTGACGCAACAATCAATACCTGCTCCCAAGAGAAGATAACTCTGCAATACGCAAAGACGGAATACTAATAAAGATATAACAAAGTGTCGCTGTAATGGATCTTATATTACCATCAATACATTCAGTACTGTACCTGACAGGGACTTGAGAATTTGTTAAAACTATGTTTGGACCTAAACTAAGGTGTTTAGAGTAATTTTACACATTTTAGAGGTTAAGATCAGCTTTCGGTAAAATGCCACCCCCAAAGAAGAATATACATATCATTTGGGATGGCATTTATACCAAAATTTCATCTAAACCCATAAAACGTTTAAAATAACTTTGAAAATATACTGTAACAAATTCTCGAGTCCCTGTGTACAACTGTACAATGGCAGACAATACTGTTAATATTTTATCCAAACCAATTTAATTTACTAGTATTAAAGCAATCTCAAGAGAATACAGTAAATCACAGCCAATTGTACAGAATAGTACATAGTTAAGGTTATGTGAAACTATAATAAATGCAATATAGATAAATGTATATCATACGTCATGCCAGAATTCTTGGACACCAATCTGTGAGTTTAACAATCTTTTTAAGGGAATTGAGGTTAAAATAAGGGGGGGGGGGGGGGGGGGGGTATTTGCAGCATTTTTTTCGTGGCAAAAAGTCTGTCTTACTCAATTTAATTAATAAAATAAAGCACAAAATCTTTAAGAAGCTTTGTTTTGACTTTGGCAGGTTTTTGTATATATTGAAAGTGATTATATATATATTTAATAGCACCAAGTTTAAAAATATCTTATAGTTGAGATACATTTTGTATACTGAAGAAGCAGATTTTACTTTTAATTTCGAAATTTAGTTGGACAGCCCAATATTCACAGCAGCCACAATTTCTGCTAGTATATCAGATTTGCTGTGCTATACTATATCACAGCAAATTTGATATACATGTACTAGCAGAAATTAATGCAATATAGAGAAATGCAGTTTTAATGTTCTATCAAAGCCAATTTATATGCTAGTTGTATACAATCAAGAAAGTCCAAAAATGAGTGATTTATAGAAAAAAAAGTACATTAATGATTTTATACTTATCACAGCCAATGTTTGATGAAGTACACAGTAAAAACAATCTCAAATTAATGCAATATAAAGAATATATACCAGTGCATGTGACTTGTACTCTGTCCTCTATGCTCATAACAACTTCCATAAAACTATAATGTATATTGCTAGTACATGTACTATATGTCACTAAACCTGCTTCCAAAAATGGGAGACAAAAAGAATGACATGGAAAAAATTCCATGAAAGAAATATCACAATAATGTAACATATTGCATGTTTCAGGTGAGAAGACTGAAAACAATATAAAACGAAGAGTGCTAATCTAAAAGTTTTACTACAGATTTGTTTTTGTGAACTAAAACATGTCGCCCCTTTATCAGTTTAAAAGTTATGGCCCTGACAAGATATTCCTGAAAACTATGCACTTATTTAACCTTTGATCACAATGACCTAATGACGGAGCACTGCACATCATCTACAAGTGATGCAAGTATACAGGTCATCAAGATATCTTTAACGGTTTAAAAGTTACGACCCGGACAACATCATATTAGAAGAAGCATTACCAGAAAAATCCGTACTAATACAATATGTCTCCTTTCATTCCAAGAGTAGACAATCAAATCAAATAATAATATTGGATTCCAATTTGGTTTTGATGCATGCCTATGAAGTAGAGAGGGTATATATATAGTTGCCCTGTTTGTTCATCCATCAATTTGTTTGCATCCAGTGGAAAACTTATTCCACTACTGATGGAGTGCCTAAGTAAACTTGTTAATAGAATCGGAGGTAAAAACTAGGGTAGGTTGGGGTACTTGATTTATTATTTATATGGCTTTATTATATTTCTGATTGTAGTGCATAACAAAGAACGTCGAATTGCATACGACGATAACGTGTAATTCCATTACTATAACAATGCTCAAATTTAAGTTCAAGAATACCTGTAATGAAATTCACATATCAGCATTTCCCCAAATGTTCAATTGATGTAAACGAAGTGGTAAGGCGAGTTCCCCGAGAAATGTAAGGCAGAATGTTTAACCCTTTCACCCCTAGGTAACTTTTGTAGACTCTATCATACATTGATCTGGATTAGTCCATTATGGTCTACAGTACTAGTGGTGAAAGGGTTCATCTGAACTCCCCTAATCTCCCAGCAGTTACGGTAGTGCAACCACAGGGACGGAATGATATATACACAAACTATGTGGGGCTGGTGCCAAACTAGGGGTTGTAGTATAACTAAAATGATACATAATCTATAACAGCTTATATAATGATCCTTAGACGTTCACAACAAACTTGTATCCTGTGTGACCTGATCCTATTAACCAAAGTAATAAAATTTCAAAGATGTATGATTTTCAATAAGGAAGAACCTCAGCACATTACCTATACAATGGTCCATACAAACTGAAAAAGTACCAATATCTTCAGCGTTAATCCTCAGATTTCATTTTAAAAGCCTTATTCCGTTTTCATCTTCCAGCTCTGCCCTTTGAAATGAGTGTCCTTTAGTTTGCACATTGTCACACAAGACATAAACGATGAATACATGATCCCTACGTTATCACTTTTGTGCTTTGAACCTGGGACCGTGTTAGACTTCCCGCAATAGATCATGTTTCATAGTGTGTAGGCGATCAAACATGAAATATTTCAATAGCGATTCAATTCAACGAATTTAAGATGAAAGACATAATGTAGACGAAGAGAGTGAAACCAGGAAACACAAACTGATGGAAAGGGAATATTTATGTGATACAGAGCGAGTGTAGATAAATATGTGTTGCAATCCAATAGTAAATACTACTGGCAAGGGAATTAAGGCGTACACCCAATTACGTTTACTCAGGAAACGTCATGGAAAAATACATTGAATTACTTCATATTCAAAAGATCATATAAAACTATTACGATCACCTAGAACCACATGTTATACCTCTATGGAAAGCTTAAATAATTATCTATTATTTCATATAATTACATGTAATTCAGCACTTAATGCGCATGTTGCTATACCAGCCGAAATTAATGTATATTGTAGAAACTTGCATGTTTAATTTATGCCAACGAAGTCGTAAGGTGAGTTCATTGAACTCTTCTTCGTGTTTACAGCTGACGCAGTGGTATCCTTTATCTTTAATGTTCATCACCCGTATTGTCCTAAATAGTAATGCTGTGTAACAAAACTGTTCTCTTTGAACCCATGCAGTCACACCAACTATCAACCTTCACAAGAGAGAACATGTCTTTGATACCTTCTGTCCTTGGATTTTGTTACTGCCCTTGTATTTCACCACCCTGGTTTTCTGACTGTGATTCTTGTGTCGAGACAGAAATCCAGAGATGAAGTTGCTTTCCTTGTTGGTGTCGCTCACGAGTTGCAGCAGCATTAGACGTCCATCCTCACATCCAATGAGGAGCAGATCATGTAGGGTGACGGTGAGGGACAGTGGTATACTATGTACCGGACAGATACTGGTCGTAGTTCCCGTCTGGGTGTCACCTATCATCAACAGGCATGCGTAGACGTTTGCCCACACAGCAATATGTCCATCAGTACTTAACTTTGGACTTGCTTGATTACTTGGTCTTTTGGGATAGTCCCCATCAGGGTCATATTGAAATTCCAAAGTCATTTTTTCCAGGTTGTACAAATTCCTGAGTCTGTCTATGCCATAGCGACCGTCCTGACACGTGAACAGCCTAGTAGGTGAACAAATGCTACCTTTTTTCCTGACCTCACCTGACTTGATGTCAAGGACAATCAGTGATTTGGTGTCAGATCCTTCATCACACTGTTGAAGCAGAACCAAGTCCTTATCCTTCACAAGAGGATGAGTGCAACATGAGACAACTCGGGGAAAGGTTAGCCTCTTTTCACCTGTTTCAATATTGTAAACAACCAGATTTGACAAGTAAACCTCTCCTGATGAGATTGATTCTGAAATGACGATATTGTCACTGGTAGAATCGAAGAACATGAACATGTCGCCGATTAAAGCTGCTCCGAGCTCCAGTGTATTGATGTGTTTTGATGCCGGTATGCTCCAGAAGCTGACTTGAGCTTCGCCGGCATTGTTAACATAAACAGCCATTTTATCGTCAGCAAGTACATGATACTTTACAAGGAGACTTGACAACGGGACAGAACTACACAGGTGTCCGGTTCCAGTGCTCCACACCTTCAGGACATTCTCAGAACTATATTCTCTCAGAACGACATGTTCACCGTCAGGAGTGATGACAGGCTGCATCACCTCATAATCTTTGGAGATATAAAACTTTATACAACCACCAAGAATATCTAGGATGGCCACCTCGTTTGACATGTTTCCCCGCATTACTGCAGTTTGCCCCCTCTCCGACACATCCATGTAACGTGGGGCACTTTTGATTGTTATTGGTTCAAAAGAGACCTGTTTTGACACAAGTGATGAGATTCTCCACACTGTTAAAACATTATTCCGCTTGTGTGTTGTGACAAGAAAATATCCATTTTCAGACATTATAGCCGCCGTTATTTTGGAGCGACTTATTTCCATGGTCTGTAGAACCCTGCTGGTCTCTGTGTCCCAAACGATAAGATAACCTTCGTATGCCGAAACGAAAAATGTCCTGTCTGGTGTCATGTGTCCTTCAAAAGACAGAACTTTGTGATCAGGTTTGACATCATCGGGAATTACAAATGCTTGCATCTTCCGATTTGATTTGTAATGGTGCAGGACAAATCCTTGGTTCGTTGTCAATAGAAGGTTTTCCTTGTCCAATGCAAACTTCACATCAGTAATAACGAGAGATGTTGGTGTCTTCTGAGAGATATTTCTCTCACTAAGGACACATCCCAATTTCTTGTTATTGGTATCAAGACCAATAACACTGAAGGTAGAAGAATCCTTGAAGATGACGACTGCTTCTTTACCTGAGGGATCTGGTATAACTTTCTTTGGTACTTGCTGAATTTCTGTTTCCGCTAGTTTTTCTCCGGAGTTGACGTCGAATAGTCTATACTTCCGTGACATCTTGTCACGAAACATGATACGGTCCTGTTCTGGAAGCAAAAACATGTCATCCGCTACTACATCAAATTGTGATATATGCTTTCCTGTCTGCCGGTCAAACAGATCTGCTGAATGACCTATGTACATGCAGATAATTTTTGTTTCCGTCAAGACAAACGAAAGACTATCTGTAAAACCTACACCAGGGTAAGTCTTCTCCAATGACACACAGTTTAATATATCGCCAGTTGACATGTTGACCACGACCACTTGGTTCCGCTGCTTCTGATAGCTGGAGTAAAACATCGCAAGGTTTTGTTCAGGAGAAGTCATCATGATGTTAAGCTTCACAATGTCCGGGTCAAATAGATTGACCTGTTGTTCTATTTCTCCAGTTGTGAGGTCCCACATTACCAAGACATTGTTTTCTGCTAAAGCAATGAGATGGGAGGAGTCGTTTGAAATGGCCACAAGAGAACATCCAAACGGGATACCCTGATGTTCAAACTTGAATAGAAGGGCTTCCTTTGGAGTATTATAACAGGTTTGATATGGTAGAGTTGCTTTGTCTGATCGGATCCTGTTCAAACAATCCTCAACCAAGAATTTCTCTGCACTGTTTTTAGCATCAGACAACAGTGGTAAGAGATGACCAGAAATTTCCATAGCAAGTGTCTTGGGGTATTTTGCGAGAGTTGACTGTGCTGTCTTCAGAACGCGCTGCAGGATTCCGTCCTTATTCTGCCTTGACAAAAGGAAATCAGACAGGAGCTGCTGAACTGACGTCGCTGTCAATTTTGCTAGCAACCAATCATAATTGAACAAACATATGCTTCGCAATTCAGAATTTCTGTCCGCGTTGATGAGATGAAACGGTAGCTTGTTGAGTTTTCTTAGATTGAATCTCTTCTCCTCTACTTCATCCTCTGTAAAATGGAAACTGATCGGTTGATCTGCCACTTTTCTGTCTGCTTCACTGTTCGGTGAGGCAAGGCCTAGCTTCTTGTATTGGGATTCACTGTATTGGAATGGTTTTTGTTTGTTGTGCCACGTCCCCAGATAGAAGTCTGCCAACAAAGAGTGAACTTCCATGCTGAATTTAGAATCTGATAGATACCGTTTTTCAGCAGCCTCATAAAACTGCCTGTGATACCAGAAAAAGACCCTGGTGTCGTCCACTTCTTTGTCTACCAGATAACTGCCGATGTCATGTCGTACCCTCACCCACAGTGCAGACGGAATTCTCCTAAACGGAGGCACATGGTACTGAAACACACTCGTTAACAACGTATCATCAAGGGATAGAACATCTTCCAGCTCTGCCTCACTTATACCGGACTGAGAGGCGGTGATATAGGCCAGGGTACGACTGACAAAAATCTTCCCATGTTTGGTCTCAAGCCTCAGTAACAAGGAGTTGATGATCTCCTGTACCGTGTAGGAAAGGGTATCAACTGTGACCTGTGTGTATGATTTCCATGTCAGAACATCTTCAAACACTAATTTCACATACAGAGGTAGGCTGCATTTCTTGAAGGCTTCCTGAACATAATCAAGCTGCTCATTATTCAAAGTTCTGTTCCTGGACAGCAGCCATGTCTTCAGGATCTTTACACTTATATCCTCACCCAGAATTTTCACCATAATGAAACTGTCGGCCAAAAACAACGACTTAAGAGAATTGATAATGTCATTAGACTCTGTATATGTTGATGTCACAATTCGTACATTCTTTCCAAGCTTTTTCGGTAGCCATCGAAGTTTGTGAGCTCCAAAATCAGAACTCAGCTGGTCAAGCGAGTCCAGCAAGATTACTAGAGGCTTGGATGACTGCTGGTCATACTTCTCAATGAGGGACTGAAAGAATGCCAGGAGTTTGTTGAATTCTGCTGGAATGCTGTCAAGGTCACCATTGATGTTGGACAAGATCTGGGTGACAAGACTCTTTAGGAGGCGCCAAAGGTTACTGCTGGCTGGGGAAGTACCTAGGAATCGCAGGATAATGATTGCATCCTTCTTGTATGTAAATGGAACCTGGAAAATAAAGTTTCCTTTGAGATTGACTCGCAATACAATGTTTCTATCCTAACTACTAGCCAATTTCAATTTTCAGTCAGACAGTTCAATTAAAGCTAGAATGTCTATACCAGCATTTTTTTTCATTTAAATCTTCATTGAAAAATCTGCATTTTTGTGTCGTTATTATGAGTTAAGTCGTCATTTTTCAATCTATTTCTCAACCTAATCTCTCATTTTCCTCCATCCTTAACCAAACTTCAATTAACTTAACTAAACCAGTCAGAATGCACATACATGTATACCCATTAGCCTATTCACCCATCCTTTCTACATTGTAACTCTCCTCACCTGTAACTAGTCTCTGCAAGATTAGGGCAATAAGTACAGATTGACCTATCATCTCTTCATAATGACACAAAGATGAACAAACCTGATCTGCTGGACCTATTGCATCACTACTGTGTAGCCGATTGACAGAATAATGTTACAGGGTGAGCGTCCGGGTAATTTCAGTCCTGGAACACTTGTAGTGGTCATTGAATGGCCAATCATCTGCTACGCAGTCTACAAATTATCTTCTCTATTGTGGAGACATAGAACACAAAAAAAACTCTCCCTAACTTAATGACGTCTTAAATACAAACTTTTTAGTCCACCCATATAACAATGTATTAGAGTTGTACATCCCATCCACATTTACGCCAATTGTCGTCCAATTCTTCCCTTATAACCTTATAACCTCTTCCATGATATCTGTGTTTACGTAAACTTCCAATCAATCAATGTTTTTTGTGCGTTATACGTGCCGTTAACAGCTATGGTCATTTAAAGACTTGCCAGGTTTTGGAATTGGAGAAAAGCTGGGACCCCCCCTCCCCCCAAAAAACCCCACTGAACTGCGGTAAGTACTGCCGCCTGCTCCACATAGGCCTTGAACCCATGACCAAGTGGTGGAGGCTAGTGTATGGAGATGGTCAAACGCCTTAATCACTTAGCCACTGTGGCCCCTTACAATCAATCAAATGTATCCCTTTAATATAGTATAGAAGTACTTTCCTTTCTTGATTTCTCCACCCCAACAACACACATTGTAATTTACCTTATCAGCTATTCACGTCCAAACTCTACCAGTTTCTTCCTTTCTTACTTCCTAACAATAACATCCATATTAATATCTCCCCACGTCATCTTTACTCATATCTGTCTTAACCAGTATCGTTCTTCATTCTCCACCAAGGGAGCATACATTATAATACCTTCCTGATCATGCACAACTTCTTCCATTTAACCTCTGCTAGAACAACATACATTTCATGTCTATCCATTTACATCCTCACTCTATCTGTACTCCTATTCCTTTAATGTTAGTACCTGACGAGCTACCTCAGCCATGATTGAGGTTTTACCACTTCCAGAGGGTCCAAAGACTGTCAATGGTTCATTTGAGTCCCCACACAGGTAAGTAGCAACTCGCTCTAGAACGTCCTCTCTACCATGGAACATGGAACACCTCTCTTTAGCCATGGTCAGGTGCTGCAACACCTGTATGTAGAATTAAATGCAACAATTACATTCATGCTGGTCAGTTGGGGAGTGGAATCCAGAGGCTAACCCACTTGACCATTGCTAGAGTTTGATCCCTTGATATTGATAGGATGATATATACCGGGTAATAAGACAGATACCTTAGGGAATACCCTTCCATTGTGATGTTGGTGATTCCCATTCTGTGAATGGTACAGTATAAGCTGAATACAAAATTTACATCTAGTTCTAACTTGTTTCAAATCATGCTTCATATCCTGATCCTCGATTCTCCAGGGGTTACACTCACTTTTGCTCTGTGCACCCCTGAAATATGTCATGGCAAAATCGAAGGCATGTGGCTAGCTATTTGACTGGTGTCTGGTAAAAATACCTCACCAATCGCTAGGCTGCCCTCTGTCCTTTGAAGATTACAGAGAAGCACCAACAGACATAAAAGCCAGTCAATTTTACCATTACGCTATTCTGAGAATGTACATCAAAGGATCAAACTAGTCTTTCTCTCTATCCACAGGGTCGTGAACCGTCGATTTTGCTATGACATATTCCAGGGGTGCAAAGAGCAAAAGTGATAATGAATACAGGTCCTGAGGCTTTATAATTGTGTACTGTAGATCTATTATATCAGCCTTTTTGATAGCTCTTCCATTTTGCTTGTCAGTGTTCCTCACCTCTAGGTATATGTCATCATGGGCCAGTTTGAGTTCCTCCTGCACAGCTTTGTCGATGAGCTGTTTGACTCCAGTGTAGAATATGTCCCCAAACTCACAAAGGTATTGGCTGTGTTCCTCTTTACTTATCCCACCTTGTTCACTCCACTTCACATTCTTCCTGTACAACAAATAATGTGATCATGATTTTGTTTTCCAATCACAGCCAAATTTTCAAACCAAGGCTACATTCGCGTATCCCAGTTGAAACAGTACCTTGTGGTGCAGAAATATTCCACGATAAACGAACGCACTTGGTCTGTTCTATAAGTAGAGCTACAAATGCACAGTTTCGGAGAATAAAAACAATGTATCAAGAATATTATGCCCTTCTCTCACGCGTCCACTGAATTACATTACGTATCTTAAAAACTACATCTGGCTTGACATTATTTTATAAAGAAATAACGCAAACTGGCAATAGTCAGCATTTTAGTTTCGACCAGGTACGTCTGGGCCCCTCAATCTACACATGCCAAATTTTCCTGAGGTCAGCCTTGGTTCAGGTCTGTGCCTGTCATTTTCTTTACAGGTTCAACCGTTTCAACTGATATGCGATTGTACTCCTAATCTGTATGTATAATGACAAATTGAAACAATTTATTTTCATATTGAAATCTAAAATAAAGCTGGAATGTTTAATGATCAAAAGGACCATTTTTTTAAACTTAGTGTTAGCAAATGATGCAGCTTACACAGATTCAAACAACTGAATGCAATTTATTACAGATACCATTACATAAATCCATAATTCTGGTTTAGTCAGAAGGTGAAAGGTCATTCTTAGAGAATATGTACATGACTATACCTACATCAAATATTTTGACCCCAAATTTATATTCTGTGAATAAAAATTTGAAAACGTGTATGCTGCTATAGTTGGTATTTAATGTCCCATAGTAACTTTATATAGTGCACAAGCATAGTAAAATCATGAATTTAAACACCCTACTTTGATATATTGGAAGATTCCATTTTACTGAAGACTGTTTCATCTCTTAGATTGGAGAGAATTTCCTGAGCCTCTTCGTCTACTTTTTCCTGGTTCACCATATCAATGAAGCGCGAAGCTTTATTGTGCCTCAAGTGAAACTGTAAGTCATCAATGATTCTTATGAAACACAGACAGTGGTTCTTTGGTTTTCCAGCTGTCTTCAGTATTCCTTGCAGTACTTCCTCCTCCGTCACTACAGTTAAAAAAAAACAGAATTTTATAGGAAAAACTAACCAGTATTCTTAGTAGCTGCACAAATGGAAATGTCATATCGCAAAAATTAAGTGTTACATAATAGCAACAAGAGGCCCAGAGGCCCAGAGGGCCTGTATCGATCACCTGGATATCTAAGCAATCATGGAAAAATATTCTCCAAATGAGATCCAAGGGATATGCCAGACCCAAGGCCAATCCCTGTTGATATCTGTATTAGATTGTTCATGCCCAGCAATTGTATGTATGGTTATGGGGTGGGGATCTCAACTGTTTCCAAGCTGTGACTCAGAAACTAGGTCCATACGGTTGTGGCCAGACCCTAGGATCAATTCTAATATCATGACTACATTCGTCTCTTTTTGCCCAGTATTTGTATTTATAGTTTTGGGTTGGGGATCTCAACCGTTTCAAAGTTATGACCCAGGAGTTAAATCTCCAAGGGTGGGGCAGACCCCAAGGCCATCCTGGAAGCATATGTGCATTCATCTCTTTATACTCAGCAATTGTATATATGGTTATAGGGTAGGGATCTCAACTGTTTCCATGCTGTGACTATAAGAAACTAGGTCCCTAGGGGTTCGGTCATACCCCAAGGTCTATTCTAACATCATGACTGCATTCTTCTCTTTATGCTTAGCATTTGTATATATAGTTTTGGGGTGGGGATCTTAACTGTTTCAAACTTATGACCCAGGGACTATGTCTCCAAGGGTGGGGCCAGACCCTCGGGCCATCCTGGAAGCAAATGTGCATTCTTCTCTTTATACTCAGCAATTGTATATATGGTTAAACGGTGGGGATCTCGACCATTTCCAAGTAATAAACTATTTTCGGCTTCACCCCTTAGCCCGAGGGGTTCAGCCCCACCATTTGTACATTTTTGAATCCCTGCCTCCAATGAATGCTGAATGCTTCCTACCAAATATGATCAATATCCATGGCACAGCTCTACAGAACAGATCGCTTAAAGCAATATAGCCAAATTGTCCACTTTTGGCCCAGCCCCTCAGCCCCCTGGGGGTTCAGCCCCACCATTTGTACAATTTTGAATCCTCACCACCTCGGGATGCTTCCAGTCAAATATGGTTGATATCCATCTCTTAGTTCCAGAGAAGAAGTCGCTTAAAGCAATATATAACCAAATTGACCCCTTTTGGCCTTGCCCCTCAGCCCCCTGGGAGTCAGCCCCACCTTTTGTACACTTTTGAATCTCCACCACCTAGGGATGCTTCCATATGGTTGATATCCATCTTTTAGTTCCAGAGAAGAAGTCGCTTAAAGCAATATAGCCAAATTGCCCCCTTTTGGCCCCGCCCCTCAGCCCCCTGGGGGTCAGCCCCACCATTTGGACAATTTTGAATCCCCACCACCTAGAGATGCTTCCAGTCAAATTCCAATCAGTGGTTAAGAAGAAGAAGTCGTTCAAAGAAATTGTTGACGTACAGACGACGGACGCCACGGTATGGCATAAGCTCACCTTGGTCCTTCGGACCAGGTGAGCTAATAATGAGTACAGAATATATAATTAGCTACTGTAAGTCTTTCTTCATTAATCCTCAGTATCTTGTAGTAAATGTCACATATCAAGTATAATGTATAATCCTACAGATCCTAAATTAAGGTAAAAGTTGAAACAATAAGTCATTGAGCATGTTTCCTGTAGGTTTTAAGAATGAATTTACTGTAGGTCTTAGAGTGAATATATAGCAGGTGTCTTAGAGTGAATATATAGTAGGTTTAATTACTGGTAATGCTTGTTACACTAGTGCTAATCTGCTGACAGACATTTTTACCTGACATGAAGTATTTGTGCTTTTCTTCTGCACCCATTTTCCCATTGTCAAAACAATGCTGACTGGCTGTTTTCAGTAACTGCCTCAAGTTGATTTGTACTCTGTTCCATTCATTAACAGCATCACTTGTCTGAAAATTGTATATATATATAGTAATAAGTTTATTTACAATAAAAGTTTTTATAAAATCTTACATCTCAGCTATCTATACTGATTGCAACAACACTTCAACAGTCAAGCTTCATATAATTCACCAATAAAAAGTTACTGTCATGGCAGGGTTTACAAAACGTAGGTGATTGGCTGACCATGTTTTTTACTAAGTTTTGATGGAGCTGATTGGCTGACCATATTTTGTACTAAGTTATGATGGCGCTGATTGGCTGACCTCGTGTTTGTACTCTGTTATGATGGAGCTGATTGGCTGACCATGTTTTATACTCAGTAATGAAGGAGTGATTGGCTGACCTTGTTTTTGTATTCTGTTATGATGGAGCTGATTGGCTGCAGTATATGTACTGGTGGTATACAGTTGGTGTCCTGTTTGTACCAAACGTCCAGCAGACTGTGATCCTGATCAAGAGTCTGTAGAGCCTGGATGAGTTCATCAAACTCCTTACTGGGAATCGAGGACTGGAGGTGATGGAACCCATGTTTCTGGTTTAGAAATGTCTGTAGTAATGAAACAAGTACAATTAAGTGCTGTATATAAAGATCCAAATTTTAATGTAAACTATACAATTTATGTAGACCACCATTATCCGCTCTCTGAACATTAATTGACCAGTGTTGAATAATGTACTCCCCATTCCATTTCACAATTTCCGATCCCTCTTGAGTTTTCCTCTTTTTTAAAACACTGCAGGCATTAAATCTTAAAATTCATTGATAACTCCATTTCCAATACTATACCTACACTTATTTTCAAAAACATTTTAGCTAGCATGTTTTTAATTTGGGATGCTTCTCTTTAAAGTCAATCTTAATAATAGCAAACGTCATCTCTCCAGGCAATTCATTACAAACAAACATATGCACAATTTTCTGGATAGTCCTACCACAAAGTTGGGTCCAGTGGACAGGCGTTGACAGTTTTGTATTTCCTGAAGACAGAGGGAAGTAGCCAGGTGATCGTCAGCAGCATCATCAGGAACTCCCCAGCGCATGTCAACCACCTAGGTTAATAAACATCACCACAAATTTAAGCAGTAATTATCTAATAAAACAATAAAACATATAACTGTCGGATATTCTTCTCTGTATAATAATCTCACCACTTAAGGTTCTGCAATAACACTTTTTCCTCTGTTCAGGAAAACATTTGTGGGAAATTATTGTTTACAAAGCTAATAGCCTAGATTATCGATGGATTCACTTTACTAGATGTGACTGATTGCTGTTCTTAATTGCTGTGTAAGGTAAACAGACAATTCAATGTACCTGGTATTCAAGTCCATACTTCTTCCTGCAATAGGATGTCAGTTTTGGATGAACCTCTTCTATCAATAAATTTCTTTCCTCTCTTGTATCTAAATTAATAAAAAAAAAAGCGAAACATTTTTTCAAAAACCATTAGGTACAAATTTCTTTTAAGATACCTATTTTTCTATGTAAGTTACAATTTAGAAGTTTCAACCATGAATGACATAACTTATGATAACATATATAATGACAAATATACAACAATACTACAACAACATACAACAAATATACAACAAAACTACAACAATACTACAACAACATACAACAAATATACAACAAAACTACAACAATACTACAACAACATACAACAAATATACAACAATACTACAACAACATACAACATAAATGAGATGACTGTACACAGAGATAACATGACATGGACATAAACAATCGAACAGTAAAACTGGACAATAAGAAGTTTTCATTTGCATAAAGAAATGTTCCCCCAAAGTAATGTGTTCATCCCACAGTATAAACTGTTTGACTGTTTTAAGATTAAGGTACACATATACAAAAGTAGACAACAGAAGCTGAACTGAAAGAAAATAATGTCCTTCACTGCAATATGATGGAATAATTTGGCAATAAATAATGTCTCATAGCAAAATACTAGTTAAAACAATAGAAATTCACAAAAAAAAACATTAGGCCTGCATCCATACACAAATACCAAGATAACTGACAACTGTACCTGTGAATGTTGAACTGATGAAGATCCTCACAACCCTGGAGTTGCGATAAGGAAGATCTAACATCGACCCACGAAGGACAGCCTTCACTCTTCTGACATCCATCTTTATTTTTTGATGTTATTCCCTACGTTTGGTACAATCGATTTGGAACATCCATTTTATTTCTCGGATTCCTCACACAAGAACAAATCTGACATAGTTTTGTTTCTTTCTTCTTCACCATAGTCCCACCATCTTTCAAACAAAAATATGAATGGTTTAAAGGGAGATGTCAAAATGTTTGGGTTTAAGATTGTTTTGTTGAACTGAAACTGTATTGTGTGTAAGCTAGATTAATCATGTTCTTAGTTTCTTCTCAGTAAGCCTAAAGTATAGGCTTTACCTGTATTGTTGTTCAAATGAGACTCTCATTTCAGGCCGTGTTTTAACGTGACTCCTAAGTACTTGCAGCCTTGTCAACATGTTGTAAAATATTATTGCGTGGATGTACATATAATGTAGATTTATTGTGACAGCTAGATGGAGAGGACAGTACATTGGTCTGTGAGAAAGATAGCTTATTTATGTAAATCATATTGAAAGGTAACTACATGATGTACATCCTTTTCGCAAGTTAAAGTTATGCACCGTAGTCAGTGATCTGGTCATCTGCAAATAGGCGAATATATGTTGATCCCGAAAAGGCGATAAAGACCGTCCTAAAGAAACATCGACCATCATATCACCACTAGCACTCTCTGAACATACGTTTGTATAAAAACCATAAATCAATTAGGAACAGCAACAGTACACAATACAGCATGTACTGTCATGCCAGTTACTTAGCCCGAGTTTCCTCTGGCCCTGACACTAGACTTAGCCAATTTGACAGATATGTGTCATCTATCTGTCAAAATGTCTTAAGTCTGCAGAGGAAACTCGGGTTAGACAGTTACTGTAACGTTACGTTTCTATTTACACAAGCAGGCCGGTAGCTGATATATGATGTATCACCAAAGTTTTAACTAAAGTACCAATATAATATGTATTTTTATAAATGTTATGGAACATTTTATTACCATCATCCTCAATCTTTATTTTAATAAAAGTCATTTTTATATATGTATTATACCCCAAATTGCTATAATTTGTTAGACAGATAATAGGTTGGTAGGGATTGTCCAACCACCTGTTGTCTGTTCTACACACAAGTACCACAGTATAAATGTATATCTTATATTGTTACTTAATATCTACAAGAATGACATCATCTTGCTTTATGATATGTACAGTGATACATATAACTGATATTTTAATATTACAAGTGGAAACAACATCATGCATAGCCCCACATATATATATTATCAGAAGGAAATCATATTTGCTAATGACAACTCCATCTTATACCGTCAAATAAAATAACATCTCATTTTGATGAAATAATATATCATCATCATATTTGACCAATTACAACTTATTCTATTCATATATATATTATTACGAGAAATTATACCATCTTATATTCATATTATAAGGTCAAATCCTTAGGACCTTTTGTTATCTAAGTAATTAAGATCTATACTAGAGGACCCCATTGGAAATAAGCTGCCACCCAGCTTTCATGGGATATCCTAGGTTAAAGCTTAGTCAAACAGATACATTGTAATTATAGTGCTCCAAAATTTGTGATATTAACTTTGATGTGATAAGCTAAATACTGTGATAAATCTGTGATTATTATGCAATTGAAATCTGTGATCATATGTGATATTTGTACCTGTATCTTGCTTTTACCGAATAAATATTATTATTATTATTATTAGATAAATGTAACTCGAGTTCTCAGTGTGAACTTGTCCTCGCACATTTTAAAAGTGCTCTTCTAATATTGATCAAACAATAGGTTATTTTAAATTAATATTTTAAATATCATATATAAAAAAGGTGCTCACAATAACTGTTATATACCAAAAACTATCCAAAAACGTGCACCTCACCATGTTTCTTTACAACATTGCTAGGGTAAACATCATTGGATTTTCGTATCTTCCAAACTAAAGAGCTCTCTTTTAGTTACGAATTAACTCCCCTTTTCAGCGAAGAATGGAGTGATGGCGATCTTCAGTGTTTACATCATCAACAAAGCCGGTGGTTTGATATACCAATATGACCACTCCGGAGCCAGACCCGAGGTGGAGAAGACATTCAGTTACCCTATTGAACTGGTGCTCAAGATTCACGACGAGAAACTTGTAGTGGCATTTGGAGAAAGAGATGGAATTAAAGGTGGGCGTGCCGATTCGGTTTCAGCGGTTGAGTTTGGCATCACACATGGATCTGACAATTCATAAGTCATAACAAACAACAAACTATCAGTTTAACTTTTCTCAGAAAGAAACGTTAATAGGCGTTTTAGAGTCCACATGTGCATTCATATATACATGTACAATTAGTATCGGGTGCCAGTGGTTGGTACAAACTTTCAAGTACCATAAACGTGTACAAATAGTTATAGCCCAAATTTCCACTGGTCCTGACTCCAGACTTAGACATTTTGACAGGCATATGTCTTCACCAGACTAAGAAATGTTGACAGGTAGATGTATCCATACATCTATCTTTCAAGATGTCTAAGTCTGGTGTAAGGACCAGAGGAAACTTTAATTATTATGTAGTCTCATCTACTCATTTAATAAATGATTGTTGCAGATTGATATGTTTATAACCAGATGATATTTATTTCGCATTTGTTAGTGGAAAGAAAACAAAATTAATCAACAGCCAAATAAGGATTCAAACCCTGTGAATCTTTTACCAACTTAGCTTCCTGGTCACTGGCTATCACCCAGTCCTTATATGATACAAAAGGAAAATTCCCTCTAGCTCAAAGCTAGAAGGCGACCGTGATCCTATGTACAATTAAAATCTGCCACACCTGATTACCAGTACGTCCATACCAATCAACCATATTTTATTTAAGTATTTGTCACCAAACACTCCTATTTACAACCTAGATTTGGACTCTCCAAATGAATTAACATTCTACTAGCTGAGCTACAATTCCAACTGCATAAAGACTGGATTATCAAAAATAGCTCTGGGGTACTAATTAGGATAGGACATCAAGTCTTGGGTACAAGTGCTGGGGTACCAATGCACAGGTTACAAAACTGGAGTACAAGACTGGGGTGTCAAGGCTGAGGTACCAAGTCTGGGGTACCAAGGCTAGGATATACCAAGGCTAGGATACAAAGACTGAGGTACCAAAGCTAGGGTGCCATGACTAGGGTACCAAGTCTGGGGTATAAAGGCTAGGGTATCAAGGCTAGGGTACCAAAGCTAGGGTGCCATGACTAGGGTACCAATGCTAGGGTACCAAGTCTGGGGTACCAAGTCGGGGTTACCAACGCTAGTTAGGGTACCAAGTCTGGGGTATCAAGGCTAGGGTACCAACTCTGGGGTACCAAGGCTAGGGTACCAACTCTGGGGTACCAAAGCTAGAGTTCCATGACTTGGGTACCAAGGCTGGGTTATATTACAAAGGCTGGGTGGGGTATCGGTGCAGAGGCTGGAAAACCATTATCATGGTAGGCCAGAAAGCAAACTGTGTATATATATATATGGATTCAAAAAGTTTTCCACTTAACAATCAAGCACCATGTCTTATAATAAAGACATCAGTCTTCAATGGTATGTGTTTTATAAATTGCAATACTAGTGATAATGTATTTTTTCTTCCACTCCTAATTATTTCAAACTTCAAACAGTATTCGAGATATTTTTAATATGTTATCATATTGATGCTAATGTTTATTTTCAGTTGGACACACTTTACTGTCAGTAAATGGTGTCCCAGCAGAGGGGCGCTTTTTGAAGAGTGATGGTCGGGACATCATGGATATCATTGCTGCAGAAGAAAATTACCCAATTAGTCTCAAGTTTGGACGTACAAAACTGACTACAAATGAGAGAATCATGTTAGCCAGTATGTTTCACTCGTAAGTAATCTATCAATATATCGCACTACTTAAAAATATGACAGGTTCTGCTCCGAAAGATTTCATCAATACGGAAAGTATATCAAAATTTTCAAGGTGTTAAGTTTGGTCCAGAGTGACTGAAATAATTGATGGGTAGTAAAACAATGCAAAAACAATTGTAGCCTGTTGTTTTATCTCTGTATACATGTATATAACCTCTTGTCATATACAATGTAAGTATTTGTACCCTGTTGTTATATGTATTTTTATGCCCCCGCCATAAAATAGGGGGACATTTAGTGTTGCCCATGTCCGTCCCGTCCCATCGCATCCCGTCACGTCCTGTCCCATCCATGAGCGGGGGCACGGGGGCATTTATGTCTTACAGACATTTTCTAGTTAATATTAAGATATACAGTGTATCTATTGGTAATCTATTTTTACTAAAAGATAAATGGTGCTTCATCTCTATTGCTACACGGAGATCCATTCCCTGTATAAATGACAAGTACAGTAAGACTGTTGACGCATAAAGATAAACTCTCTTTATTTGTAGACTGTTTTCTATATAAACTCTGTGTCTTTGTAGACTGTTTTCTGTATAAACTCTCTGTATTTGGAGACTGTTTTCTATATAATCTCTCTATATTTGTAGTCTGTTTTCTATATAAACTTTCTATATTTGTAGACTGCTTTCTATATAAACTCTCTGGATTTTTAGACTCTTTGGTAAGCAAACTCTCTGTATTGGTAGACTCTTTGTTATATGAACTCTCTGTATTTGTAGCCTCTTTGTTATATAAACTCTTTATATTTGTAGACTGTTATTTTATATAAACTCTCTGTATCTGTAGACTCTTTGTTATACAAACTCTATGTATTTTTAGAGTCTTTGTTATATAAACTCTCTTTATTTGTAGATTGTTTTCTATATAAACTTTCTATATTTGTAGACTGATTTCTATATTAACTCTCTGTATTTGTAGATTGTTTTCTTTCTAACCTCTTTGTATTTATAGACTGTTTTCTATACAAACTCTCTATATTTGTAGGCTGTTTTCTATATAAACTTTCTATATTTGGAGACTCTTTGTTTTACAAACTCTCTGTATATGTAGACTCTTTGTTATACAAACACTCTGTATTTGTAGACTATTTTCTATATAAACTCTGTGTCTTTGTAGACTGTTTTCTGTATAAACTCTCTGTATTTGGAGACTGTTTTCTATATAGACTCTCTATATTTGTAGTCTGTTTTCTATATAAACGCTCTATATTTGTAGACTATTATTTTATATAAACTCTCTATAATTCTAGACTGTTTTCTATATTAGCTCTCTGTATTTGTAGACGGTTTTCTATATTAACTCTCTGTATTTGTAGCCTCTTTGTTATATAAACTCTCTGTATCTGTAGACTCTTTGTTATGCAAACTCTCTGCATTTGTAGAGTCTTTGTTATATAAACTCTCTGTTTTTGTAGACTCTTTGTTATGCAAACTCTCTGCATTTGTAGACTGTTTTCAATATAAACTCTCTGTATCTGTAGACTCTTTGTTATATAAACTCTCTATAATTCTAGACTGTTTTCTATATGAACTCTCTGTATTTGTAAACTCTTTGTTATATATACTCTCTGTATTTGTAGCCTCTTTGTTATATAAACTCTTTATATTTGTAGACTGTTATTTTATATAAACTCTCTGTTTTTGTAGACTTTTTTCTATATAAACTCTCTGGATTTGCAGACTGTTTTCTATATATACTCTCTGTATTTGTAGATTGTTTTCTTTCTAACCTCTTTGTATTTATAGACTGTTTTCTATATGAACTCTCTGTATTTGTATACTCTTTGTTATATAAACTCTCTATATTTATAGACTGTTTTCTATGTAAACTCTCTATATTTGTAGGCTGTTTTCTATATAAACGCTCTGTAGTTGTAGACTCTTTGTTATGCAAACTCTCTGCATTTGTAGACTGTTTTCCATATAAACTCTCTGTATTTGAAGACTCTTTGTTATACAAACACTCTGTATTTGTAGACTGATTGCTATAGGATCACAACTGTCCCCTGAACCAAGGAGCTCTGGTATAGAAGTACTTGAGACGGATACTTTCAAACTCCACTGTTTCCAAACCATGACAGGTTGTAGACTGTTTTCTATTTAAACTCTCTATATTTGAAGACTGTTTTCTATATATACTCTCTGTATTTGTAGAGTCTTTGTTATATAAACTCTTTATATTTGTAGACTGTTATTTTATATAAACTCTCTATAATTCTAGACTGTTTTCTATATGAACTCTCTGTATTTGTATACTCTTTGTTATATAAACTCTCTGTATCTGTAGACTCTTTGTTATGCAAACTCTCTGCATTTGTAGACTGTTTTCTGTATAAACTCTCTATATTCGTAGACTGTTTTCTATACAAACTCTCTGTATTTGTAAACTCTTTGTTATATATACTCTCTGTATTTGTAGGCTGTTTTCTATATAAACGCTCTATATTTGTAGACTTTTTTCTATATAAACTCTTTATATTTGTAGACTGTTATTTTATATAAACTCTCTGTATCTGTAGACTCTTTGTTATGCAAACTCTCTGCATTTGTAGACTGTTTTCTGTATAAACTCTCTATATTCGTAGACTGTTTTCTATATTAGCTCTCTGTATTTGTAGACGGTTTTCTATATTAACTCTCTGTATTTGTAGTCTTTATGTTATATAAATTCTCTGTATTTGTAGACCGTTTTCTATATAAACTCGCTGTATTTGTAGACTCTTGGTTATACAAACTCTCTGTATTTGTAAACTCTTTGTTATATATACTCTCTGTATTTGTAGATTGTTTTCTATATAAACTGGCTGTATTTGTAGACTCTTGGTTATACAAACTCTCTGTATTTGTATACTCTTTGTTATATAAACTCTCTTTATTTGTAGACTGTATACTATATAAACTATCTGTATTTGTAGACTGATTGCTATAGGATCACAACTGTCCCCTGAACCAAGGAGCTCTGGTATAGAAGTACTTGAGACGGATACTTCTATATAAACTCTCTTTATTTGTAGATTGTTTTCTATATAAACTCTCTATATTTGTAGACTGTTATTTTATATAAACTCTCTATATTTATAGACTGTTTTCTATATAAACTCTCTGTATTTGTAGACTCTTTGTTATATAAACTCTCTGTATTTGTAGACTGTTTTCTATATTAACTCTCTGTATTTGTAGACTGTTTGCTATAGGATCACAACTGTCCCCTGAACCAAGGAGCTCTGGTATAGAAGTACTTGAGACGGATACTTTCAAACTCCACTGTTTCCAAACCATGACAGGTATGTATATGTTTTTGTATGATTAAACAGTATTCAATGCAAAAAGTGCCCGGGGTGCTTAGCAGTTTTGGGAAATTAAAATAATTGCAAAACCTTCCAAAATTCTCAGCAAAACAATCTGTCTCAGGTAAATTGGTAAGTTATGGTTAAGGAAGGGATTGTCTATAAGAATGCGGGGTAGGGAGGGGCATTTGTGGTGGAAGGGTAGCAAAGTCCTAATCTTATAACTTATAATATAAGCTAAGATACTATTGCTCGACCGGCTTGGCCTTTGCAACGCATATTTAGTAGCAATCTGTAGCGACAAGTCACTCAGAACTACCAATATGTGCTTGCACGCGAACGCAGTGATGGAGTATACGTAACAGCATAAGGGCTGTAATACAATACACATACAACAACACTGCCGACGTCCGTTTGCAGCACGTGGTCATCTGTAGCCACTATTAGCGCACAGCCACACAATAGCCAGCATTTTTTGTAGTTAACGTGGGACTAAGTCCACAATGCTACAAAAAACCAATCTGCCCAAACCGATTAAGAATGGTATCACAAGAAATTCACAAATTAATGATTTGTGTACATATAAGCTGAGTTCGCCCCATACGCCAATTACTTGTTGATTAATAAGCTGTGTGATTTAAATATATATTGATTATATGTTTGTATGATGATGTAGCCTGTTGATATGTATATATATAATTAAATGTTGTACATAATTTATGTCTCAGTTATTTGTTTAATTTAAAGTATAATATATAATATTGTACAGTGAACGAAAGAAGTCAAAAATCCTGTTTAATCTTGATTTTTTTCTTCCAAATGTTTGATATAATGGAATCATAACTTATAGACGTATCCTTCTTACAGATAGCATAAATCCTTAGAATAACCAGCAAAATAGTCACGTAAATAATATTCAAAATCATACTTTTTCTAGTTCTACATGAATGAGCTAAGATGTGGTTGGGTGTCCACCATCAGGTTTGACTACATGTATAGTACCCTAAGCAAATTAGCTCTCAGCAAAAAAAATACCCAAGTTTGTAGTTAAATTAAAATATGATATCACTTGCAGGCATCAAGTTCATCATTTTGGCTGACCCGCGGCAGATGGCCGTGGACGTGTTACTTAAAAAGCTGTATGAAGTCTACTCCGATTTTGCTCTCAAGAACCCATTTTACTCCTTAGACATGCCAATAAGGTAACAATACATTCACAACTCTAACCTGGTTATGTATGTGTGTGTATTGTGTAAAACTTATTCCCAGTACATGTATCACAACATTGTCCTCAGAAAGGACAACCACTGTTTCCTACTTTTTTGGAAAAGTTTTAAAATCAAAAGCATTTCTATCATCTAAGAAAAAAAAAGATCTTCACAATTTTAAATTGACAACTGGAGATGAGAATCTGTGTGTGAATTTGTGAAAACCAGTGTCAGTTTAGGAAAGATCCATCATAACTGTCCTGAAATTTTTCTGTAAACTTGCACATTTTATTTTCAGATGTGACCTGTTTGACACCAATCTTCAACAGGCGATAGAGCAATCGGAGAGACTGGGTATCAGTAATATATGATCTGGGTTGATATACACTCATCTTCATCTGGACTCAAACACTTCAGAATCTACAGTAATACCTGCCAGAGGCTTACGAATCTACAGTAATACCTGACAGAGGCTTACTGAATGTTTCCGGATGTTCAGTTCTGTACATGTACTTACCTGAAATCCATGGGTTCAACTCTCTGTACATATATTTTCTCTGTGATCCTGGAATATGTCAGGACAAAATTGAAGGCAAACAAAGAGCTATTTGATTGGTTCCAGGTAAAAAACACCTGAAAAATCCCTAGTTAGCCTGATACCGTTCCTTTGAAGATTACAGAGGAGCTGCATCCAACTTCAAAGCCAGTTAACTTGATTGTTTGGCTGCTTCACAATTCCTTTTGATGTTTATCAAAGACATCATCCACAAGGTGTCAATTTGGTTTGGTTTTGTTATATTTTGTTTAACATCCTATTAACAGCTAAGGTCATTTAAGGACGTGCCTCCATGTGTGTTGTGTATGTGTGCAACAGTGTATGTGTGTATGTGTGCTGGAGACAGGTGTAATTGCCTCCTTGTGATAGCACGGATCTAAGGTGTCGAGTAAAACACCTTCAATATTGTCATGACATATTGCAGGAGTCAGAGAATATATGAATATTGGGAGCGAAACCCTTGGATTTCAACGATGAGTAATGTTTGACCATGTCTATTGTCATCTTTTCTTTAGATGCTTCAGAATCTACAGTGTTACCTGAAACAATTGTATTCTGAATCTGTTTCAAATTCTACCACATCTTAAGATCTGATCATATGAAAGTACTATTTGGCTTAAAATACCAAGGAACAAAAGGATCCGAGTTCACCAGATAGGAAACTGCACCTGGGATAAAACCTCCAGCAAATTTGAGTGGAAATCTATGTGTAAGTGTGTGTTTATTATTGTCATTCCAGTATATATTTGTATACTATATATAGATTACTTACCATGGTACATCTTACACATATTTATGTTTTGCATTATGAATAACTAAATTGTGCTTACATGTAACAAGAATGTATGTGACATAAATATCATACAGGTAATGTACAGTATACATATGTTAACGATTGTAAAGTAAGAATGTAAGCACTGAGATGAAGGAAAATGATGATCAATGTAATATTTGTATGATGTGAGTTTTGTTTGGTGTGAAGTGCATATGAATTGTGTGAGGAGAGAGCGAAAGAGAGAGAGATACAAATCTTGATTGTTGACTGATAGAATTTATCATTCCTGTGTGACATAGATAGAGATATCTCAACAAATATTAAGGTTTCGTGGGATGCTTTGCCGAAACGGAATACAGTATACCAGGAAATTTTGCCTCGGTTTAACTATGCCTTTTTGGTCATCTGCAATGAGGGTAAAAATAAAATGACAGCAAATATAAGTACAAGTATCAGCATATAACGTTATACCATGTGAAGAGCGAAATTAGAATAAGGTGAACATAGATGTTATTGGTGGAAGGCAAAAATTTGACTGGGTGAAATTTACTGGTATACAGTAGATGATAGATTGTATACACATACCATTATAAGTAGGTAGATCATCGTTGTGTCTACTTTATTCCTTTGTCTCTAGCTATGGGATAGTATACACTTATTGCCCAGGAAGTAGGGAGATATGAAGTTTGTTTCCCGAGGTAATTAATTCTGTTTCCCAGAGAGAAGGATCCCAGGAGAAATATGATTCAGTTAGTGAGATATACTTTAATATCTCCCTACTATCACAGCAATAAATCGTTTATTATACCAATACAGAAAAACAGTATAAAGAGAAAATACATCATTGAAAGGGCAATAACTCTGTACACACTATAGATGGGATTCCAAATTGGGGAACATAATGCGGGAGATTTAATGTTTTGTAAACTTATGCACATGATTCAAAAGATATGTTTTGTCTCCCAGTCTGATGATGTATTTAAATAAATCAAACACATCAGTACACTATAAAGGATAACATCGACAATGTACATCATTTACCTCAATGTAAAACTTTGAAACCCTATTTACTCAGTTTTATGTTTAAAAGCATCTTGATTGATACATTTGTTTCCTAATAATGATATGAACTGGGGAAAAAAGAACTGTACAAAAACATGCATGAAAAAAATAAAAAGGTCATAAAAGATGTTTCTGTTGTTTTGTATTTATTATAGATATAGTATTGTGAAGTCTCCCTTTCATCATTTCACAGTCACCAGTTTTTGGTGAGGGATCACTCATAATTCTGATATAACAGTAAAGAAAATAAAAACATGAGTTGAGGTTCACTGTTATTACCCTCAGCCAATAAAAAGTTATGGTTTTGGACAAGCTTTACACAATTTTGACCCATTGACTTCTTGCAACAAAAGATGAGCATACTGTAACACACTCACATGTGACGGCACCTATTAAATTTTGTAGTTGATGAATTTACCAAAAATGAATTACACTGCTCCATACAGCTGTTTCGTACCTGAAGGACTCATCCGGAATGACTTCGACCCTTTTGATATGGCCCTAGATAATTATGTTATGCGACGCTCCTTCTGGTAATGATGGGCACTTCTATAAAGTTTCATAAGAAAATATTATAGCAATCAAAAGTTATCCTCCTTAAAAACATAACGAAGATTTGACCTTTTATCCCTTGCTATGACCTTGACATTTATGTTACGAACACGTTGCTTTTTGAAAGAAATCAGAAATTATGGTATGTAAAAAACATTCCGATCTTTGACCACTATCATCGTTCGAATTCCTGGGCAGGGCACCAACAAAACACCCATGTGTTGTGGAACAATGTAGACTTAGAATTTTATTCACTTCGCATTGTGGCCATGACAGTGAGTCGGAGACCATACCCCTATCCTGGCGTTGGCTCCCTCTGCAAGATCTCACAGAGAGTACATGTAGTTCTAAAGCACACCAAGTGCTGTACGCGAGTCATCCCTGCATGACCCTCCGGCCGAGGCCTTCATCCCTGGCCTCCCTCTCCAGAGGCTCACATTCTCGAACCTCGAATTTCCGTCTCTCAACTCTAGACTCCCAACTCCCTTTAAAATTCTCCCCAAGTACTTTTAACAATTTATACAACGTTAACTATTCAAGAGTAGGTAACACCTTTTGTGCATATGTAATGAGGCACGAGAAGCAATTAACTGAATCTAACTACTAAGCAGACTTTCCTCTTCCAAAATAATAATACTAGATGTACCGTACGGATATGACGGTTATATTTTTTACCCTTTTTGTTTTGGGAGTTCTCACTCTCGTTCCTATGTCATCCATGATAGCCGTTTAGCAAGTTATCTACAATTCAACAGCCCCTCTGTCAGTCAATGCACGATGTTACCCAAATCGTTAAATTTGACCTCGGATGAACTTTTGACCAAAGTGCTGCTCTCTACTGATACCCAATATCTTACATGTTATAAGATGGTTCCATTCTTTTTTATTTATTACCTGATTTACAGCCAATTTTATTACAAGAAACGGGATTGAGACAGATCCAAATGAAGGAAAATGACAAAAACTGAACAAAAATCTTACAATACCCATCGAAAACCATAAAATTCAAGAGTATTGCAGAAACTATACATATTAATATACTATTGGCTTTATACGTCTGTGAGTATTGTAAACAATACTTGTAGCATAAATCTACAATTCAGAGAAAAGCCTTAAGTGCCTGTCGGCATCCTCATCTCACTATTGCATTAAACCATCGAAGTCGTGGAAACCTTCGTAATCAAAACTCTATAGTGTAAATAGACCTGTTACATTTACAGCCATACTTTCCTTCCGAAGTAATTACTGTTCCTATTACATGAACGTTTCATTTTCTTTATACTCTACTAGATAGAACAGATGGTATGTGACGAAGTCTCTAAAGACGGCCATTTTATATGAAATATTCACGTTTAGAAAAGTTATGACAGAAATTTAAAAGTACTTAAAAGTTCTTTAAAACGGGAGAAACACATCTGACATAGATTCAGTGAGACTACAAGTTTCCTCCATACATGTATATAATTGATATATTGTGTGGCTTTAGAAAAATATTTTTGTGTTTGTCCTAAACCTTATGAAGACATGTACACCCCCGAATCTGGAGAGCTCGGACTTAGCATGGTTATCAGCTTGTCTGATATAGAGAAATAGGAGTTTGACGAACTTTTAAAGCAAAACACAGTCACTGATATAAGGACTGATGAACGGCATTTTTGTTCAATTTCATACCGGCATGAACATTGAAAAAAATGCCGTTCAATCCTTTAATTATATTTACATTCCGATTTTCAAGCTATTATTGAACTAAATATATAAACATGTATTCCTTTACTTCAAAGTGTCTTATGTCGTCAGTGCAAACGAGATTCCTTGAGCATCCTAACGTCACCAAAATGTTTGCGTACTTGTTCGGAGGTCTCATATTATTCGAGGCGGGAGGAGAAACTTCAAAATGACGCTGATCATAGCTCTATGATCAAATTCAGTTGGCATTCATGTAGGCTTTGAATGCCATGGACCGATTGTTGACGTCATCATTATTATGACGTCATAATTGTTACGTTGGATACCACTGACCCTCCGTGGGCAATTGTTATTCTATTCAATGAAAAAGCATACACGATACTTAATTTTTTTGAACAATAAATGCTGATTGATAATAAGAGTAATTGATTTTTTTATGAGATGAATCGATTACAAAAATACAAGTATTGAACTGCTTTCAGTTGCCATTCATAGGCAATATGAATGCTAAATGGACAAAGGCAAATTCATTGAAGTGCATTATATTAGCAATTAGTTTGTTTTCCCGATATCATTATTTCTTAAAATTCATGTAGACTTCCCTTCTTTTAACTGTTCAAAATATCCTATATCTGTTCTACATGGGGGATCTTAGCTACATCAAGAAACCTTACCTACAAGCGAAATGTTTAAGGAAGATATCATAGTACCAAAGAAATACTATGCGTACTGTATCGTTCTTATCAGGTAAAATACAGTGCCATGGCGATCTTTCTCCGGATTCTGTCCGTTCCATTTATTATAATAACTACATACGGAACACATCGAACACTACGTGCTGAACAAAGAAAACACCAACTGAGTTCCGAACATCAATTAAAAAAGGATATTATCAAGAAAGATAGACAGTTTAAAGGATAACCAGAATAGTAGGGTAAGTAACCGTCAACTGATCAACTCATTTGGATACAGAGACATTCGGATTATTCCCGGATATATATTACTCACATGACTTGTAGCAAGACACTCTGAAGTCCCACGTGTGGCCACGATCGATGATAATATTTATACAACACAGGGGCATGTTATCTGGTTATGAGCACTCTTTCTGTATTTGTTTGTTCATTTTTATTAAAAAGACGAATATTTCAGTAGTCAATAGAGATATAAAATAGTTAATTTAAAAAAATTAACAGTAAATTTTAGGAATATTTATTACAAATAATATCATCACAGGCCCCTGTGATCAGCAGGGTAAAGTAAATGCACGTGTCAATCACACAGCAATATAAACAATTACGACCTGCATCAAGTTGTTGCATTAAAAAAATTGGAAACATCCTTCAAAATGTCGCAAATAATGTATTTTATTTGTGTATTAAATTGATAGGTACAATTAATAGTAGACCAGGAATTTTAGTCTTTATATTTTTTTTTTTTTTTTTTTTTTTTTTAATTTTTNTATGTTGAAATAGATCACAGTCATCACCTGCCTGTAGATAAAAAGAGCCCTATTCTATATTAAGGTAGGACTCATTTTATACCACCCTCGTGAAACAGACATCCCGGCTCGTTCCCCACACACAAAAATTGCCCATTATGGCTGTGTGACATAAAAATTAGTTCTCTATTATGGACTCTATATCGCAGAAAAAAAGGGGACAACACCCTTTCTTTATATAATATTTGATTCCTTTGCTCAAAGGATGCTGCATAACAAATTTGGTTAAAATATGATCAACTGCTTGGTCTCGAAGAGTAGTCTTTCACAGACTTAATTACTCACATAACCTCATTTTGGGCCTTGCATGTGAGCCCCAATTTAAGCAGCTATTTAGCTCATTCGGTAAAGCGTAAGACTAGTTAGCCAGAGGTCTAAGGTTCGAATCCTGACAGAGGCATTGAAAAAATAATGACCTCTAGATCTGTTACATTGGCGCCCACGTACGTATAGGGACGCGGGAGATTTAATTGACAAAAAATACTCAGCAATACTTGCAATGGGATCGCTATGACCCCTGGAAAACTTGCGACTAGTTCCTTCCTGGAGGGAGAGTATGTCACCCTGACAAAATACTAGGCGCTTCCTACTGACTCGGCTTAGGGAGAAGTTCTCTTTAGTTGACATTCAGTAGAGCGCAAGACTAGTAAACCAGAGGTACCGGGTTTGACTCCTGGCAGAGGCATTGAATGTGCAGTCAAACCTCCATAAATCTAACATTGAACTGCATGGTGGCTTAAGGTCATTGGAGTGTATTGATAAACGGAAACAGGAAGTACATCCCTAGTTGAGAATCCAATGTAGGGAGACAGTATCACGATTTCCGCAAATTCTAATGTTTAATATTAAATTGACGAATATTGTATGTTTATTAATGACAGAACAGTGTGTTCTCTCAATATTAAAGTATTTCAAAGCAATCCAGGCATTGATTCAGGTGTTTTTTTATCAATGAGTCACATGTGTCCATTTTTTTCTTTACTTCAGGAAACCGGCTACCTATTTCACTACTGTGAAGTTTTTCAAGAACGATAACTCTTACCTGCAATTACTATGTGTATATATGGTTTTATTATAAAATGTCAATTTTTATATCGTGTATAGAGAATTAATTTTACACAATTTCAGCATTTATTAAATTGATATACATTAATGCAATACTTACATATGTCAGTACTTTTTGTTTTGACATTATTTTGTAAAAATATTGTGTCTTTCATTTTTTTTTCAAAATTCACTCCTTTTTACATAAATTTCCATTTAAAATCCTTAAAATTCTGACAACCTATATTCTTTTTGTGGCAGAAAATTTTCTTTACTTTAAAGCAATATAACTACAAAAATTTAAGAAATTCTACTGAGAAATGGTGACACAATCCTATTACCTTAATCCAGATTTCCCCCTTCTATGATGTTAACACTACTGATATTCCATTTATAAATCAAACTTTAAACTGGTGGCTTTACTATAGTAATAGTCCAGATTTCCCCCTTATATGATGTCAACACTATCGATATTCCATTTATAAATCAAACTGTTATGAGTAGAATTTCTCGTTGTTTTGAACATCAGTCAAGGCCCAAATGTTAGGAAAACATTAACAATTACAGCTAATAATTTAAAGTACACCTGAAAACATTGATTGGTCCAGAGGATCTTGGGATCATTATAATACCTAAACATGCAAACTTTAGTGTATATAAATACATGAAACATATCTTTCTATTTACACTGAATCTAATATTTATAGATTTCAAAATTAATTTCTTGCCTTGTGTTCCGTCTCTTAACAAACATGATCTCAAACATGTTTGATGTTCAACATTCTCAAAGGTCAATCTCAATGTTTCCAATTTTTCCTGATGGTACTGCTAAGTTCAAAACACAGAGGTTTGACTGTAGGTGTATATGCTTGAGGACTAATTATGACTTATCATACATTGTATATGGAGCCCAGTTTATGACCCAGAGAAAACAGATTTTTTTCCCCCATTGCATCAAGATAGAACCCCTGGTCCTTATTAATACAGATAATTTCCCAGTACATCCAGATAAAAATTCTGGTAATAATTTGGAAATTGGACAGATTTCTTTGAAGCACATTCAGATGTATCATTTAATCAAATGAACATCTTAGGTGACTTCATCAAATGGATAAATAAAATTATGCCAATGATGGTCCAGTAATGTGTAGATAATGTGGTGTTAATGCTTAAATTGACGATAAGGATGTGACATCAGTGATGAAGTGAATGAAGATAAGATAATGAAACTACGATGATGTGACCATGACGACGATGATGTTGACAACAGTGATTGATACACATAGATTTTTGTCTGATGATACTGCTTTATTTCTTCTCTTTTATATGCAAATAAATCACATTTGTCTGAGATCCTTTAATAGAATACAATTATTGTTTCAGCTTTTCAGACTTGATATATTACTCTGAAGAGATCCTCTGATTGAACTGAAGGGATATTTCAACTTCCAGCAGAATGACCGACCAAACGGTATTGGTATAATCCACTTATTTATCTCAAGGACAGCCAGTTAGGTATTGGTACAATTGATCTTATCTTTGTTCGGAATTTGTTCCAAATTGGATTGGTTGATAAATTGAATTTTTAAAGAAAGAAAAAAGTTCTGGAAAAGTGGTATCCATTAAATTTACAAGGTGCATACAAATGTACTTTAACTATCTAACCTGTACCTCTATACAAACTTACTGCAGCATGTAACTTCTTGTCTAAATAGCTTTGCATTGTAAATTATTTTATGAAGGTTACTTTAGATTTTGTTTATTTACGCTGTCACCAGAACTTTAAATGTCTGTATATATATATATATCTCTGTCCAGGGGGCAGCTCCTGTACTATTTCACAGAAGATTACCAAATTTGGTATTTAAGTATATAGAAAACAGGTCAGTGATCATGAGGTCACTGTGAACTCTGACATGTACAGTATCTGTTTTTGAAAAAAAAAAATCAAAGCTAAGCTTCCATACTTAAAGGGGCTGGTCAGGGAAAATGTTTAAAATACCTTCTTATGAAATATACCGATTCAAGTTTTGCTGAAATTCACTCCATAGAGTAAAAAATATAATTATATTAAAGAAATCCTAAATCGTCACCCGACAGTCTAAAACTCTCAATTAACCCAGATCAGTGATGTAATTTTACCGAACGCGCGTCATCAACAAGGCCAAATGTAAACATCGCTGCGAAAGAAAAAGATGCATGCAAAAGTCATGACAGGCACGAGGTATCAATACCGTTATATATAACAACAACATATAGGTAGGAATACTACACTTGCATCATCCATGACCTTTGAAAACATTTATTTACGTATAGTAATGCTGTCTTGTCCGCTAGTTGAGTCCGACATGGCTGATAGACGGCATGCTTTTGTTGTTATAATCACTGCCTCACTTTCGAAACAACCACGTGACATATATAAATAGATCTGCGCTAAATTTACGCGGGGCTTCCCCAAGATTTCAGTGGTCAAAATTGGACAATGCAAGCAGAACTCGACCATCATATTGCCGTGGTATAACTTTTGGAAGGCCAGAGAACGCATTTTGACCCATTTATTTTGTATTTTTTCCCCGACCAGCCCCTTTAACTTATAGGAGCACCGTATCTGGTTCAGGATATTCATCGTAGATACTATTGACCTCTGTCATAGTAAAAGGCTTCTCTCTCACACTTTGGCTTACCTTTGTACTACATGTATCTTACTTTGGTATGTAAGTACATTTTGGAACTTTATGCCTATGTATGCTAAAAGTAGGTCACTGTGATCTATATTTTTTTTAAAGTTGGTTTCAAACCAAACTTCTATACCATAACATGTGGGAGCATCAAACTTGGTACAGAGACACATTTGAGTATAGTGAAGTGTCACATACTAAAAGTAGGTCACCATTACCTCTATATGACCTTTCGCTACTATCATAGAAATGGGCTTGTTCACGCATAACTTCTTTACAACACCTATAAGCATCATTTAGAAAAAATATGTTCTTGTTTCGTTAATCCAGAAGTTGCAGAAGTTCAGACTTATTTTGGACGATATCAAGATGAATCAGATAACACTACAGTATATGAGTGACAAAAATAATTATCAAGTAACAAAACCAAACAAAGGCAAAAAGAATAAAAGTAATGAAATTTTATTGTTGCTAAAATATAAACATGAAAAGACAGGTAATTATAAATTAATCAGGTTAACATTCCCCGATATATGACCTTTATATATACAAACAATAAAATAAGACTGATAATCAAGTATTTCAAATTCCAATTAACTTACCAACAATCTTGTTTCGACTAGTATATAAGTTTAACATTTTTGACCAAATTTTGAACAGGCAAGTAGTAATTAAACACTATTTTGTGTAAAGAAGATGAATCCACTATATGGGCAAATATTACTACACAGCATATTACAGCATATTACTACACAGCATATTACTACATGCAAAGTAATTCCACTGTGAAGTGTCAAATGAACACAGGACTAAAAATTTGGCTTTTACCGATGAAGGATTAATTATAATATTTCACAGGGAAGGCATTTTCCAGTTTACAGTATGACCGACACTTATCATGTTTATTCAGTCAGACTCTTTTGAATTTTCCTCGTCCTCCACATTGTTGAGGTTTTTGGTGTCTTTGATGTATGCCGTGATCATGCCCTCCAGTACATTCAGCGGTACGGGCCCACATTGTAATATAGCCTCATGGAATTCACGAACGTCAAAAGCATCACCTGTAGTCAGACAAAGAATCTAAAGCAGATGTTTAAATTCACCTTGCGGTATTTAGTTTATGCATATATACATTTCATTGATGGAAAGCGGTTGTCATTTGGCATTGTATTTAAATGGACACTTAGAGGCATCAAAATAAACACAACAGTTTAATATTTACTATGAAGAAAAATCAGAACAAAACAAATTGTCAACAACAATATAGTTACATTACAAAAGGTTGAAGCAGCACACATTGTTCACCTAAAATTTTCAGATGATGTTCATGGGTCATTGTTACGTACGTACCTAGTTCCTTTTCTGCTCTCTTTCTCAGTTCTTTGATCTTGAGTTCACCTATCTTGTATGCACAGGCCTAGTAGAAACAGAAAGTAGACACTTAATAAGATTTAATTATACGTACAGTACCTAAAACAGGTACTTATCTTCAGTTTTGAAATATTATGCAAATGATTGTTACTTACTTTTTGTACACAATGTTTATCTTACAGTTTAAAATTACCTTAACTTTCTGATGATTGGTCAAATGTCTATGAAAATACCATATCTACAATTTTGTATATTGAATTCAGCATTGTGTATCTTCAACTAAACATTAAAATAAAATCACAATTTAGCTGTATTTTAGCAAGTTAGCATATCATTTTTTCAGCATTATAAGATATTTCACATCCTAGCTTCCCTGTTCAGTATGTTTCAACTTTACCATAAATTGCTTCATTCTTTCTGCATCCTCCACTTTTCTTATCCTGAACACCCCATTACCACAAGCCTACTGATAAATTCAACATTCTTACCTGTCCGGGCCAAGTGACGTAGCGTTTGGACTCACTGTCAGCGAACCATTCATGCATGAATGCTCTTTCGATTAAGTATTTTTTGGTACTCTCTAAAGACCACCTACAACAGAATAACTATATGAATATGAAACTGTCAAATCAGGATTACTGTACACAAAATATGAAATTCTATTTATAGCAGTGGTGACCTTCACCTTCACCTAACTATCATCTGTCTATAGTGATCACCACCTGTCTCTAGATACCAGTGTCTTTCAATTAAGCATTGAACTGTTTTTGTATGGTATTTATGATCTATTTGAATGACACAGCTTTGCAAGCAAACAACATAATGTGCACTAAGAATCCAGACGTGAATTATTTATTTGATGATTGTATTGGAATCTGACTACAGTCGGTAGTTTCTATAACAGCCTCGTTATTTAACATGTCGTCAGAAACTGAGGAAACCGTGGCTGCGAGACACGTGAAACTGATAGCGTTTGAAGTGAGTGATCTTGTGACGGAGGACAAGGGTTTGTTACAAATGTCTGAAATGTTTATGTGTGCTGTGACTCATATTAGTAGGTCTGTAACATATGTGTCAGTAGGTCTATAGAATATGTGTATTTCAGACATTTGTAACGAACCCCTGTTGATCAGTGCAGTGTAACAGACGATATTTCTGATAAATTGCATGAGCGTTTAAATTGTTACCATTGCCGGCATTGGTGATTTCAACGGATGTGCATTTTGTACGATATTACAGACCTTGCATGGTCTTGTTTTTGTTGTAATAAAAGTTTTTTTTATTTCATTTTTTATTTTGCACAAAAATTTACAATGACATTGTCAAGTCTCACAATGCCCAGCGATATTTCAGCAGCCGTCGTGTATATTTATATTGGATATTGTAGTTCCGGTCAGTGTTGTTTTAATACGCTAAGAATTGTGTCTCGGGCTGCATAGTGATTAAATTCCCATCAACGACACAGCTTTCAAAGAGGCTATATAGTGACCATGCCATGCAAATGTAAATATACCTCTTTGCTTTCATCATTGTCAGACTGATTAAAAGGCAGGTAAGACTTTATCACAATTAAGAAGTTGACATACCCCATTGCATGTAGGCCAGTATCCACCACCAGACGTGCCGCCCGCAGGATTTCAAACGTGTATCTGCCAAAACTGTATACAAATGTACAAAGTAACAAGGATGAGTGGGTGGCGATCCTTGGAGTAGAAATGGGTGGACTCAACTCATTCACCCCTGAAGACACATTTGAACTCTTCCAATTCAAATGTTGGAATAGTTCATTATGAGGTTTCAGGGGTGAAGGAGTTAATATAGGAATAAGTTTCATCTTTCTCAAAGTTTTCATTCATCATTCATAGCAGTGATACTCATTGCAGAGAGGAAACGGGCATAAACTAAATTGTCACAGGGACAAAAGTCATGACTGATGGTAAAGTTGGCATATTAAAGTTAAACTATGGGGAAGATTTCTTGTCATTTGTTTTAAGAGCAGTGTTATTTTCACAATTTCAGTGGTAAGATGAACCATGAATTCTACACAAATCTGAACATACAATCTTAAAAATTCCAAACCCACCACTGTGAATTAGAATTTTCCAAATAAATGTGAAAAACCAATAGAAGCAGCATATAGTATTTAATATTGTTGATTGAGGCACAGATGAAAGCCTGTTTGTGATGGGTAATACTTACAGTTCATAATTTGTGCTGTATAGTCCTAGCTCCTCTCCCAGTGACTCGCAGTAAAGTCCCCAGCCCTGTGGACAAACATCAGTACAAAATGATAACCAACAAGATTGTTAATTCATCTGATATAACAAATGAAAAATTAATGTGTCTTTGGTATAATTGAACAGCTTGAATTGCTTAAAACTGAATGTGGTGGTATAAAGTAGCCAATACTTCATTCAATACACAAATCTGTCTCAAAGTGAATTGTGGGTTGCAAAGATGATTTTGAATACGACATAATTCTGTCTCCAAACATGCTGACTGGGTACTGGGAGGACTGCATTAGAGGTGGCTGAATTGCGAGAAAAAGTAATGAAAGTATTTCAGTATGAATGGAGATATATTTTCTGTTTAAGTTGTTTCAGATCATATAAAAACACAGCAGCCACTGCCCTCAATGGAGACTAATATAATAGTTAATACACAAATTACGAAGAATTTGTAACCTTATTTTATATGAAATAGATGACAATGTCTGCAATCTGGAAATGCATGATGTTCATGATAAGTTACCTCCATGTAAGCGGTGTGGAGGGAGAATCTGGTGGGTGCCCGGGAATACTTCATGTCCTCTATGTACTGACGGAAGGCTGGCATTCCCTTCTGCTGTATGGCGTACATACTCTGTAAGGCAACAGGGTCCATACATTGTAACAAACAGTATACTAGTATACAGAAACTGATATCTCAAACAAGAGGCCTAAGAGACCTGTACTACTCAACTAGCTGTTACAAAATGGTTGTACACAAATATAAAATTTATTAAAGCTGTAATTGTTAAACAAAGACGTTTTATACCAGATTAATTAACAACATATCCCAGAGTGATCTCGGTGCTCACCATAGTACCATCTTTATTAGTTCTAAGTCAGTTTGATATTTTCTCTTCTTTTCTCTTATCTGTTTAATTGACTCATGTAAACAGTAAATGCACCTTGAGGTAAATTTTTATCTAAACTTAATACTGATGTGTATGAAAGCCAACCTTCAAAGTGAGTTTGTCATTTCACATATTTACTAGTACAGTACTAGATGTGAAAGAAATACAACTGATCATTACAATATCAGAAAGATCTGTTAAGTTCTTTCTGCAGCCATCTTGTTTTTATGATCACTCTCAAAATGAAACATGCACAACTAAGGACCAAAGGCAGCCTGCATTTGATGGCCACCTGTCAATTGATTTGTTCAATCCTTCAGTCTCAAATGAAACATGCACAACAAGAGACCAAGGGGAACCTTCAAATTTGAGAAAGATCCCTCTAGTACATTCACTGTCAATCTCCAAGATGGCTGCCTGCTGGCCATTTTGTTTATCTGGTCAGTCTCAAAAGTAAACATGCACAAAAAGAGACCAATGGCAACCTACATATCAAGTTTGAGAAAGATCCCTCCTGCACTTTCTGAGAAAAAGTGATAACAATGCAAGAATTGTTTAAGGACGGACGACAGACGACGGACAACTTACAAGAGGCAATTTGAATAGCCCGCCATCAAGTGACGATGGGTGAAAAAATGTCCAGCTGTATATCAACAAAAAGGGTTTTTATTTTACCTTACAATTTTATACCTTAGGGGAGGGGATCAAAGGAGCTTAAAATGTATGTCTGAGAGAGAGAGAGAGAGAGACAGAGACAGAGACAGAGACAGACAGAGAGAGAGACAGAGAGATTTCTTAATGGCCAGAGTGAACAGGAAAAGTTGGATCACCATGATCTTTTACCCGAACGGCTTGAAAGTGATATGAAAATAGTGGGTGTATTTGATAGCAATGATTTGAAAGTAATATGTTTGTCATTTGCTAAAAACATGTATTAGATGTGATCCAAAGTGGAATGAAACTATCCACTGATTTCTTAATGAAAAAGTGTATATATAGTATTCAAAGCAGCAAAAAAAGAGTTTATGTATAGTGTAGCTCTTACAGGAACATGGGTAATAGTTAGGTCAAACATGGTACATGTACTAGTATTACAGTGCACTGAGATATAGCTCCAGTCCTTACCTGTAGGTGGTGCCCAGGCTCACCCTCATGGAGACTTAAAGCCATCAACTCATAAATTGGCCTAAAAGACAGATTAATCAAGGAGTAGACATATTTAATAAAAAAAAGAAAAAAATATTTAAATACATGTATGTGATTACGCATTTCAGATTGTAGTATATCTTCTCAGATAAACACCAGATTCAGGTGTACCTGGTAATACTTTTAACTTACATCTATTTCTCAGATAAACGTGAGATTTTAAGTGTGGTTATAACCACAATATATATAATTACCTGTATCTTGTAATTAGACTTTTTGGATACCTTGATTTACCTGTATCAGGTAATGATCACCAACTTATATCTGTGTCACTGATCTAGTAATATGATATAAACTTTACTTATTATACAACAATTATGAAACAAGTTATTAGAGCTTATATTGATCACTCTTGTCGAATGTAAGCACGCAGGAGGACTTAATGTGGGAGGAAACCAGATTACCTGGTTATACCAATACCCTTACGTGTCAGAGAAGTGGGAGGTGTTAACGTAACAGTTATGATACCCTTACGTGTCAGAGAAGTGGGAGGTGTTAACGTAACGGTTATGATACCCTTACGTGTCAGAGAAGTGGGAGGTGTTAACGTAACGGTTATGATACACTTACGTGTCAGAGAAGTGGGAGGTGTTAACGTAACGGTTATGATACACTTACGTGTCAGAGAAGTGGGAGGTGTTAACGTAACGGTTATGATACACTTACGTGTCAGAGAAGTGGGAGGTGTTAACGTAACGGTTATGATACACTTACGTGTCAGAGAAGTGGGAGGTGTTAACGTAACGGTTATGATACACTTACGTGTCAGAGAAGTGGGAGGTGTTAACGTAACGGTTATGATACACTTACGTGTCAGAGAAGTGGGAGGTGTTAACGTAACGGTTATGATACACTTACGTGTCAGAGAAGTGGGAGGTGTTAACGTAACGGTTATGATACACTTACGTGTCAGAGAAGTGGGAGGTGTTAACGTAACGGTTATGATACACTTACGTGTCAGAGAAGTGGGAGGTGTTAACGTAACGGTTATGATACACTTACGTGTCAGAGAAGTGGGAGGTGTTAACGTAACGGTTATGATACACTTACGTGTCAGAGAAGTGGGAGGTGTTAACGTAACGGTTATGATACACTTACGTGTCAGAGAAGTGGGAGGTGTTAACGTAACGGTTATGATACACTTACGTGTCAGAGAAGTGGGAGGTGTTAACGTAACGGTTATGATACACTTACGTGTCAGAGAAGTGGGAGGTGTTAACGTAACGGTTATGATACACTTACGTGTCAGAGAAGTGGGAGGTGTTAACGTAACGGTTATGATACACTTACGTGTCAGAGAAGTGGGAGGTGTTAACGTAACGGTTATGATACACTTACGTGTCAGAGAAGTGGGAGGTGTTAACGTAACGGTTATGATACACTTACGTGTCAGAGAAGTGGGAGGTGTTAACGTAACGGTTATGATACACTTACGTGTCAGAGAAGTGGGAGGTGTTAACGTAACGGTTATGATACACTTACGTGTCAGAGAAGTGGGAGGTGTTAACGTAACGGTTATGATACACTTACGTGTCAGAGAAGTGGGAGGTGTTAACGTAACGGTTATGATACACTTACGTGTCAGAGAAGTGGGAGGTGTTAACGTAACGGTTATGATACACTTACGTGTCAGAGAAGTGGGAGGTGTTAACGTAACGGTTATGATACACTTACGTGTCAGAGAAGTGGGAGGTGTTAACGTAACGGTTATGATACACTTACGTGTCAGAGAAGTGGGAGGTGTTAACGTAACGGTTATGATACACTTACGTGTCAGAGAAGTGGGAGGTGTTAACGTAACGGTTATGATACACTTACGTGTCAGAGAAGTGGGAGGTGTTAACGTAACGGTTATGATACACTTACGTGTCAGAGAAGTGGGAGGTGTTAACGTAACGGTTATGATACACTTACGTGTCAGAGAAGTGGGAGGTGTTAACGTAACGGTTATGATACACTTACGTGTCAGAGAAGTGGGAGGTGTTAACGTAACGGTTATGATACACTTACGTGTCAGAGAAGTGGGAGGTGTTAACGTAACGGTTATGATACACTTACGTGTCAGAGAAGTGGGAGGTGTTAACGTAACGGTTATGATACACTTACGTGTCAGAGAAGTGGGAGGTGTTAACGTAACGGTTATGATACACTTACGTGTCAGAGAAGTGGGAGGTGTTAACGTAACGGTTATGATACACTTACGTGTCAGAGAAGTGGGAGGTGTTAACGTAACGGTTATGATACACTTACGTGTCAGAGAAGTGGGAGGTGTTAACGTAACGGTTATGATACACTTACGTGTCAGAGAAGTGGGAGGTGTTAACGTAACGGTTATGATACACTTACGTGTCAGAGAAGTGGGAGGTGTTAACGTAACGGTTATGATACACTTACGTGTCAGAGAAGTGGGAGGTGTTAACGTAACGGTTATGATACACTTACGTGTCAGAGAAGTGGGAGGTGTTAACGTAACGGTTATGATACACTTACGTGTCAGAGAAGTGGGAGGTGTTAACGTAACGGTTATGATACACTTACGTGTCAGAGAAGTGGGAGGTGTTAACGTAACGGTTATGATACACTTACGTGTCAGAGAAGTGGGAGGTGTTAACGTAACGGTTATGATACACTTACGTGTCAGAGAAGTGGGAGGTGTTAACGTAACGGTTATGATACACTTACGTGTCAGAGAAGTGGGAGGTGTTAACGTAACGGTTATGATACACTTACGTGTCAGAGAAGTGGGAGGTGTTAACGTAACGGTTATGATACACTTACGTGTCAGAGAAGTGGGAGGTGTTAACGTAACGGTTATGATACACTTACGTGTCAGAGAAGTGGGAGGTGTTAACGTAACGGTTATGATACACTTACGTGTCAGAGAAGTGGGAGGTGTTAACGTAACGGTTATGATACACTTACGTGTCAGAGAAGTGGGAGGTGTTAACGTAACGGTTATGATACACTTACGTGTCAGAGAAGTGGGAGGTGTTAACGTAACGGTTATGATACACTTACGTGTCAGAGAAGTGGGAGGTGTTAACGTAACGGTTATGATACACTTACGTGTCAGAGAAGTGGGAGGTGTTAACGTAACGGTTATGATACACTTACGTGTCAGAGAAGTGGGAGGTGTTAACGTTCGTTATGATACACTTACGTGTCAGAGAAGTGGGAGGTGTTAACGTAATAGATTCCTGGTCTCGATCCATCGTTTGTACCAGCCATGTAGAACCCCACAGGTGCTGAGCTCATAGAGGCAGGAGCGGCTGTAATCCTGTTTAAAACATTCAACACTTCAATAATAGAGAAGTTGTGTTGTAAAGTTTAGCAGCTATGCAAGATTGAGACTCTGTTAGGAATGTAACAATACAAAATCTATCAAATTATTGATGTATTGTGTAAATAGTTGCCTCAGTAGAAATACATTGATAGTATACTTTATTATTTAACAGACATAATAAATCAATATAGGTGCAATAAGAATGAATATTTCTGATCAACCCATCTTCAAACTTTCCTCAATTTTTTTATCCATGAAGTTTAATTTTACATGAATTGACAGTTTTCTGATCAGAGTCAGATTTAATCTATTAATTTTCAAATAATTTTAACTTTTCATTTAAATTTTTAATAAAGAAAACAAGAAACATCAGCATTTGGCAAAACAGGTGTTGGCCAACTGTTAATGACGAGTTTGACCTTAGTAACAGGTTCAATTTTTATTTATGACCTTGACCTTTAATAAGTATCAGGGTCAATTGTTACCAATGACCTTGACCTTAGTACTGTAGTCATTGACTGGTTACTGAAGACCTTTATCGTTGTATTTAAGTCATGATATTTTAATTCAATGATATCAATATATGATGACCTTGACCTCTACAGATGCACTCATGATGTTACTTACTTCATATCAACATCGGGGATAGTTTTGAACAGCTTGGAGAGTTTGGGTCGGATTTTATTTGTACAGATATCTTTAATTCCAGCCAAAAGATCTTCCTGAATTAAAGATAAAGAATTGTAGCTGTTGTAAACATCAAAGATAGGTTACAGACCACAAACTATACTGCTACTTACAACGAAGAAATAAACACTACACAGCTCCAATCATGTTTGCTTGGTTAAAACTAATGGTAAAAATAATATTGAAATAAAACTTTCAAGTGATATATTTTCTGATATTCATTAATGTCCCTATAATTAGACTGCATTTATGGGTTTTATAGCCTGAATAAGCACAGACTTCTTAATGGGTTCACACTAAAACAAAATCTGTATCACAAGGAAATCTGTTGAACATATTTCATTGCATGTATATATTTATTTTCAGTAAACATTTTAATAATTGGGGCATGTTAATAAACAGCAAAATATTGCAGTCAATTTTAAATAAAGGATCATAATTTGCAAATGAATTACCTCAGTTTGATAGTATAACTCCTTGTTGTCTTTGGCATGTCTTAGGAAGCGTTGTATATTTGACCCCAGTCCTTCCTCTTTTGCTATTTGTTCCATGGCTTTTGTAATTCTTTCAACCTCTTGTAGACCAAGGTTGTGGACCTCTTGAGGTGTCAGATTTGTTGATGTATGGAACATTAGACACTGTTGGTAATATCTTTGGCCGTTAGGAAGGGTACAACACCCTATACTGGGTCTCGTCCTCCTCATATACACCTGCATATACAGGTAAACAAAATGTTAGACACGGTTGGTGGTAGTTATAGTAGTGTGGGAGGGTACAACACCCTATACTGAGTCTCGTCCTCCTCATACACACCTGTATATACAGGTAAACAAAATGTTAGACACTGCTGTGGTAGTTTTAGCAGTGAGGGAGGGTACAACACCCTATACTGGGTCTCGTCCTCCTCATATACACCTGCATATACAGGGGAACAAAATGTTAGACACTCCTGTGGTAGTTATAGTAGTGAGGGAGGGTACACCACCCTATACTGGGTCTCGTCCTCCTAATATACACCTGTATATACAGGGGAACAAAATGTTAGACACTCCTGTGGTAGTTATAGTAGTGAGGGAGGGTACAACACCCTATACTGGGTCTCGTCGTCCTCATACACACCTGTATATACAGGTGAACAAAATGTTAGACACTGCTGTGGTAGTTATAGTAGTGAGGGAGGGTACACCACCCTATACTGGGTCTCGTCCTCCTCATATACACCTGTATATACAGGGGAACAAAATGTTAGACACTGCTGTGGTAGTTATAGTAGTGAGGGAGGGTACAACACCCTATACTGGGTTTCGTCTTCCTAATATACACCTGTATATACAAGTAAACAAAATAGTATACAGCTCTGCAAGTAGTTACAGCAGTGAGGGAGTGTACAACACCTGTAGTTATCAACTTCTATATAAGGATAGCAACAAAAGTTAAATTACTTACAGACATAAGATAATCCCGAAGATCAATAAAAGCAGGGATGACAGTATCCTCTAGTACAGATATAGCTTCTTTCTCCAACTCGGCCCTAAAGATAAAATAAAAGTACATGCAATGTCTGAAATTTTTATTTTCACAGATTTTCCTCATCTTTTTGATGACCTAGTTACAGTTGAGTTTAGTAAGATCCTGCATGTGGATGATATGTACTATTGACTCTATCTGAAGGATTGATATTTCACTGTAGCTTAATTATATGTTTACAGTACTGTAAAAACTCGTGTAATTAACGCAGGTTTTATGTGTTGAAATTAAGTTTGAAGCAGATTACACAGCTATAAATACATTCAGGTTTGGGGGTTTTCTCAGAAAGATTGTCAATTTGCATGGTATATTAATACAATGTTAAGTGTTTAGAATTATTGCCCTTGCAACAGCTAAGGTCATATAAAGATGCTGATGGCAATATACATTACAAGTTGAAATGTCAAATCATATTAATACATCCATCTTTATAAAAAATTGACATAAGTTTCAAGAACATATTTTCAAATATCTAAATTTTGAAAAGGAAATGCAAAGGGATGTATTTAAGTAATCTGGTAGTAACCCAATGCTAATGATGTAAATCACTGGCTTACATTTCCTCTGGCGAAATACCATCCACTTCCTTTCTGAATGGCGACAAAAATGGTGATGCTTTCGGATCCAGCTTTCCATTGTTGGTTAGGGAGTTGATCTGGTCGGGCACTTCTCTCTAGGGAAAACAATTTGGTAATAAGTACAACAAGAGGCCCATGGGCCTTAACGCTCACCTGATATATTTATACAGAGAGTTGATTTCGTTTTTAACATGAACAGAAATATTATTCAAAGTGACAAAAAACAATAAAACCACCTTATTCAATATCAAGCATACAGATTTCAGACTAAAAAGGATTTGAAACTAGCACCTCTGATTCTAAACAAGGAAAATGAAGAAATTTTAGCACACTGACTCCCTTGAGCCCCACCCTACAGCCCTTGGGGGTAGGGCTGGCTCAAAATTTTCAAAGTATCAAACTGTCAACTCAAGGTTATAATTCCAATCAAGTTATTAACATG